ACAGGACATTTTAAAATAATTTTTGAATCATACTCATTCAATGATATTGGTCTATGGTTTTCCTTTGCTTTAGCTTTCCCTGGTTTAGGCACTGGGACCACATTTGTCTCATAAAAGGAGTCTGGCAGAATGTCTTCTTTCTCAGTTTCTGAGAAAAATTGTGTAGTATTTATTATTCTTGAAAAATTTGATAGAATTCTTCTGCAAATTCATCAGTACCATGAGTTTTTTCCTTTGGAAGTTCTTCTATGGCCATTTCTATCTTCTTTTCTGAGACTCATTTATTTAATACCTTTGAAGGCACTTCTTGATTTTGTGTTCTGAGTTTTGTTGGCTACTGCAGAATAGGTTTTGCAGAATTTTTTTATTTCTTCAGGTTTTGTTGTGATTTCACCATATTCATTTTGCTGATTTGATTTTCTAATCTCTTCTTTTTAATCAGGTTGGCCAGATTTATCAACTTTATTAGTCTTTTAAAAGAACCTAGCTTTTAGTTTTATCAGTTCTGCAGTAGCTGTTTCCAGTTTACCCATTTATCTATTTCTCCTGATTTTTAAGATTTCCTTTTGCTTTGTTTGGGTTTGTTTCTAATTTTTTGACATATATATTCAATTCATTAATCCTCTTTTTAAAATTGTGCATTATAATGTGTATATTTATATATATATGTATATGTGTATCTTATCTCTATACCAAGCCCCCATCCCAGAAATGCTTTACGTGCATCTCAGAAATGTGGTATGTTGTCTCATTATCTTTGTCTTTCATATAATCATTAATTACTTCTTTGACTCATTCCTTGATCCTCTATTTAGGATTATATTGTTGTCTCCACTTAGATCTTTCGTGTCTGTGTGTGTGTGTGTGTACTTTCTTAATATGATGTTCACTGTTATGGTATATAAAGAATAAGTTAATATTCCTGCATTTTTATATTTATTTGTAATTTCTGTCCCAGCATATGGTCAATTTTTGTAAAAGTGCCATTAGATCATAAGAAATATGTTAAAAAATTCCTTAGTTGTCTTATTCAGAAGGTACCATTAAGTCCTTCAACTCTAATTTCTCCAGCAATTTTTTCAATTCTATAATTTCCCTTTTGCTTATGTTGTATTGGATGTTATATTCGCTTATTGTATTGGGCCAGCTCTGAGAGAGGAACATTGCTATTATTGTATTGCTATTTTTGTCTTTGAGCAATTCAGTTAATTTTTTTGTTGATCTCTTTCTCTGTATTCTGAACTCTTACACTTTTATTCATGGTCTGCATACTTATTTACTCCTTCTTTAGCTTCTTTGTGTTCCACATCAGTTTGAGTTTTCCTCTTTTAAACAATTTCTGTTACTGACTTTGTAGATCTTGTCCTTTTACCTTTTTTTGTGTGTTTTTGCCTCACTCAGCATCAATTCATGAGGAAAGCAAAGAGGATATAAACACTGCTCAATGACATGAATTTCTCTGTGTGTCATATTATGCAGGTCAGTTCCGTCCCCTGCCTCACCATGGTCATTTTTTTTCTCATTTGCCACAACCTTTCTTCCCTGGGCCCATGTTCTACCACCCTTCTGGCTGCTGGCTGCCCCAAGGGAGCTCTGATGTCCCTTTTCCTAAGAAAAGATGCTTTCCAGGGAGGTACAGACCTACAAGAGGAAGCAGTCCTCCCGTGCACCAAGTGCTTTTAAGGTCGACACTAACCCCACACAGATTACACCTCTCCTCCCATGGGGATGCTCTTCAGTAGAACCTCTTCCTCACTTTGGAAGGAAGGAAACAAGCATTTATTAAGTGCCTACTATGCACTATGCACTATGCACTGTGCTAAGTGCTTTGCAAATATTATTTCATTGGATCTTCATAGCAACAATGGGAGGTAGGTGCTGTTATTATTCTTACAGTTGAAGAAACTGATGCAGACAGAGGTTAAGTGACTTGTCCAGGATCACAAAGCAAAGAAATGAATGAAGTCTGATTTGAACTGAGGTCTTCCTGATTACAGGCCCAGTGCTCTAGCCCCTGTGCCATCCTATGTCTTGGGTGAATGTTGTGTCAAGATCTTGCACTTTCCCAGTTTCAATCCCTTCCTGCTCTGGGGCTCTACAAGGTATCTTCCCTTTGCTGTTTACTCATTGACTTGATTAGGGCATATCACAAGAAGCTTGTATTCTAATAGGGGGAAAGTTACAGTGGAGCCATAGAGAAATATCGGAACATAAACTTTCTAGCAGCAAGGTCAGTATTGATTTCATTATAGCTGCAGAACTAGAAAGCCGGGATAGGGTATTGTAAGGCAGCTGGTGAGAAGGCTGGGGAGGAAAGTGGAACAGGGCTAGAGCTGGTCCAGATACAATGGGCCATTGACAAAGGAGGAAGGGAGCCAGGAGTCATAACCTGTCTTCTTTCCTGTTAATATACTGTATTTAAATAGTTTGAATTTTAAAAAAAACCACTTTATAAACTTCTTTATGTAGAGTAACTCACTTTGTGTTTAAAAAAAAAAAAGCTCAGGAATACTGTAAATTAATTACATAAAAGCTGAGAATTATAAAAGATGATATCATAGGATGAATTTCACAGGAACAGAGCTGAGTGGAGGGGGAAGCTCCTAGCAGGGATAATATTTAAATGGCAGAGAAGAAAGACCCACCAGGGAGTAGAAGCTGAAGTAAAAACTGAATTAGTCTGATCTGGAGAAACTGGCCAAAAGATGCTAGAGAAGGGCTTGAGATGCTAGTTACAATGCCTTAATATTTTAATAAAATATTGGTTGCAGAAATTTTAAGTTGTATGTATTGATTTTTGAGCTATTTGATGAATATGGCAACAATAGGCATTCCTTGGGACCCAATTTCTACTTCATATCAGGTTACTCATACTGCAGCTTAAATAATTTGATCAAAAAAATTATGCCTAGTCTTTGAAGATATTATGAACTATGTTAGAATAAGGACATTCTTAAGATGTTGTGTATTGTGGAGACAGTGCTAATCTTAGAATCAGGCAGGCCTGAGTTCAAATCCTGACTCATATTCTTATTGTGTGAATTTCAGCAAGTCCTCACTGAGCCTCAGTTTTCTTTTCTGTAAAATGAGAATAAGAGCACCTACCACAGAGGGTTGTTTTACAATGTAAAATTGATTTCCAAACCCTGAAGTTCTCTATAAACATGAGAACTTTCACCTCAGTAGATAAAAATTCAATATTTAATGAATGGAGATGCCTGATTGTTTGATTATGAAAAATAGCTAAAATTTTGCTTTTTTAAAAAAGTGAGTACTGAATGATGCAGTAAGATTGTTATTTTAACATCTATAAGCCATGCAAAATTAGCTTAGAAAAGCTGTACTTTTTCTATTGTCCTTTATAAAAATGAACATTAAAAACAATTTCAAAATCCTACAATGTAACTAAACTTGAATTTAGAAGGAAAATTTTGGTGTACTGTAGTTCTTAAATCCACGTAATCCAAGTCACGGAATGCCTCCTACATGAAGTGCAGATCTTCCTCTGAAAACAAATCTACTTTTGTAAAGCTTCTTTAATGTATCACAAATGGCCCAATCTCCTAGAATCCTAGGATTTTAAGATTGGGTCATTATTATGTTATCAAGAAGATAAGATGATTTACAATATCAGAGAAGGGAAGTAAAACATTAACTAGTAAATACAAAAATGTTAAGGTGGTATTTATTTTAAAGATTATTGGGTCAACAATCAACACATTACAAGATTTCATTGGACTAAGAAGCTTTAAAATAGGTGCTCAATAAGCATTTATTGAGCAAATTCATTAATTTTTCAATTTTCTAAGAAGCAGTTAGGTAAGAAGTGAGTCCTAGTGGTTGAAACATTAATATGAAAATTTATGAAATATATTTAGAAGAGAAACATGCCAATTTCTTTCTTTCTTTTTTTTTTCTTGTAATTTTGACTTGTCAGGGTCACACACCTAGTAAGTGTTGTGTATTGTGTATCTGAGACCAGATTTGAACTCAAGTGCTCCTCACACCAAGGCTGGAGCTCTATCCACTGTGCCACCTAGCTGCCCCAGAAACCCACCAATTTCAAAAACAATGCAGACCACATTTAAAATGTTTTTTTCAACCCATTCAAGTTTCAGAGAAATGGAATTTATTCAGGATTAACTGACAGCGTAGTTAAACTTTCTGCCTATTCAAGATTTATTTCTTACCAATTTTTGAAAGTTGTTTAGGAGTAAAATCTTCAAGTGGATTAATATGTCATATTAATATAAGCTGAACTTTTCCCTTCACCCAATACCTTAGCTGAGTGAAACATGAGGGCAACCATAATCATTTCCTTTCAGAGACATTTTATTTTAGGGATGTAGTCTATATTTAGGAACAAATTTGGAAAGAGAATGAAGGTGATGTTATTCAACCTTTGTTCTCCTCACAATGTGGTGAGCATAGAAAATAAACTTAATAAATAATCACGTGTGTGTGAAGAAATTCTACTCCTATTATTAAAGAGCGAATTCCAAGTTCAGGGTTCTGGTAGCCTGTATATTAACATATATAGTCTATGCAATTTAGAGAACTAAGTATTTTTACTAATATTGAATAAAATACACTTCCAATAAAAATACAGGGGGAAGGAATATTAGGGAGATTATAAACTTATGCATAAAACCATTTTAGAAGAGACTCATGAAATGAAAAGCAAAGCTAAGCCTGGAATAGCTGAAAGAGGCTAAGACTGGAATTCTTTATCCAAAATCAAGGCTAATGCTTAAATATTTAGTATAGATTATAAAACCACGGCTTCCTCAAGTTTACTTTTAATGTAGATTATGGTAAAGGAACAAAGCAGATAATCATATTTTCAAACAACCACATTTTCCGAACTATTAAGGGGAAAATGAGATGCTTTAACAGGCCAAGTTAGAAGTTGTAACTCAAAATACATTTTTTTTTTTCTTTTTGGTGGGGCAATTGGGGTTAAGTGACTTGCCCAGGGTCACACAGCTAATACGTGTCAAGTGTCTGGGGCCAGATTTGAACTCAGATCCTCCTGATTCCAGAGCCAGAGCTCTATCCACTGCACCACGTAGCTGCCCATCAAAAATACATTTCTTAATGGAACCTTTCAATCCCTGAAGTGTCTCCCTCTCTCCAATAAAAACCCTGACACTAAATTTAGTCACTTTGCTACATATAAAGATATGATCAGAGAGTCACAGAATGTTAGAAGTGAAAAATCCTTAGAGACCATGAGTACATTTTACAGATGTGCAAACATTTCATTTGCAGACATCGATTCCTTGTCCAAATTGGCAGTAAAAAAAAAAAAATCTTATATACTATTCATATGTTAAGCAGTAATCCTTTTGTGATTGTGTACTATTGTGTAATACGATGATAGTTTTTCTTCAAATACATGTACTTGCTTCACATACTCATGTGTATTTTGTGTTTGCGATAAAGTTATTTATGTTCAACATTAATTTTTAGGGAACTTTTGGCTAAATGGAATAGCAGTAAGGCATTGTTAAATTTTAAGCAGTCCGGCCTGATCCACAAAGTGCAGGAAATTCTTCTGCTAACAGGACATATTCACGGCATGTTGGGCATGTACTTTGTTCTTTAAGCCACTGCTCAATACACTGAAAATAAGGGGAAAAATCCATAAATACCCACCCATAACATTGTTCTCTCAACTCTGTTGGAGTGGGCATTTCTATTCACATTTAGGCACAGCGTCCTCACAGCCCAACCAGCTGATGTCACTTCTGAGCTCACACGTCACCTAGGGGCCCAATGCTCCCCATACTCTCCAGGCAGGAAGCACACAAGAAGTTCCCAGAATAGTTTCTGCCTCAGAATTAGGTTACTTTATCAGGTGCTGACACTCTGAGTTACTTTTAAGGCTTCTTGGATCTCTGACTCATGGCCTCACTTTGACTACACATTCTCCTTGTAGGGCCTGACCCCTGAGTTTTTCCCTATCACGTGGGTATGATTCTCTGATCTAACCCATTTGTAAGGAGGCACCTGTTTCAGAACTTCCAGTAAGTAAACACCTGGGCCTGTGGCCCTGATTCCACAAACTCTTAATTGATTTGCCTGAAGAATGGTTTCATTCTTCCTACTTGTATCCCTAATCTTAGCACAAGATGGGCACTTAGATACTTGCAGATTAACCATTTCATGCCTGGGGTGTACCCTGGCCCCTTTCAGATTCTGGACTCTCAGAATTCTAACCTATTCTCATATTTCTATCTCATTGCTATTCAGGTCTCTGTATAATAGTATTAACTAGTATTTACTTGTGTTTTTTATTATAAACTTATGAATATCAACATTTCCATGTATAAAGGAAGACAAAAAGAAGACTGTATTTTCTTTTCTAAAAAGTAAGTAAAAGAATTGAGTGGGGACCCCATCTATTTCAATCTAGTAGGACAGGTGTTAGATTAATGCTAATTAATAATCATCAACTACAACATATGACATAAACCTTGATGGTGCTATTGTTCACAAAGTCTCTGGATGTAGGGCAGTCAATCTGATCAAGTGTAAGAACCAAGATCCATCAATTTCCACAACAAAGGGCACAAGGCAGCAAATGCTGGAGGGAGTGGGTTAAAATTCTAGCCTTGTCCCTCATTACATACGTGGCTTGGGCAAGCAACTTAACCTTTTTAAGTCTCAGTTTCTTCATTTATAAAAGGAGGGGGCTGGACTTAAATAATCTTTAAGATTCTTTCTAAGTCTAATCCCTTTGCCCAATATCTAATTTACTACATAAACTAGAACAAATGTATGCTTTCATTTTTTTGTATATAAAATCTATTTACAAATAGATTTTAATTTCTAACTCTAATTTTTAATTATAAAGTTGATAAAATTTATAATGGCAAGGTGGGCATTTGTTTTGTTTGACTACGCATGTTTATAAAAAGGGTTTTATTTTTCTTGCTTTCTCATTGGTAAGGGGGAGAAGGCAGACTTTTGCTGATTGAAGAAAAATTAATTAAAAAAAGCCTGTAATAGTACTAAGCTTATTAACAAGGCCTATGTGAAATTTATCAATCATAGAATTTTGGAACTAAAGAGGAATTCAGAATAGCTTCTGGTCCATGTCTCTTGCTTTAGAGCTGAGGAAATAGGCTGAGAAAGCTGACACGACTTGCCTGAAGATCACATGGCTAATTAGAATCCCATGTTCCAGATCAGCCATCCCTGCTGTAGATCCTAATGTCCTGAACACAGGCAGAGCATTTTGCTATCTGGGAGGTTTTTATAAACCTCTTTATAACCCTTTTTTTATAAGAATACTATTTTTGAAAGACACAAGTGCAAATAACATGAAAATTAGTTTTTAAAAAATTTAGAACACTCAGATGCAGAGATGCATGCATGAATGTACACCTCCCCAAAATCACCCCCATTAAAGGAAATGAGACCTAGAATGCTAACAGTTGTTCTTCAATTAAATAGAGATCATACCCATTTATGAAACTGGTGCCCACAATCCATCTCACATACATGTTCCTCGCTTAGATCTTCATAGCATATTATACAGGGATCATCACTGGAGGCCTATGGAAACAAAGACATTCAAACATTGAAAAATAACTATAACATACATTTCTTGTCAGGAACTTCTTTCAAGTTTTCAATGAAATAAAATGTTTTAATACAAATAACATTAATTTTTCAATAACAGTTCTAAGGGCTGAATAGACCAAGCTTAGAAGTGAAAGTTTATAGTTAGGCTGAAGCCATTCTGTTTAAAAACCAACAAAAACCCCCCAACAAAAAAACAGCAACAACAAACAAAGGGAACTATTTTTGCTTATTAGAAAACCATATCGTTTCGTGCAAGGAAATAAAAGTGAGACTCACAGGGGAATCATTTGATTTTTGCCACTTTGACTTGGAGGGTCCTCCAACAACTAGCCAGGGTTTGCTGGCAGCTGTTGGGGAAGTTGGGCCTGTGGAGGGACTAGATACTGATACATTTTCTGCTGAATGTCTAAGACCAGAAGATTCAGCAGCAGCACTTGATACAGTCTTCACATCATTTTCTTGAACTGCCTAAAAAAAAAATTAGGAAAAAAAAAAAAAAGAAAACCATACAAAGCATCAATGTTACAAAAAATTTTTTCCGACACAGAGTTTATGACGTCTTATATTTTAAACCGGAGCAGTGTTAGTTATATTACAAAAATACATGCAAATAAAATAAGAACCACTTACTGTATCTGTTTGAAATACTAACCGTTTTTTTATTCTGCTCATCCAGAATAAGTTCTGTCACACTTCTGACAATTTCATCAGACTCAGAACTTGCATGTATGGTCCTGTCCTCATCTTGTACTTTTTGGATAAAATTCAAAAGCTCAACACTGAAAGGGAAAAAAAGTGGTGACAGAGGAATAGCTGTCAGTGTTCTGAATCAGTAAGGGTAATAGTCATTCAACAAACATTTGAAAGCTACGTATTCTGCACTTTCTCTTCACCTCTGCTTCATGGAGTCCCTTTCTTCCTTCACGATGCAGCTTAAGCACCATCTTCTAGGTGAGGCCTTTCTTGATTCTCCCAACAGGTGGTTTCCTCTTTACCTTATATTTACTTTTTATTCAAGTGTATTTGTCCTCTTCATGTTCATTCTGCACATACTTACATACATACATGGCTCCCATGTTAGAATGCAAACTTCTTGAGAGTAAGGATTGTTTCATTGTTTATATCCTTTCCCCCAATGCCTAGCATAGTGTCTGACACATAATATATGCTTAATAAACACAAGATGATTAAGGAAAAGCCTCATACATGCAGCTTACTATAATACTACTACTTACTACAGTCAGTAGGTGGCAGTTGATCTGGGCCTGGAGGAAAAGGTAGGGATTCTGAGAGACAGAAATCAGGAGGGAATAGATTCTCAGATATGGGGCAGTCAACTATAGCAAAGGTATGCAGGTAGGAGATGAAGTAATTTGTACAAGGAATAAGAAAGCCAGTTTGTCTAGATTTCAGAGTATATACTCAGTCAATAAATAGTTGTTCTTCTACTATGTGCTAAGCACTCAATACAAAAAGAGGCAAGACAGTTTCTGCCCTCAAGGATTTGACAATCTAATGAGAGAGACAGCATGCAAATTACTTTGGAAAATAAGCTAGAGAAAAATTAAAAAAATAAAGTAAAGAAGGCACTAGAATTAAGAGGATTTGGGAAAAGTTTCTTGTGGATTTTAGTTGAGACTTAAAGGAAGCCAGGGAAGCGAAGAGGCAGAGATTAGGAGGGAAAGCATTCCAGGTATGGGGGACAGCCAGAGAAAATGCCCAGGACTAAGAGATGGAGTGCCTGGTTCCTGGGACAGTAAGGAGGCCAGTGACACTGGACCAAAGAGTAAATGTTAAGGAGAAAGGTGGGGGTGGGGTGGGGGAGGCGCTAGGTTATGAAGAGCTTTGAACTCCAAACAGAGGATTCTGCATTTTATTCTGAAGGTAATAGAAAGCCACTAGAGTTTATTAAGTAGGAGTGTGTAATATGGTTGGATCTGTGCTTTAGGAAAATCACTTTGGTGGCTGGATGGAGGATTGGTCGCGGGTTGGAGGGAGACTTGAGGAAGACAGACCTATCTGCATGTCACTGCAGTAGTTAGTTCAAGCTTGAGATAATAAGGGTCAGTACCAGAGTGGTGGTAGTATCAGAGTAAGAAGGAGGCATATTTGAAAGACGATCCATACATGAAATTGATAGGTTTTGGCAATAGACTGGATATGGGGGTGACAGATAGTGAGAAGGTGAGGATGACATCTAAGTTGTAAAGGAGGGACTAGGGATGGCATTGCCCTCATTGGTAATAAGGAAGGTAAGGAGAGGAGAGGAGGGCTTAGGTGGAAATTCAACCTTTCTGGATGAGTTGAGTTTAAGATATCTATGTAACCTTCAGTTCAAGGTGTCTAAAAGGTAGCTGCAGATGTGAGACTGGAAGTTAGTGCAGACTATGCAGATTTGAGAATCATCATCACTGGCATAGAGAAGAAGACAATTAAATCCATGGGAACTGATGAGATCAAACCAAAAGATGTGGAGGGAGAAGAGCAGAGGGTCTAGGACAGAGCCCTGGGGGACTCCCATAGTCAGAGGCCATGATCTAGATCCAAGCTTCTTAAACTTCTTCCACTTGAGCCCCTTTTAAACCCCAAGGAGGTTGTGACCCCATCCACTGAAGGGGTTGAGAGTGGAAAAAGTTTATGAAGCCCGGATCCAGGTGAGGACACTGAAAAGGAATGGTCTCATAGGCAGAAGCTGGAATGTAAGAAGAGAGTGAGAGGAGAGAAAGGGAGTCTCCTCCTGTAGACGGCGTTTTAAAAAAGGTTAACTGGAAAGGGCAGAAGAAATGTAAGACAAGAGTTAGTGCGGATGGAAGGATCAAAAAAGGTTTTTTGAGGACGGGGGAGAAATGGGCATACTTATAGGCAGTAGAGGAGGAGGCGCAAGAGAGGGAGGGATTGGAAATAAGTTAAGAGCAGAGATGATGAAGGGGGCAATCTGTTAGAGAAGGTGAGATGTAACGGAATCATGTGGGTAAAGAGAGGGGTATGCCTTGGTAAAGAGTAAGGTCACTTCTTCATGTGACACAGGGATGAAGGAGGAGATAGTGGTAGAAGGCATATGAGTGATATGAGATGAGGAAGAGGGAGCTCGAGGTGTAAGGCCTCAATTCTTTCTGTTAAGTATGAGGCAAAGTTCTCAGCTGCGAGGGTGGGGGAAGGGGAGGTCTGAGGAGGGATGAAAAGGTCTGAAGAGCCTCTGTGGAAAGTGGGAGGCAGGGAGGACCTAGCTGAGGGTGTGTAACATAAATCTGCAATGGACCCAGGCAGAACCGTTGTCTGATTTTTCCCCCTTCCCTCTTTGTTCAGCTGCACATGTGTAGGAGTTAAGGTGGTCTGGCGATGATCCAAGGCCCAGGCTTGACAGGGCACAATCAGTGAAATGATAAGGGGGCGAGGGACTCAAGAGATGAGGACAAGGTAAAGTTGAACTGGTTTCAACTGAAAGATCAAGATAAGGAAAAGGGGAGAGAGTGGCTAGTGGTAAAGAGTGGCGTGTGTGTGTGTGTGTGTGTGTGTGTGTGTGTGTGTGTGTCTGTGTGTGTGTGAAAGAGAGAGAGAGAGAGAGAGAGAGAGAGAGAAGGGAGAAGAGGCAGAGGGAGGGGAGGGAGGAAAGAAAGAGGAAGATTTGAACTGAGAGGGAAGGACTTGAAGATGTCCAGAGGAGAACACACGGTTAAGGCAAGATAAATAAGACTAGTCGGTAAGATGATACCAGAGGTTAGTAAGAAAAGAGAAAGGAAGTTGTGTGTGGTTGTCAAGACTCTTTCTTACAAGGGGAGAAGAAGTTGCAACAACTCCAGAGTTGAAAACCACCAAACAATTTATCACAATAATTCTCCCAGAGGACTACAAGGAAGAATGGCAAAGGATTAAGGATCTCATTTTCAGCAAACATGGAGAAAAATTTTGCAGCAAATTACACAGAGTATACAAAGTTTGTACTCTTTTTTTTTTTTTTTTTTTTTTTTTTTAGGCAATTGGGGTTAAGTGACTTGCGCAGGGTCACACAGCTATTAACTGTCAAGCGTTGGTCTGAGGCCTCATTTGAACTCAGGTCCTCCTGACTTCTATCCACTGCGCCACCTAGCTGCCCCCAAAGTTTGTACTCTTGCCACAGCCAAGTGCTATCTATTTTCAAATTAGACTGTTCCTTCCACCTAGAAAAGAAGGTAAAAAGACTTGTGGAATTTTTGGCGATTCTTCAGGTTATCAGGGACATTGAAGTGTTCCTTAATCAACAACAGTTTTTTAAAAAATATGGAAATAAAAGACTGGAATTTAAAGGTGCCATGACAAAATGAAACAAAGATGATATTACTATCAACATCAATTAAGATGCCTGATAGCCACTTCCTCAATAGGAAACAATTAAGACTTTATTAAAAAACATTTTAGAAAATGAGATACCATGTGAACATGTTTTAGTGGAATGGAAGGTATTTTTACTAAGTACTTTCATGGTTATGCTGCATGTTAACTTTTTGGACTGCATCTGAGATTTCTTCTGTGTAAGGACCCTTCCAGTGAAGAAACTGTTATCTCTAAATCTTTAATTTAAACTTTAATCAATGAGAATTAGCCTATCTGCTTTGCAGCGTGTACTCCTAAAGAGCTGCAGGGGGCACGTGAAGTTAAGCGACTTCCCCAGTCACACAGACAGTGTGTGTTAGAGTCTTTGCCCTGAGGTCAGCTCTGTATCCATTACTTCATAACTGACTCTTGCATGTTAATGCTGCTATTTAAAAAGGAAGATGTGTTCCAATGACACACATAATTGCTAGAAATTTTGTGGTCGGAAGCAGAAAAGACCTAGGTGACACAGGGGAATGTTCAACGTCTCTAATTTCCTTGCTACTCCCCACGCCATTCTTCCCAATAGAGGTACTATATTGCCTAAGCCTCAGCTCCAAGTAGGATGGGTAGTGCCCCCTTGTCTTATTTAGACTTTTAGGAAGATGGTGTCTATTTTTCAGGGAATTATCATCTTACAGAATTTGGAGTTAGCATAGACCTTGGAGATTCCTCTAATCCCATTCCTTCATTTTACAGTTAAGAAAAAGAAAACAAAACAGAGGCCCAGAGTGGTGAATTGAATCCTACGCAGTAAACATAGAACCACTGCCATGAGGTAAAGCCTCCCCTAGAAAAAAAATGACTGGATCATTAATACAAGAAAGTCAGCCTTGAATTAACTAGAAAAACAAAATTATAAGGAAATGGAACAATGGAAATTTTAGGGCATTTAGGCAGGCACCTCAAACTTGTAAGGCACAAACTAAAGCACCTTAAGTTAAGAGGTGGGGCAGATACTGGCCCTGGAGGAAAATGGAGGTGACAAGGTATCCAGAAACTACTTCTGGGGAGACTATTCACTCGCCCCAGAGGACTGAGGTGGGGGGATGATGCAGTCAAACAGAGCCCCAAATTTCACAGACAGTTAAAAGCTAGAAGAGACCTTATGACCACCTTTTCCAGCTCCCTCATTTTACAAAGGAGAAAGAGATCCCAAAGTTGGTGTACAGCCACAGCTAAGGCTTTGAGCCAGATTGCTGAATCTGGTTTGCCAACCTTAGGGGTGTAGGACACTGATTCTTCTAGAGAATTCCCCCTCCCCCCAGTAACTTCCAGGTACTAAGCTCAATGGCCTCCCTCCTCAACTCTCTGGGAAGGTGTAAGAAGCTTGGGAGAACAACTAAAGGACTAAAAAAAAATCCCAAGGTAGGGTAATCAGGGACTAACTTTCTCTCCTGCCTTGCTCCTCCCTGAGTGTCCTACATCCCTTTCCAGAAGAAACCAGGCTGAGAGGTAGAAAACTCTTAGATTTAGAGGCTATTTCCTCCTCTTTCAGGTGGCTCAACCTTTTATCTCTGTAGGACCTGGGATTGTTAAAGTGACCTCAGCCTCCACAGGGTTCCCACCACTTTTCACCTTATGTCTAACTTCATAACTCAGGAAAATTGAAACACCAGGGAAAGCAAAGCTATGAAGGAAAGAAAAACTAAGTCTACATAATAAGGGATGCAAAGGTATCCCTAGGAAGGTACAGTTCTTCAAGGGGGATGGAGGCACAATCTCCCTTTACCATACTTGTGACCTGAAGGGCTCTTTTATCAATGGTTTAGAGTGAGTAGGGGAAAGAAGAAACCTTTCCAGTCACTGCTGGTCCCTGCACTATCCTATCTCCCCAGACTGCCATATGTATCACATGATGGTGGCCCTACTTCTGCTGTCAGCTCTGGGGGGAGGGAAGAGACCACAGTCTTGGGTTGGTTAATTTCCTTTTCTATCCCAGGTCATATCAGAAGTTGGGCTGTTTTAGCAACAGACTCTGGAAGGCCTGAAGAATCTTGGTAGTTATCACTACTGCCTAAGCAAAAGCCTGATCCTATTCCATCCTCCAGGTTTTCCTGCTTTGGACAAAGGTCCTACTGCCCTGGCCTAATTATGGCTCTGACCAGGGCTGATCTCAGTACTACCTCAGGAGCTCTGCCCCAAGACAATGCCATTAGTTCATTATCAGCTACCACTCCCAATGACCCAATTTTTGTGGAGATTAGTTTTATTTACCCTAACATAAGGATGACTTTGTTAAAAAAAAAAAAGATGCTCTTTTCCCTCCAGATTTGTTAATTCAAGTATCACTCTAGACCAGCTTATTCCATATTTATCTATCTCTCTGGAAGGCAGTCCAATTAGGGATGAACTTTCCAACTACACATCTCTGCAAAAACCAGTCATGCCTCTTAAGGTAGGCATAAGCTCACAAGCTGTAAGTAGCCACTGACTGCCACATTATTTATGATATAGTATTCCTTAACTAAGAAGCAAATCAGGGGAACTTTAATAGCATGCACTTCATTCACTAATTAAGATGTATATTCACAAAAACATTCTAATTCAACCACAAAACTTTTTATCACACCAACTTCCATGAGTTTTCAAAATCTCAGCAAATCAGCTAAGGCAGTACGAAATATAAATCAATTAGCATCTAAATATTGTATTTTAATAGGTTTGTTTTGTGTTAGAATAATGTGAAATTTTCTGTAAATTCATTTCATACTTTATAAAAAAAGCGGGGTGCAATTTATTTAGTAAAACTTTTTAGCAAAGGAATAATGGAATACCAACAGTTCCCTTTAGGGAAGTAGACCCTCATCAGGAAACTAAGGCATGCCTGGAAAATTATTCAATTAAATCCTTTTTAATATGAATACCTGCTGTAATTTGGGAATATGGTTGCCAGATGCTCCATCACGCTGTTGAAAGGCATCTTCTGTGGCTGGTTTGGAGTGCTGGCATATGTCTGTGCAACACCTCTGGAGCTTTGATTCAATTGAATATCCATTTCAGAATTCTTAACCATCAGTGATTGCTGGGTGACCTGACATGGATCAGTATAAGATGCTTGTAAAAGTACAGAAGGAATCTCCATTGAGCAGTCACTGACAGAATGCAGACTTGTGTTCTGAAGTGCAAGGGGTTGGTTTCCAGTTAATAAGTTAGTTGGGGTAATCACTGGACTTTGGTCATCAGCACATGAAAATTCAGAAAATAATTTAGGATGAACTTGTGTAGAACATGTCATAAAGGCTGAATCATTAGTATGAGTAGGCTTGCCTTGAATTAACTAGGAAACAAAATTATAAGGAGACAGATCAACTGACAAATTAATTTTTCTAACACATAAAAGCCTGTCTACTAATAGGTATTTTAAGCAAAATGAAGAACTACAAAGGAAAGCTTACATATCAAATTGTAATTAACTAAACATTTCCACCTGAAACATTCAAAAATTTTATTTTCTTTTAAATAACTATTGGCTATAATACAGCCCAGGCTAGGATTCTGATTTCAGTTAAAATTCTACACTTTATTTATTCTATAAGTTTTTATAATTCTTCTTTTACCAATTTTAGGAATATGAGATATAACAATGAAGCATTAGCCTTCTTTTGGACAATGAATTAGTTTTAATGGCAATCTAAACAGTATCATGCTGACTAAAGTAATTCATAAAATTTCCTAGGACTTCGGATTACTCATTGTTTTTGAAGTCTCTAGTAGTATTAAATATATAAAGTATGCTAGAAGTATAAATTTAAAAAAGAAAATCATATTCAACACTTACATTGGTTCCCTTTTCGCATGTACAATCCTTGTCAGGGTGACTCTTCATTTAGTTATAAATGATACTCCAATTTTTTTTACTCAGTTTAAGGCAACTATAAACTTTCATATATTTTTCCAAGTGCCAACTACTATATGGAACTTCTTTAGATAAAATATTCTAGTTTGTTTCCTGGAAATAATGTCTCATGGAACAAGTTTCCTTTTTCAATATAACATTTATTGAGTTCTCTACGAGAATCAAAGCACTGCAAATATAGTAGCGATGTATGTGAACTATCTGAAGAACAATTACTAAGTCTACATTTGGCTAGGTTGGATAATATTACTTCAGCAATTTCTAACCCCCGTTTGAAGAATATCTTGTTTCACACTTCTATGGTCTAATTTATTTTTATTTTTCAATGAATTCAACAAATATTTAGTCTGTGCCTATTATATGCTTAAGTCCATGTAACATGTCTGTAACAGAACAAAAGTTGGCATTGTATGAATATCTGACAGAATCCACTAGATGCTATTCTGCAACTGTTCTACAAGTTTTAAAACAGAGAAAAGGCTTAAAATACCTAATAAGCTTTTGTTGTCTTTTTTCAACTTTATTTTTATTGTTCTCTTTTGTTTTTACTTCACTTTAACTGCTAAAATATACTTCTTCTCCTCATCTACCTATCCTACATAAGCCACCCCTTATAACAAAGATTAAATAAAAATATATTTTTGGTAATTTTGGTTCAGTAAAACCAACCAACACATCTCCATGTGTGAGAGTATATACAATATTCCACACCCACAGTCCCCCACTTCTGCAAAAAAGATAGGTGCATTTTCTTTTAAGTAATCTATATTGATATCTTTTGTTTTTACATCACTTACATTTCCCTTTGTATACCTCTCTCTCTCCCTTTTAACAAAACTATTTCTTATAACAAAAAAAGGGGGTGGGGTGGGTGTAAAAGTCCAACAAAACTAACCTACATATCAGCTCTGTCTAAGAGTATTTACACTCAATAATATTGCTCCCACTTCTCCAAAGAAGGGAGGGGGAGTATTTTCTTAGCTCGTTTCAGGTCTAACCCTTTCCAGAAATTACAAATTACAAAATCCACTTTGTCAGGCAAAACGAAAAATCCATTTTGTCAGGCAAAATGAAATATTTCAAATTGAGGGCAAGAACATCCTACATTCTAGAACAATAAAACTAGCATCCTATATGTTAATTTTTATTCAGTCAGATAAGGAAACAGGTTCTGATTTCTTTTTTCTTTTTTTTTTTTGGTGAGGCAATTAGGGTTAAGTGACTTGCCCAACGTCACATAGCTAGTACGTGTCAAGCGTTTGGTCTGAGGTCGGATTTAACTCAGGTCCTCCTGACTTCAGGGCCGGTGCTCTATCCACTGCGCCACCTAGCTGCCCCCCAGGTTCTGATTTCTTGACTTTGGTCTCTGCACCCAAATATTTAAATCCCAGAACATGGGGAATTACCCGAAAGGGCTGATCAAAGATTGTAGCAACAGCTACTGAAGAATTATCAGAAGGAGTTAAAAATAGTACGTTCGTAGGAAAGGAGAACATTTCAGGGTGTGGTGAAAAAAAAATGCTGCCCTCATAAGTAAGTTTTCATATATGTCACCCAAACAGTTTTAAGAGCTCAACAGGAGCAGAATTAAACCAACTTGTTTAAGAATGAAGGAAATTCTCATCTGGGAACTCTGTCAACCAGAACTGGAGACTTCATTTTCTGTATCTCCCCCTTCATCACCCCACCATATTACACTCTGGATATACTTACCAAATTATTTTCAGGCAATGGAAATTCAGGAACTGTTACTTTAGAAAGTTTATCAAGTTGAGAACCAGCTTTAACTTTCTGAATTCGGTCTTCAAACTCAAACTACAAGTGGCAAAAAAATTGAGTCAGTTTAGACTTCAAATGTCAGTTATTCTTTTTCCTTTCCTTACTGTGTACAAAAATACCTTGGAATCCCAATAAAAACGAATATAATAAATCATATACCCTTAGAGGAAAACAATATTTCTTGTATGCTCTTCACTAAAAAACGCTTACGTTGCTATGAAATAATAACATGAATCCAATTAAAGACAAGAGACATTTCTTTTGCACACGCTGTGTGTAAGACTCCGTTGCTGGGTATTAGAAGACTACAATGAACAAATTTATGCCTTTTTTCAATACTTTCAATGAAACACAAAAATCTTTGAAGCAAAGAAAATGTCTTAATAATAAATATTAAATGTGCACAATTTGTCAATATCAACTTGAGAAATTTTAGAAAGTTTTAAAAATTTACAAACGTGTAAAACATTATATAAGGCTTACCTCTGCTTTTTCAATTTCGTGTTTTATTTTTGAAATAAATGACTCCCACTGATTAATCTCAGATTCCAAATTATGATATGACACAGAACCACTGAAATAGGTTCAAAATTTAGAATTAATATTCATTTTAGAAATTCAGAAACAACATATATGCGTACATAGCAACTAATTTCAATTGATAAGTTGGATCAATCTGGTCCAAAAGGAACACTAATTTTAACAAAATTTAAAGACCTCAATCACTAGAGACTTAAAAAATAATTTGTTAATGCTCTCTAAAAGAAGAGTTGCCATGTATCCTTGAAAAATGTTCTACTGTATTTATTTCCCAGGAAATGCAGTGTCATGGTCAGACCTTTACTTTATATAGATGACTGGAGTATAGACTACAGTGGGGAGAGATTTATGGCAGGGAGACCAACTAGAAGGCTACTGTAATAGTTCAAGCATGAGGTGATGCAGTAGGGTGGTGGCGGTGTTGAAGGAGAAAAGGAGGTGTGTCCTAGAGAAGTTAAGAAGGTAAAATGGGTAGGACTTGGCAATAGACTGTACTTGGGGATGAGAGAGTGAGGAGTTGAAGATAACACCTAGGTTGCAAGCCTGGATGAATGGGAGGATGGTGGTACCTTCAACAGTTAACAGAAAAGTTAGGAAGAAGGGAAAGGTTAGGGAGAAAAATAAGGAATTCAGTTTTGGACATGCTGAATTTAAGATATCTATAGGACATCTCATATGAGATGTCCATTAGACGTTACAGTTGGAGATCTGAGTCTGGAGATCAGGAGAGAGATGAGGGCTGGATATGTGGATTTGGGAATCATCAGTATAAAGATAATAATTAAATCCATGGGAGTTGAGATCATCAAGCAAAATAGTATAGAGGGAAAAAAGAAGGACCAGGACAGAGCCTTGGGAAACTCCTTTTCACCTAGATGAAGACTCAAAAAAAGATGCTGAGGAGTGATTAGATAAGATAGGAGGAGAACCAGAAGAGAACAGTGCCACGAAAACCTAAGAAGAAGAGAATATCAAGAAGAGAGTGATCAACAATGTCAAAGGCTGCTGAGAGCTCTAGAAAGATGGGGATTGAGAAAAGGCCATTAAATTTGGAAATTAAGAGATCTTTGATAACCTTGGATAGAGCAGTTTCACTTGAATAAAGAAGTCAGAAGGAGATTGCACAAAGTTTAGGAAAAAGCGAGAGGAAAGGAAAGGGAGGCACCAACTGCCAGTAGCTTTCTCAAGGACTGAAAGCGATGAGAATTATAGGACAATAGTTACTGGGGATGGCTATCCAAGTGCAAGTCATCTTAACGGATGTATGCGGGCAGCATGGAAGGAGTCAGTGGAAAAGGAGAAACTGAAGATAAGTGAGAGAGGGAGAATGATAAAGAAGGCAACTGCCTTGGCAAGGAGAACCTCCTTTATGTGGGACATCATAGATAGCAGCAAAAGGTATCTATCTAAGTAACATGAGATAAGAAAAAAGGGAGTCATTCTCAGAGAATGACTTCAATTTTTTCAGTGAAATATGAAGCAAGGTTCTTATGTGGGAGGGTGTGGGGAGAGGGAGATATGGGAGAATTCAGAGGGTAAAGGTATGGAAAAGCCACTGTGATGAGTGGTATATTGAATTAAATAGGGAGGTTTAAAAGGAATGCCTTGCCTCACTGAAGGTCCAGTTGAGATTATGTAACATAAATTTGTAGTGGTCCCACTCACTACCATTTTGTGACTTTCTCCAGCTTATTCAGCCACATGTTAGCAGGAGCTAAGGCAGCTGATGATGGGAGTAATCCAAGGCTGAGGCTTGGCAGAGAAAGACTGGCAAGAGAATATGGGAGCAAGAGACTCTAAGGGAGAGGCTAATGTAGAGTTGAACTTTTTTTACCAAGAGGTCAATAGTGTTTCCATCTTGGAAGAGTGTGGTCAGTGTAGGGGAGATAGCCTGGGAAAGAACTGCAGATATAGGGATTAGAGGTTGTGGTAAGGATGAAGAATAGAGTTTGAAGTTTCAGAGCAGGTGGGATTATGGTCAGTTAAAGGAAGTTCAGAGTTCTTGAAAATAAAAGTGGAACATTTGAGATGTTGAAACTTGTTGATGGCAACATCAAGGGTATGACCATCTCTATGTGTAGCTGAGTTGATGTAGAGAGATAGGTCACAGGAAATGAGCAAGTTGAGGAACTGAGAGGGTAGGGCCATTGAGGAAACATCATGTTGAAGTCCCTTAACATGAGGGCAAGAGGTGGAAAGAGCAGAAACACTTTGAGACAGCTATTGACCTCATTAAGGAAAGGAGTGTCCTAAGGTTGGGAGATAATAGCTATCAGAATCTTGATTGGGTGGTAGATATGGACTGACTGAACTTCAAAGGAGGTGAGGTTACTGAGTGATGATGGTAGTGGGAGAGTGTGGAAGAAGTAGTGGAGAGAGGAATATTCCAAGTCCCCCACTTCGACCAGTAGGGCTGTACGAATGAAAGTGCAATGGTACTGGAAAGGGTAGCCAGGGAGGTTGTGTCATCAGTAGGGAGCCAGATCTTAGTGAGAGCCAGAAGATGGAACGAAAGTGAAAGGAAATGATTTAAGATGAAAGCAATTTTGTTAACTATGAAGCAGGCCTTCCGGAGTGTATTCCAGAGTGGAAGGTGTGGATAGCTTCAGAGTGGGACATTGGGGGTTTGGGTTGAGGGGGATAAGAATAAGGGAGCAGGCAATGGGAAATGGAAAATGGGGTTTGAATAAGTAATTCTCTAGAGATATTGCCAGTAAGAATGGCAAAGGACTGAGGACCTTACTTTCTGCAAACATGGAAAGCAGGGATAATTTTGCAGAGTACACAATGTTTATATTTCTGCCAAAACCAAGTAACTGCTATCTATGTCCAAACTGCAGATTGTTCTCCCCCACCTCGAAGAGAAGAATGCAATGAGACTTAAGGAATTCTTATAATTCTTATCTACTTCTCAGATTATCAGGGAGGATGACGTGATTCTTAAAAATCAAGAAAATAGAAAGATTTCAATGTGAAAACACTTTTAAAAGGCCTTGAAGTGGCCAAAAAGAATCTTGACAGACTTCAGTCTGACACCGAAAGAATTTCACACAGAAGAAGGGCAAAAAAGTACCACTATATACTTGGAGCTATGGGGCTCCTCCTAAAGGAGAGAGAACCAGATTATCTTTAGAGAAAGCAGCCTATGTTCAAAAAGGAAAGAAAACAGATACACAGATGTTACTTGTAAAATATCATCCAGGGCAGCTAGGTGGTGCAATGGATAGAGCTCCAGCCCTGGAGTCAGGAGGACTTGAATTCAAATCTGGCATCAGACACTTGACACTCACTAGCTGTGTGACCCTGGGCAAGTCACTTAACCCCAATTGCCTCACAAAAAAGAAAAAGAGAAGAAAGAGTAATGATTTGAAAGGAAGAAGAGATGAGCAGTTGTTGTTGGGGATTTTCTTCCATGGAGTTATGACAAGGATACTGAGGTAACCATCTGTCAACTTGATAATCACAACAGACAGGTCTACTCTCTCCTTGCAAACACGCTTCTAAGACATGACTGAAAAGCTCCTAAGATTCATCCAACTGCATGACTATTATCCACTATTAGTGACTTGATATGGACATGGATACAAATGATACTGCCAGAAGGAATCTAAAAAGTATTGATTAGGGGTAGCTAGGTGGCCCAGTGAATAGAGCACCAGCCCTGAAGTCAGGAGGACTTGAGTTCAAATCCAGCCTCAGACCAAACACTTGACACTTACTAGTGTGTGACCCTGGGCAAGTCACTTAACCCCAACTGCCAAGGAAAAAAGGGGGGGGGGAATAAAAAGTATTGATTAAAATCCTGGGTAAAAACTGAAGGAATTAGGGGTACAAAGAGTTATTTTCATCCTTGCTAATTATCAAAGACAACAACTTCAGGAGAATGTGGCAGTTTTTGGAAGTGAACAGTTGGTTAAGTAGATGATGTCTGAGAATAGAATAATATAGGAATTGTGGTCAGCATTTATTAAATGTCTGCTATATGCAAAAAAAGTGGCAGGTGCTCAGAATATAAAGAAAATTAAAAAATAGTCTCCTTGACCTCAAGGACATTACAATTTGTTTTCTGGATAGAGCCTTGCTTATTTATTCAAAAAGGATTTAAACTGAAAAAAGAATGGGGTAGAGGAAGGGAAGAGAGAGAAAATTGCTTACCTATATTCCTCAAGCTAGAGACCATAAAGAATAGCTAAAATATAAGCAGAAGAATAGTAGTAGAGATGTACAGAGTTCATGGGGAAAAATGTAAGAAAAGGGGGCAGTTAGGTGGCCCAGTGGATACAGCACTGGCCCTGGAGTCAGGAGGACCTGAGTTCAAATCCAGCTTCAGACCAAACACTTGACACTTACTAGCTGTGTGACCCTGGGCAAGTCACTTAACCCCAATTGCCTAAAAATAAAACAAAATTAAAAAAAAATAAAAACGTAAGAAAAGAAACAGCAATAAAATCAATGGCCTTGGGTATCTTTATGCCAATGCACAAAATACAAATAATAAATAACTTAAAATAGAAATGTTAACACAAGGAAGTAGTTTTTATTCCTAAGTAAAGTAAGACTTGGTGGGATGAGAATTATGATTAGAATATGGATAGCAAAGGGTAACTTTATTCAAAAGGAAAAGAATAGACAAAACATATGGTAGCTATGGTTACAATACTCACTTATCAATGTTCCTTCTAATATTAGTGTTTAAAATTTTAATTAATTAATTTAATGAAGCTATTAGAGTTAAAAAGTTGGAAGTAGAAAATCAATGATTGTGTGTGGAGCATAGCGGAAAGGCAAGGCTGAGTTATACTGATTTATTATTTAGACAATGAGACTATTGGAAACTCACCAGGTTTCCCAAGTCCACCTTATTCACACGTGGTAAAGATTAATGAAGCATTATAAATCATGAATATAATTTGCACATCATGCTAACTTTAAAGAAATCTCTTTAAAATGATGAGTTGAGGCAGAACCAAGACGGCAGAATACAGGTAGCAACCCAGCTAAGCTTTCCCAATATTCCCTTCCAAACAACTTTAAAATAACTCTTCAAATCAAATTTTGGAGTGGCACAGCCAGCAAAAAAAGTGAGCCATTTTTCCAGCCTAAGACAACTTAGGAGGTCAGTAGGAAAGTCTGTGACCTGGCCTGGAGTATGGCAAGAGCACCATCACTGGGCCTTGGAGGTGGCTGCAACAGCAGTAGTAATATCTTTGGGGACTTTCAGCTCAGAGACAGTAAAGGGGATAGACAGATGGTCAGAAAGAGATTATAAACGACCCTTTGCTGACACTGAGTGCAGCTGGTGCTAACTGCCAACTCTACTGCCCATAAGCAGTTCTGAGTTGCAGTTCCAGGGCAGAAAGGAGCACCTGTGATCAGTCACAAGGGAACAGGGCCCTGGTCACAGTTCAGGTGGAGAGGAGAGCTAGTACTTGTGGCTGCAGGGGAACAGGGGCCCTTCCTGGGTAAAGACCAGAGTGCTGACCAGAAAAGCAGTACCCACATTTCTCCCCAGACTGCATCACCTTGGAAGCACTAAAAACTTACAGACTCCCAGAACTAGGTCTGAAAACAGCAGCACAAAAAAAGTCTGAAGCTTGGGACAGTGCCTTCCTCCACCCAGTAGAGTAGAGCCCAATTTTAACATAAAGTTTAAAGTCAAGAAATAGGCTGGAAAAATGAGCAAACAACAACAAAAAAGAACTTAACCACAAAAAGCTACTACAATGTCAGGGAAGACTAAGACAAACACAGAATAAGACAACAATGTAAAACAACTACAAGCAAAGCTTCAAAGTAAAATGCTAATTAGGCCAAAGCCCAACAAGAACTCCTAGAAGAGTTAAAGAGAATGATGCTAGAAAATTGTGAAAAGAGAATTAACAGCTTATTAAAATAGGCACAACAATACTGAAGAAAATAACACCTTAAAAAACCATAATTGGCCTAATGGTAGAAGTACAAAAGTTCACTGATGAAAATAACTCCTTAAAACAGAACTGGTCAAAAGGAAAACAAGGTACAAAACCTCACTGAAGAAAATAATTCCTTAAAAATTAGAATTGGGCAAATGGAAGATAATGACTCCATGAGACATCAAGAAATAATAAAACAGAGTGAAAAGAATGAAAAAAAATAGAAGAAAATGTAAAATATCTCATCAGAAAAACAACTGACCTGGAAAACAGATCGAGGAGAGATAATTTAAGAAGTATTGAACTACCTGAAACCATGATCAAAGAAAGAGCCTAGACATCATCTTTCAAGAAATTATCAAGGAAAGTTGCCCTATGTCATAGTTCTACAGGGTAAAACAGAAAGTGGAAGAATCTACCAATCACTTCCTAAAAAAGATTCCAAGATGAAAACTCCCAGGAATATTATAGCTAAATTCCAGAGCTTTCAGGTTAAAGAGAAAATATTTCAACTAACCAGAAAGAAATATTTCGAATACTGTGGAGTCACAGTCAGAATCACACAAGATTTAGCAGCTTCCATGTTTAAGGAGCTATGGGCTTGAAATATGATACTTTGGAAGGCAAAAGAGCTAAGATTACAACCAAGAATAATTTACCCAGCAAAACTGAGTATAATCCTTCAGGGGTAAAAATGGACATTTAACAAATAGAAGACTTTCAAGCATTCCTGAAGAAAAAAACAGAGCTGAATAGAAAATCTGACATTCGAACACAAGCCTCAAGAGAAGAATAAAAAGGCAAACATGAAAGAGTAATCATAAGAGACTCAATATATTCCTGTGTGGGAAGATGAGATGCGTAACTTCTAAGAACTTTATCATTATTAGGGCAGTTAGGAGTCCACATAGACTGACAAGGCATGTGTGTCAATCAGTTATGCTGGGTTGATCTAAAATACACACACACACGCACACACACAGAGTTGAATGTAGAAAGCTATCTTACTCAATAAAGATGTTAGAGGGGAAGGGGGCAAGATGACAAAGGGATGGTAGATTAAGGGAGGCAGTAGTTAGAAGCAAAAGAGACTTTTGAGGAGTGACAGGATAAAAAGAGAAAGAGAAGGATAAACTGAACAAAACAGTAATCATAATTGTGAATGTGAATGGAATGAGCTATCCATAAAACAGAAGCAGATAGCAGAATGGATTAGAAACCAGAATCCAACAATACGTTGTTTACAAGAGATAAGCTTGAAACACAAAGAGCTACATAGAGTTAAAATAAAGGGCTGGAACATAATCTATTATGCTTCAGCTGAAGTAAAAAAAGGTAGGGGTAGCAAGCACAACCTCAGACAAAACAAAAGCAAAAGCAGACCTAATTAAGAGATAATCAGTGAAACTACATTTTACTAAAGAGGACAACAGACAATAGAGTAATACAAAATTTTTTTACGGCAAGTTTCTCTTTTATATTACATTTCTCACATATATATAGGGAACTGAGTCAAATTTATAAAATAAGAGCTGTTCCCCAATTGACAAATGGTCAAAGGATATGAACAGGCAGTTTTCAGAAGAAGACATCAAAGTAATTTATAGCCATATGAAAAAAATGCTCCAAATCCCTATTGACTAGAGAAATGCAAATTAAAACAACTTTCAGGTACCATTTCATACCTATTAGTAATGACAAATGCCGGAGAGGATGAGGAAAAATAAGTACACTAACAAACTGCTGGTGGACTCATGAACTGATCCAACCATTCTGGAAAACAATTTGGAACTATGCCCAAAGGGCTATAAAACTCTGCATACCCTTTGGTTTAGCAATACTACTACTAGATCTGTACCCCAAAAAGATCAAAGGAAAAGGAAAAGGACCCATATACACAAAAATCTTTATAGAAGTTCTTTTTGTGGTGGTAAAGAATTGGAAAGTGAGGGGATGCTTATCAATTGTGTAATGGTTGAGCAAGTTGTGGCATATGCTGTGATGAAGTACTGCTGTGCTATAAGAAATTACAAGGGTGGTGGTTTCTGAAAAAACATGGCAAAACCTTTATAAACGGATGCAAAATGAAGTGAAAACTGACAGATAATTATGCATAGTAATAGCAATGTTGTGATGATCAGCTGTGAAAGACTTTGCTACTCTGATCAATACCATGATCCAAGACAATTCCAAAGGACTCATGATGAAGAATGTCATCCACCTCCAGAGAAAGGGAATTGATGAATTCTGCGTGCAAACTGAAACATAATTTTCTTTCTTTCTTTTTCTGTCATGTGGCTAATATGGAAATATGTTTTGCATAATTTCACACATATAATTAATTGCTATCATTTTGTTTGCCTTAGTGGGTAAGAGAGGTGTAGGAGGATGAGAGATAATTTGGAACTCAAAATTTAAACAGAAAAGAATGCAAAAATAAGTAAGTTTTAAAAAAGGATGAGCAGCATATATTAGCATCTTACTGATGGCCTTATTGTTACTAGTCTACACATGTAAAGGTCATATTTGAATTTGTAGTATCTGCCTTGTCACATTTTATTAAGTTGAAGGACAATAAAAATTTCCCCAAAATGTCAAAAAATAAAATAAAATACAATGGCTTGGATGTGTTAAATCTACAATTCATCAGTCTTGCTTCCATTTACTAAACTGACATGCAAAGAAAGCTAAAAAGTCACATGGTACCTGCTCATTGACTTTAGGCTCTTAACATACATTTCTGCTTTTGATGCATTGATCTGTAATTTATTCACATCAGTATTCTTCCAGTTTTCAAGTATGGACACCTAAAATTGGAGAAATTTTAAACATCTTAAAAAATTAAATGTGGCAAAATTTCTTACTTATACCACTGAGAGAACAGATTTCTTTTTGAAATGCTTTAGGTTCATAGTTCTTAACTTTATCACAACTTCTGCCAGGTGAGTATACAGTGGAATATCTCAGTTTGTAGTCTTTTATAGAGATGAATATAGGAATAAGGAAACTTTGTGAGACTAAAGTATCTAAAATTTAGATAGAGATATGAAAATAAACACTTTCCATCAATAAATTTAGGATTGGTAAGTGTGCTATGGTAGAAGTCCTGGGGAAAACGAAAAAACTACTTTCTTTATTGAAGGACTCTAATGGGTCTGAGAGACTGACTTCTCTCTCCATGGTATATAATCATATACCATGAAGAAATTAAGTTTCAGGAGAAGCTCTTTTTAAACTCCTCTAACTTTCTTGGTTGACAATTCCAAGAGTTATCCCAGGTCAGGGCAATGTGTGGAAGGAGCCATGAGTGGGGACAAGTGAATGAACCTGAGATGTAGTAGGTTTTTTTTTGAAGGACCATGTTTTCCCAGCTTTTTAAATATAGAAAGGGAGAGAAAAGCTTGTCCTGCATAAAATCTACACATGCATGTATAAAACACATATGTCCATATGTGTAGCTTTCTATTCACATGAATTCATACAGACAGTGAGAGTGTGTGTGTGTGTGTGTGTGTGTGTGTGTATAACATTAAAATTTCCTTCTCCCTCTCCCTCTCTTTTTTTTTAAACAAGGGAAAGACACAGTTTGTGGATAGGTGGAAATAAATGAAATGAGGGGAGATATAGGTTTATGTCATTCCTACTTGGTATTTCACACCACATCCAAATAGGGGTGGTGATTTAGAGGTTTGGAGATAGTCTGATGAATTGCCAAGTTTTATTTGCTATTTTAAAATTCAAGAACATAGCAAATTCAAACTTAACGGGCCAATATAATCTTTAGCAGAAACCTGTTTCCATCATGAAGTAATTGTCAGCCCCTAATAGTGAAAAGTTATACAGTGGAGTCATGATCAAATACAAAGAGTTTTGTAAAACCTTTATAGACTTAGAGATGGAAAGACTTTCCCCTCATTTTATAGATGAAGAAATTGAGGTCCAGAGAGGGGAAGTAATTTGCTCAAGGTCATGTAGGTAATGGAATGGCAGAGGTAGAATCTGAACATAGATCTTCTGACTCCAAATCCTGAGTCTTTTCCATTGTGCCACAAAGCCTTCAATTCAGAGAAATCAGATCCAAACAAAATGCTGCCAACCTTCCATTGCTTAACAGTTTGATTTTAAGTGTCATCAAATGTCCCAATTGGAACCCATCTGAGTTCCTCTACACTAAAAGAGTATATATAGCATCAATAAAGGAAGCCAATATACCAAAAAGCATCTCTTGAATTGTCATATATTTTTGAAATGCATCTACTTCATCTATCTCAAAATGCCACGAAAAAACAATACCATTAGACTCACCTCTGCAGCCACAGCTCTTTTAATAGTTTCATGGTAATTCTCTTTTCCCTTCTTTATAAGTTCCTCCATTTTCAATTTTTCATTTGCAAATTTATTACTATGAACATAAAAAAAAACTTGAAATATTTTAAGCCACTGAGATACTGCATGCAGGTTTATTTTTGTTACAAAGAAATTAACTGCATCTCTTAAAAGCATATATTTAAATGCTTTGTTATGCAACAACCAGAGTGCACATTTAATAGGATTACAGGCAACAATTCACTGGTTTGGGGAGTGGGTATAGAGCAGGGATGCTCATACCTTAGTCAATAAGTATTTATTAAGTACTTACTATGTGTAATATGAATACAAAGACAGGTACAAACAGTCCCTCTTCTCAAGGAACTCACACTCTTATGGGGAAGACAAACATGGAAATAACTAGGTATGCATAAGATACATACATATATGTGTTTATATATGTATATATGCGTGTGTGTGTGTGTGTGCAGTCGTAGGTGTCCAAGTAAAAAACAGATATAACTCTAGGTAAACAAATATTTTAAAAAACTGACCTGATTTTGAGAAATTCATCCAAGTGTGATGCATACTGTCGATCCTTTTCTTCATTATTCCGTGAATATCTATGAAAAACAATCAGGAAATTAAGTTTAAGCCTTGAGGTCAAAAAAACCTTAAAGTGTTTCAGCTCAGAGGAGACTGAGAAAAGAGACAGAGGCTTCGGTTTTTTTAAAATTTAACCTAAAACATGGATATCAGATCAAATCACGTAATTTATATCAACAATATGAATAAAATCACAAAAGAACTGAAGAGATCATCATATGCACTCTCCTCTCTCTCTTTTTTTTTAGTTAGGCAATTGGATTAAGTGACATGCCCAGAATCACGTGTCTGAGGCTGCATTTGAACTCAGGTCCTCCTGACTCCAGAGCCAGTGTTCTATCTACTGCATCATCTAGCTGCCCCTATGTACTCTTTTCTCAGCTGGCTTTGTGGTAGCTATTGTGGCTTTAATAAAGACCACGAAGATGAGAGGGCAAGTGTTTGTTTTATTTAAAAACCTGGCTCATTCACAAATGCTTGAAGATAGAAGGATTTCCATTTTATGGTAAACCCATGAGTTCATCTGATTTAATCTATAAAATGGGTTTACATACTTTTGTTGATAAAGAAAAGAAAAAAGCTAACTATTTGCTAATTCTGCAAACAAAAAGCTTGGTCAGAGAATACTAAATACAGCTAAGAATCAATGAAATTTAACACCAAATCCTAAGGTGCCTGACTAGCCACCAAATTATAATTTACTCCTCAATAATTTATCAAACAAGACTAATGAGATGATGTTATTTATAATATTTAATTTTTTTTTTGGTTTCAAAGAAGTACAATTGGTAATTGGGACATATAACATTGCTCTTTTGGAGTTTGAAAACAATGGGTGGGGCAGGTACTGCCAGAGAGGCCCTGCAAGATTTTAATTTTTTAATTTTTTTTTTAAGGCAATTGGGGTTAAGTGACTTGCCCAGGGTCACACATCTAGTAAGTGTCAAGTGTTTGGTCTGAGGCCGGATTTGAACTCAGGTCCTCCTGACTTCAGGGCTAGTGCTCTATCCACTGCACCACCTAGCTGCCCCCTACAAGGTTTTAAGATCACAATTCCTCCCTCATGCCATGAAGATTACTTATGCCAAAAAATAACATTATGGATATTCTTCTTTACAGCACATGGTTTTATTTATAGTTTTTGTTCTTTGATTTCAAAATATCTAATTCAGAAACTCTAAAGAGTTTTCTGAGGGAGGGCAATAAATAATAAAACATTTTGTGTAGAGGTTTTTTTTTTTAAAAACTCAAATTCTCTGGTATTCCTAAAAGTTTAGGGTAGTGCAGCATGCAAAAGTCTTTATTCTGTACAATTAAATTTATCTGCAGTCAAAAAAAGTTGCCCTCACTGTTAACAAGTATCATACATAATGAATCATGCAAAGGATTTTAAAGATTTCTGTCCTGTTTCATTTTTAATACTTGATCTGAGCAAAGGTTTTTGACTCCAGTCATGATACAATTCATGTAAAGTTCTCTCTATTTTATATCCAAGAAACACCACCAACTTTATCTTTAACCTAAGATGCATATATCATGATAATTTTACTGCATTTTAATATAAAAGAGAAGATTAAAACATAAAAATCAAAGAAAACTATAGTCGCTATAAAAGCATTAATTAATCAAATTGGTTTTCTTACTGTTTCTTACATACAACACACTCCCAACCACCAAACTTTACACTGCCTGGAATACAGTATCTCCTACCCCCTTCTCTCAGAATTCTTGGTTTCCCTGAAAACTCGGCTGAAGTGCAACTTTTTACACAATCAGTTAACAATAATTTATTAAGTAATTACTATGTGCTAGAGATACAAAGACAAAAATGAAATAATTTCTGTTTTCAAGAATCTTATATCCTTATTAGGTGAGACATGTTTTCTCTGTCTCCATATACAAAACATACTTATATACACACACACAAATATGTACATATTTAGAATAACTAGATTTTATATGAACGAACAGTATACACTAACCTGGAGTAACCCTTACATTTCTGAATACATTACAGAAATAACTTAGATTTCCTTTACAAATTGGTTTAGACTACATGTTTATGTACAACCTGGTTATTGACTAACACATTTTTGAAAAAGCTAAACTGTTTTGAATCACTGTATAATAAGGCTGGAAGATAGGTCAGGGTTGAATTGTGAAGGGCTAAAAAAGCAGAGTTTATAGTTTATCCTTTAGGAAGTAGAAAGTTTATTGAATAGAGTCAGATTAACATATCAAGTCAACAATATAGTCAGATTAACACAAGGAAACTCACTTTGGCGGTTGTGGGAAAAGATTTGAGGCAGGGAGACAAATAAGAAGGTCACTGTAATAGTCTAGGTGAGAGGTGATGAGGGCTTAAACAAAGGTAGTTGCTATATAGGGAGAAAGAAGGGGTTGGGTATGAGAGGTATTGGGGTAGAAATGGCTAGATTTAGCCAATGACTGAATATGTGGAATGAATGTGAATGAGAAGCCAAGGGTAACAACGAGGTTATAATCTGAAAGATTGGAAGAATGGTGGTACCCTTAGCAGAAATGGACGGGTTCACCAGGAGGGTGGGTGAATTTTGGGGGAAAGATAATGAATTCTGTTTTGGACATAATGAGTGGGACTGGTGCTCAGGAGAGATGAGGGCTGGATATAATAAAGTCATCTGCATAAAGATAATAATGAAATCCCTGGCAGTTGAACAGGTCACTAAGTCAAGAGAGTATAGAAAGGGAAGAGGGCAAAGGACATGAAACCTTTCCTGACCAGGGGATAATGTGATAGTATTTCTCTCTTTTTACTCCGTGCTCTCCCTGCCAACCCCAGGGACCAGTTACCTACTTTTTGTTTTGCATAAACTTATATACTCACAGTACACATTATCTCCCTTAATAAAATGCAAGCTCTTGGAAGGCAAGGAGTTTCTTTTTAAAATAAAGGTTTATATTGTGCTATAAGACATGATGAACAGGCTGACTTCAGAAAAACTTGGAAAGACTTGTATGGTCTGATGCTGAGTGAAGTGAGCAGAACCAAGAGAACATTGTACACAATAACAGCCAAGTTGTGTGATGATTAATATTGATAAACTTAACCCTTCCTGGCAATACAAGGATCTAAGACATCTCCAGAGGCCTTGTGATAGAAAATGTTATCCACATCCAAAGAAAGAATTATGGAAGTTGAATTGCTATTTTTTTTCTCTTCTGTTGAATTTTGTTTCCTCTTTCTGATGGTTCCTCCTATTGATTTTAATTTTTACTTACAATATCACTAATGTGAAAATATGTTTAATATGAATGTAAATGTACAGCCTATATCAGATTGTGTGCCATCTTGGGGAGGGTGGTGGGGAGGAAGGGGGAGAAAAATTTTAAACTCAAAAGCATATGGAAGTGATTATTGATAAATCAAAATAAATTAATAAAAATAAATAAATTAAAAATAAAATAAAATAAAATGGCAGGCTCAGGGAGGGAGTCAGGAGGGCTGGCTACTTTGACAAGTGACTTCCCTTTCTCTTGCCCAGAGCTAGGCCTCCTCACATTTCTCTACCATTTTCACATCAAGCCCTTCCTTGGCGGGGGTGGAGGGTTCTAGCTTGACTTGATTTCCCTATCCCATTCCAATGTAAGCTCCTTGACGACAGGGACTGCCTTATGCTGGTTTCTATTTGTATTCCCAGCATTTAGCACAATGCCTGACACATAGTAGGCACTTAATAAATGTTTTCTCTCTGTGTCAGAAAAAAAAAACAAGAAAGAAAGAAATGATGAAAGAGATGGTTTCTAAGAAACCTGGGCACACTTGTATGAATTGATGCCAAGTGAAGTGAGCACAACCATGAAAACGATTTATACCATAATGATACTGTTAAAAAAAAAAGAATATTTTTGAAAGATGTAAGAACTCTGCTCAATGTAATGATCATCGTGATTCTGGAGGATTTATCATGGAGAATGCTGACCATTTCCTAACAAAGCAGTGATGAAATAAATAAACAGAATGATAGTCAATTTTTGGACATGGCTATGGAATTTATTTTGCTTGATTATGCATATGTTACGAGAGTTTTTCTTCTTATTTTTCAGTGGCAGAAAGTAGGAGGGAGAAAAAAATAAATGCATGATAACCAAAAAAAATTTTTTTAAGGTACAGAGAACAGAAGGAAGTTCAGAACGAAGCACAAATAAACAGGATAGTAACGAAAGTGACATGGTAAAGTATCTCTTTTTAAAAAAGTGGTAAGAAATGGAGATTCAATTTTATATGAAATTCTTTTTGTGTCCTGTTGTACGTATGCACATATTCTTTTTTGGCGTTTCAATTCAGAAAAAAGTTTTAAAAATAAAGTTATTAATATGTGCACTGAAATACTGCAACTGATTAAAGAAAAAAGTGATACTTTGGGGAACTTGCAATATTTTGAGAAAAGATGAAATGGCTATTTTTAAATGCATAGTAACTTTTCACTATTAAACATCACAATGCTCATTTGAAAAGGTAAAAAAAGTAAAGCATCATGAGTTCAAAGTTAAGTCAGTAGTAGTAAACTTACAACTCATCTTTTTCTAAAAAAATGAACATTTTCCCATTAGCTTTCCATTCCTTCATACAAACACACAATGCTAGGATCAAAGCAAAAATAATTTTGATAGAGGCAGTGAAAAACAGATAATCACAGAAATTAATGTAACATCTCACTGAAAACACAAATTGATTAACGTAGTTGAATCTGCCATTTATTTAATTTACTTAAAGTATTAATATTGGCATTCAGTCACAGCAGAACTAAAAGTCTAATGTAAAGAAATCGGGCAAGTCCATAAAACACAAAATGATTTTAAAATTTCTAATTCAACTCAATTTAATTCAATCCAACAAGCATTTCAGAAGCACTTAGGAACCATTGTCTTAGGGATGACAGTTTTGCCCTCTGGAGGCTAATGAACTAATAAACGGTTCCAAAGATCATTCCACATCAGCATAATAATTAGCTCCTATAAGAATTACTAGGTGGTCTCAGCAATGCAAGGATCCAAGACAACTCCAAAGGTCACATGATGGAAAATGATGTCCACATCCAGAAAAAGAACTATGGAGCCTAAATGCAGATCAAAGCACATTATTTGATAACTCTTTTTTGTTGCTGTTGTTTTTTTCTTCTTTTTTGCGGTTTCTCCCATTGGTTTTAATTCTTCTTTACAACGTGACTAGTGTTAAAATAGGTTCCACATGAATGTATATACGTAGAGCCTATATCAGGTTGCATGCCATTTTGGGGTGGGAGGAAGGGAGAGATGGGGAGAAAATTTGGAACTTAAAATCTTATGGAAATGAATGTTGAAAACTAAAAATAAATAAATAAATTTAAAAAAAAAGAATTGTTAGGTGGTCCAGTGGATAGAGCTCTGGGCTTGGAGTCAGAAAGACCTGAGTTCAAATCTAGCCTCAGAAACTCTACTAGCTGTGTGACCTTGGGCAAGTCACTCTGTATGCCCTGGTTTCCTCATCTGTAAAATGGACTAGAGAAGGAAATGGCAAACTACTCCAGGATCTCTGCCAAGAAAACTCCAAAAAGGAGTCACAAAGAGTTGGATATGACTGAAAAACAACTGAACAACAACCACAACAAATAAGAACTAAACAGTTCAGTTGCTGAAAGAGGCAGAAAATTTACTTTTGCATAAATGAAAAGAAATAAATCAACTTTGGTGGCTGAAAGTTGGTGGAAAAAATTTTTGTTTAATAAAAAATGTTAAAAATATATGTGTAAAGAAATTCAGTTCCAAATAATATGTGGGCAGTGTGGCTGCCCCGAGGGGAAGAATATGGCCTTAGATAAATAAAAAGGTTCAAATCATTTTCTAAAGAATGTAAAGTGATGGTCCTTTCCTAAATGAATAGTTGGTGGCTGAAAGCAGCAGAAAGAAAAAAGAACATTTATTAGAAACTCACAAAATGCAATTATGAAGATATACAGAATGTTAAATGGACCAGTTTGAGGTCTGAGAACAGGCTGAATAGCTGAGAATACAGGGCTTTGTGGTCCTTCCTCATTTTAATGTAACTATTTTTAAGGTTTAAGAGATTAAAACTCACAAAATGATAAATAAGTGTTGAAGACTATGCAATGTTAAGTTTTATAACTAAGATAAAAGGGGATTTCATAGGTTTTAATTTTATAAAGGAAAGGTGAATCACTGAATACCAGGTAGCTCTGGTCTGATTCATTGAATCACTGAATCATAGTGAAGAACTCAGCTGCTTGTAGTTTTTGTCCCTTGTTCTTGAAGAGGACCATGACATCAGGAAGATGATGCCATGACTTGCAAGTAAACTGGATTTAAGTGAGGGAGGATCCATCTGGGTCCAGAGGCCAGATATAGATCAGGACAACTGGAGATGACCCAGGCTGCAGTGGGGAACCTTGGCCTTTTTAAACTAAGAACTCAGCTGCAGTGAAGAACTGAGCAGAAAAGTAAAAATCCTGCTCTGATAGAGTAACTGTGAATGTATCAGCAGAGGAGACGCCAACTGACAAGAAAGTTTCAGCTGCTAGACCCTGAATGGTAAATAAAGGTTGGTGCTCAGTGACATCTATGGTTTGAGAGCAGTAGCCTCTGAGTTGCCTGTTGCTCTCTGCCTCCTGTCTTGTGTGAAAAGGAGAAAGGAGAGAGGGCTCTGCTAGACTGACTGGCTAAGAGTCCACCGCATGACACAGAATCCTAGTGAGGGAAGAGCTGGCTGGTTTTTTATCCATTTCCCAGAGAAAGCTTAACTACTAAGCTCTGGAGTTCTTTGGCTTAAAGGAAGGAACAGAGTTAACACTTTCTCCATTTTCTATTACCTTTTAAGAGTATATATGAGTTAAAAGAGCTAGTCAACGCTTCATCAGTTTGAGAGTGGAAGAGGATTTGCTCAGAAGGAGAGCAGTGAGACACATAAGAACAGTTAGCAGAGAAGCAGCTTCATGCGGTGTAGATATTCCTGAATGGATCAATTACATGAAGGCCTGAAGCTCAGAGTTGTGAGTTATCCTGAACACATGGCTTTTTCTCACTCATGTGCCTCCCTGCAAAGTTAACATACATGGGTCCCTACTTAATACACTGTTGGGAGAGTATGAATCAGGTTTATGTTTGGATTGCGATGCACTGATTATTCCTGAATTTATTTATACTGAGTATCTGTGATATAGTTATATTGCTTTAAATAAATGGCTATGTTTAAGATCGAATGGTGTCATTATTAAGTAGTTGGCATTGTGTGAGTGGGAATTACACTGACGAGGAAAGGAAATAATAGTGTTAAGTAGGGGAGTATATTCCCTCATAATAAGACCACCCCTAGGACCTTGTAGCTCGATGTGGTAATTTTTCTCTGAGAATTCAGACTTGCCAGTGTTAGGGCAAGCTGAGGTGCTGTGAGAGAGATAGAAATAGAGAGAGAGAGAGAGAGAGAGACAGAGAGAGAGAGAGAGAGAGAGAGAGAGAGAGAGAGAGAGGTGATGGTCAAGGTGTAATACCTCCTTAAGCAGACAATACATTTTTTTGGGGGGTAGAGCGCCTTACAGGCTTCTCTTGGACATTTCCTAAATATAACATAAATAACTGTTCCATATTTATGGAAAAACAATACTTCTAATTCCTGAATACAGAAAATGTTTTTAATAACTATGGTGATATAAACAACAAAAATTTTTGACCCCTATATAACATGTCTTTATTATTATTGTTGTTATTATTATTATTATTATTGTTATTGATATTTTGGGCTAGGCAATGAGGTTAAGGGTCACACAACTAGAAAGTGTCAAGTGTCTGAGGTTGCATTTGAACTCAGGTCCTCTTGACTCTAAGGCCAGTGCTCTATCCACTTCACCACCTAGCTGCCCCTACAACATGTCTTTAAAAGAAACATACTTTTCATAGAAAAAAAGAGAAAAGGGTCTAATTTTGAGTATAAGTAAACAAATTTAAAAATGGAGATTTAAAGCATTTGTTTGGAAATATGTAAACATGATACAAAAAAGAAGCTTATAGTTTTTCTCTGAATTGTTACAGATAAAAACAATAATAAATGAATTATACTACAAAAATGGAACTGTAATCAAGAAGGTAATGTAATCTTTAGCATAAATGATAATTTCATTCTGGTAAATTTCTGCATGAAACATTACCATCATGTTTTGGTGTGGCCCTTGGAAGCACAGCCCTCAGTCAGTCAGTCAATAATTCAGGCACACTGTGCTCAGTGCTGGGGATACAAACAAAGGCAAAAATAGTCCCTTCCCTCAAGTAGCTGATAGTTCTCATGAATGAGAGAGACAATACACTTACAAGACAGATACAAAGGGGAATACAATGACCTTCAAAGATGAGAACCATGTACACCCAGAAGGTGCATCAGTCTTAGAATAATGGCTTCTAATTGCTTTTGAATCTATGAGGTCCTCTGAAAATGACTCAGGCTGTCTTACTGGATGTAATCAAATAGAGCATATCAGACTGTGTAGTAGTCCAGAGTCTGGGGATTCACCAGCATACTACAGTGTGGCACATATCCTGGCTGGGTACCCGAGGTACTTGTAGATAGTGTAATATGTGCAGGGCCAGCCTTATACCTAACTGGAATAGTTGGTCATTTTATGTGGCATGAATGGAAAGGGTATGGGTAAGGTCTGCCTATACTTAAAATATATTCCCTACCAATTTATCCCATATTTGATATCACATCATTAAATATCCTTTCCTTTTGTACTTCTTTGTTTAAAATCTCTCTCCGGGGGATAATTCAGCCAGCCAGGTGGTGCAGAGGATAAAGTGTTTACCCTGGAGTCAGTTCAAATCTGGCCTCAGACACTTGCTAGCTATGTGAACCCGGGTAAGTTACTTAACTCTGTTTGCCTCAGTCTCCTAATCTATAAAATAAGTTGGAACAGGAAATGGCAAATCACTCTGGTACCTTTGCCAGGAAAACCCCAAAAGGGGTCACAAAGAGTTGGACATGACTGAAACAACTTTATCATGAATTAGTTTATTAGTTCCTTTCCATCATGACATGGATAGGATACATAGACGCCAAGTTCTGATAACAGAGATATAGGTTCAGAATAGCTGCTTCACCAGGGTGTGTATGAGAGAAGTTTGGAGATGCGTGGAAACAATAGACATGGGAAAGAAGGACAGACAGAGAATTCGGAAGACAGCCTACCTCACAATTTTGTTTAGGGGTGATCTAGGATATAATGTGTCCTCAAATTATACATACAATTTCAGTAATTTTGGGGACTTCAGAGAAAAGTACTAAATATGTGTAAATACATGTATATGAACTTATCTTTAGGAAATGGAATTTTATAGCTGGAAAAGATATATAAATCTAAGATAACAGATTCTGAACTGGAAGAAGATCTGAGTGGTCATCTAGTCCAGCTCTTCATTTTGCAGATGAGGAAGCTAAGGTTTAGAGAGGTTAAGTAACTTGCTCAAGGCCAGACAGGTAAGTGGCAGTACCAAGATGGGGAAACTGAGATCCCGAGTGGATAACTGATTTGCACAAGGCTGCAGAGCTGGGATTAGAACCCAGGTCCCCAGACTCCCAGTCTGTTGTTCCTTCCATTATACCTAGAAATGGTATCAAATTCATTCCTTTCCAGATTCAGTTAGTGTTTAAATTAGATATGAAATTACTAAAAAATTTTCAATACATTATACAGAAGTTATTATGAAATGAAATAGTGCTGGGGAAAATGAATCTATATAATATCTATATATCTCATTCGGTTTAATCTAAAAATTATCATTAGAACTGTTAAAATATGTAAGTACTTTTCTTTTAAATAATATCAATAATACATGGTCACTTTTTAGTCGCTACTTACATTTCACTGGTATCTGTAAGCTTTTTAACTTTATTTTTTAGAGTCTTTAATTTTTCTTGATTTTCCTTTTTTTCCTGCTGCCATTTTTTCATTTCTATTTCCAAATCTTGATGAAACCAATTCAATTCAGTCTTGGAAATCTATGATCAAAGATTAAATTAATGGCAAATTTGATTTACACAACACTTGACAATAGTAAATAAAGACATTTGACTTTCATAAAATTGAAAACTGACATGTACAATTTTCTTTTAATATATACTATAAAACCTCATTAATCTGGACTATCCTATTAAGGAAATGGTGATCATTTGAAGATGATGAGTTGAATATTCCTTTATAAATAGAAATTAATTAAAAAAAGATTTTAGGAGAATAGTAAATACACTTAAACATTTTGGAAGAAAACACTTACACGTGAACAATTGACACAGATTTACAGATCATTCTTATCTATCACTGGGGAGATATCTAACAAGTAACATTATGGAATAAAAATCTATAAAAGGCAAATTTTTGCCAACAGGACAAGTACTTAAGATGCCTGAAATTTAGGCAGTTACTACCAGATGAAGAGTGGTAATTCAGGTTAACCTTGTATAGGTACGCTATGGAAAGGCAAAAGACACAAATTTAATTTTCCTTTTTAAAAAATGTAACAATCAACATAAGTAAAATAAACATTTCAACTCACAAATGAGTTGTATTTCAAAATTTTCATTTACAAATTGGGTGTTTGGAACTGAGAACACATATTCCCATATAAATAATGTTACACACACAGATTAAGCACCCAGGATACAAATTATGAGCTCAAATTTTGGCTCCTGGGAAAAGGGAGCAAGGTTTTTATGTATGCCAAGAGACAGAAGTAGAAGGGAGAAGTTTTCTTTCCCTTTGCTGTCCCTAGGCAAACTTTTCAAATAGATGTTTTATCTCTGACATTTTCCCATTTCTTTTCTTCTCTTTCCTTTTTAAATATCTCCTTTGTACCTCCTGCTATCTTTTTTTCCCCTCTGGTCCCTAGAACCCACTATTTCAATTTGCACAAGTGCCATGTTGTAGAACCCCTGCTTTGGCCTGGACCTGCTCTATCCTTTATGATATTAAATGCTCCAGTATTACTTACTTATGCTTTCCCCTCAATTAAAACTTCCATTCATATAATAAAGTTACTATCAGCTAGAGGTGAGTAAGAAAGGCTCCTGATTAAATGGATTCATACTAAGGAACAGACTCTTATTTCTTATTCTGTTTTAAGGAGAACCTCAAATTTTATCTAAATTTTACTAAAATTCCCTATGACTAGGTAGGACCTTTGCTCCCAGCAGGCAACTGAGTGACTGAGGCTGTGAGGACAAGAATGTTCCTTACCACAGTTCTTCCTTTAGACACAGACAGGCTCCCAGATAGAGAAAAAGTGGAGCTGAGTTAACTCAAGCTAACTAAAGCTCTTTAAGACCTAATGAATTCTAGCCCACAAACACAGTTCACTGGATAGCTGGATACCAGGCCTTAGTGAGCAAGAAACTGAGATAGTAAAAGCTTCCCAGGAGTTCTCTTTGGTGCTCTAATTGGCCTAATCCTTGTCTTTAGCATCATTCTACCAGTGATAATGTGGTGCTTTTTTTTCTTTTAAATAATTGTTGTTGATATATTATTTCTACATCACACTCAATTCTGAATACATCCCTCTCTCCCTTTTCCCCCACCCAATGAACCCAATCTCTTCTAACAATGAAGAAAAAGAGAGGGAAAAAACAGTGCAGTTAAACTAATCAATACATTAACTGATTTGACAGTATATATAATGTTCCATACCTACAGTCTCTGACATCTGCAAACAAAGGAGGAAGATGTATTTTCTCAACTTCTTTAGGGCCAAGACTCATGCTTTTAAATTGCTATTGGTTAAGATATTATAGCATTGTAGAAAAAAAAACTTATGAGAACTATTGAGAGATTTTAAAAAATCAATATTCTAAAAACTTTATGGAGACTTGGACAACTACAGTTGTCTTGTCTTACAATGTCTTAGATGGCAAAACTTACCTTATTTTCTTCCATTGTTCTTTTCAGTTTTTCTTCCAGCTCTCTGGTCTCCTCTGTACTTCTGTATTTTAACTGTTCATATTTTTCCCTTGCTTCTTTAAGTTGCTCTTGTAATACTTGATGTTCCTTTTCCATTCGTAAAATATCACCCTACAATTAAGTCATAAAATTACACACTTAAAAAACACCCCTAGAAGGATGAATTCAATAGTTCCATAACTAAAGAATGACTGTTCCATACTGGTTAACCCTCATAACTGGAGGTAACTTAGCTAGTAAAATTGAGGTAAATTTAGTAAAATCTAGTCAGAGCCTTGGTAACTAGTTTACAGGAGACCTTTCTACTAGAACAAAACTGGCCCTGGATTACTTTATTCTGCTGATTCCTACAGCCAAATATATTCAGTTTACTTATGAATGCTTTAAAATAATGAGACAGAAATATGTGGACAATGATCCATAAATGAGTTCTACAGTTTATTACCTATGGTTTTATAATTTGTATCCAAGAAAAGTACATAACGAAAGAATAACATAGTTTTAGAAAATTCATTGTTGAAATTAACCTGCATTCCTCCAAATCACCAGGGAATGCTACATCTTCTTATTGCAATTAATTAGCATCAATATTTCCTTTACAAAAAAAAAAAACCAAAAAACCCAACCAACTAAGGCTTTGGGCTCATCATCTAGAATTATGCTCAGAGCTTTACGAGACTTAGGTTCCTCGTATTTATTGGCTCTAGTAAAATATCTACATCAAAAATACCCCCCAAAAAACCCAAAAACAAAAACCCAAAAAAACAAAGCCCTAAGAAACTTGCCCTTTAGAATGTGTGCTGTAATTTTCATCAAGGCAATTCCATGCCTTATCTAAATTTTTTTTAATCTATCTCAATGAAACACAGCGTTTTGTACAGAGAAAGCACTTAATAAATGTTTGTACAATTATCCAGTTTAATGTTAAATGTAAGAACTTAGGTTACTTGTGGGGTTTATGTTCAAAAAGATGTTATTCAATAAAAATGTGTTTCATGTGTAAAGAGTTTTGTCACTTGCCAAATACATAAAATGAATGCTTACTAAAAATTCCTATATACTAACTCAAAAAAACTCACTTTCCCCACAGCCAATGAAGAATCATTAATGACTGAATACTATAATCACTAAAGGAAAATGCAATGCTGACAAAGACCAAATTAAAACACTAACAAGACCTTTCATTGTTTTGGTTAATTTCCATTTCATCTTTTCAAAAGGAAATGTGGAGATTTATAAATACTTCATCAATCTACTTGTATCTGATATTTCCCATGCAAAATAAGATTGTATAAATCTCTTTATAATTCAAAATCACCCTCTTATAACATATTGAAGTTTAACAATAATAATAATAATAATAATAATGTCATCATCATTAATAATAATAGCTACCTAGATCAATACAGTAATATCTGGCACCTCTTTTTCTTTTCAAACAAACACAGAATCTTTTATTTTTAGCACATTTTTATTTTTTGTACTTACTTGTTGTGTTTCAAATGGACCAAAAGGCACTGTATTAACCTCCTGGTGCATTAAGTCTTTTCTCACCTGTTGCACAACACAAACACCAGTTACTTAAAAACTGTTCAAAATGAGATTATTTACCTCAAATTAACAAGGTATAATAAATTAATTTCCAAAATAAGAATAAATTTCCCATGAACTATTCTCTGCAGTACTGGATGAACAAGAAGCATAATGGAAAAAGGAACTTGGATGTTAATCTAAGAAAGACTTTACATTGGTTACTTCTGATTTCATGGTCTAAATCTAATCTGTGGGGTAGAAGTTTGGTTTGTGGTGCTGTTCAAAGTTGTCCTTGGGGAATGCTTAATTTATAGCACTAATTTTTTTTTGTTTGGTTTCCATAGTTTAATGTTTCTTATTAATGAAATTTAAACAATGTAACTAGCAAAAGAGAGGCAACATAATGTAGTAGTGAGCCTGCTTGAGAGGTAGGGAGCCCTGGACTCAAGTCCTACCTCTAACAGAACACTGGCTATGTGGCTTTGGAGAAGACAGTTACCCTCAGTGATCTGGACAGGTCTCTAGAGACAGGGGTTTTTAACATTTTTGTGTATGTGTCACAAGCCCCTTCTCAGAATAATGTTTTTAAATGCACAAAATAAAATACACATTATTGCCAAGGAAACCAATTATGTGAAATAATTACCAAAATATTAAAAACTGACAAACAAGTTCACATAGATTCCAAATTAGGAATACTTGCTTTAAGACTATCTGTTGCAGAGAAGGTGCTAACGCCTTCGTAGAGAGATTCTTATCAGGGAGTTCCTTATGCCAGTAAAATCATAGGTCAAGTCCCTATCCACATCTTAATAAGCAGTTTACAGTGGAGGAAACAGGCACATGGAAACTGAATGAATTAGACAACTTTACTGCAAAAGTCAGTGACAGAATTCATGATTCAATCTTCAGTTAACTGTGTGGGTTATTGAGTTACATTTCTCAAGGTTTTCTTACTTCAGAAGTGTAATGTATGTATTTCAGTAAAGTAATGTGAATGTTTCTCTTTTTTCTAAAATAAAAAAAGCTTCCACGATCAATAGTAAAAATTACGGGATTGCCTTTTAGTAAAAAGAGTTGCAACCAGGAGAATTTTTTAAAAAAAGATTTTCAAATATACTTAATAATATGGAAATTTTGCTTGTTTAACAACACTGAATTTAAATCTATGAAAATTAACTAGCTGAGAAACTTAGAAATAAATAAAATAATGGTGACAAATTAGATTAATAGATACTGATATCAATTTATCTTTCAGTCACTTATATGTTCAAAGTTTAGTTTTTTAAACTTTTGTTTCAACTCATAGCACTTAAAGTGCTCATTTCAAAATTTTCAAGCTTGTTATTTTTTTTTGGAAAAATTTTTCTCCTCAATATAAGACCAGAGATAATTTAAGTGTTTTGTTGTTGCTGTTTTGTGTGTGTGTGTGTGTGAGGCAATTGAGATTAAGTGACTTGCCCAGGGTCACAAGCTAGTAAGTGTCAAGTGTCTGATGTTGGATTTGAACTCAAATCCTCTTGATTCCTAAGGCCAGAACTCTTATCCACTGCACCACCTAGCTGCCCTAAGTGTTTTTTGTTTTAAATCAGATTTAGCCCAACTTCTACACCTATGAAAATTATTTATGTCTGTGAATTGAGTTAGTGACTACTGTCAGAAAACTCTGTAAAAACATTTTGGTTTACTATTTGAATAGATCTGATTTTATCAAGTTCAGTAGTTGCTCCAATTATGCAGACTTCATTAAATAGATTATTTCATGGGTTTATTCTGGCCAAAACAACTCATCTTATGGTAGCCAATTTCCTGGTGACCAGTTTCTCTAGACTTAGGTAGGCTGGTACTAAAACAATAGTACAAAACACACTGCCTTTCATTAACTGTTAGAAAATTAAAAAAAAAAATCTAAGAAAGACAAAGTAACCTTAATGGTACCATTCTTTCAAAGAATTAAAGGTCTTGAGGGAAAGTGCAGGTATCAACTGACTCATTTCCTTTTCTTTTGGAAGAACTTTTAAGACATCTTAAAGAAGTATTTATATTATTCTTAAATACTCTAAGACAGAAAATACTAATTATCAATATAGCTTCACAAACCCTAAACAGATCATTCTAAGAGTTTATCCAAGAAAAACTGTCAGGGTACAAATTTAATATGTTCAATATTACCAACAGACTCTTTCCTAATTTAATGTCTTACCTGTATGGCAACCATTCGTATACATGGAGTATTTTTAATGACAGCAGTATTTTTCATTTCTGCTTCCAGTTTACTAGCACAATGATCATTATTACTAACGTATGCATCTTTGGCAGTTTTGTCTTTATCTGACTTCACAGTTGTTTTCTGGGCGTTCTGATCGATCTGTTTTTCACAACTAAGTTCATCAGAAGAACATTCTTTTTCAAGCACTGTTTTTTCAGTATTCACATGATAAGCTTCATAATTGCCTTGGACATAATTATCTCTTCTGTCAGTATCTGTGATGGGAGACACAGCTGACACCAGTGGTGCTTTTCTTTTTGTCTGATAATCAGAAGATACATCAGATACAGTTGTGTATAAATTAATGCATTGAGATGACTGTGGCAACACATTTGCATAAGATACTGATACTGATGTGTTATTGGTGTCAAATCCTTGATTAGAAAAAACTGTATTAAAAGGAATATATGGCATATATCCTGGGGTGACATACTTTTCAGCTTTATTTACTTTTTTATTTTTAGATCCTGGGATGAAAGAATTAGAAGACACTGGTTTAAATTCTTTAGCTGCTGGATTCAACTGTAGTTTGAGCTGGGAAGCATTTTTCTGAAAGCATGGAGACAACGTTGAGTCTTTCTCATCCAAACCAGTATTTTCTTCCTCTGCATTTCCAGTGGTTTTATTTTTCTTAAGTTGAACAGCATCTTTCATCAATCCAATATAATTGTCTATCATAACAAAATGAAGAGAATCCAAGAGAAAAGATTTTAAGCCTCCTGCCTCCTCCACAATCTTCCTAGTTTCTTCAGGAAAATGTTCATATTCTCCAACCAATAACTTGTCATCAATTTCCAAAGGGCCATGTTCTTCCAGGATCTGAGAAAAATAGCTTTAAAAATATTTAAAAATAAAAATATTTAAAAATATAAAAAATATTATAGAAAGTACTTTCCATTTATGAGCTTTATTTAAACGTTTAAAAGAAGCAGTATTTCTTCAATCACTCCTACAACCATAAAAAATCCTCTCTCCTAGATTCGGAATCTCTTCTAGAATCACATAATCACTTTTTTATACAACGAGAACAAAGTGAAAATATTACACAAACAATAACACAAACAATCCTGTTTCATCCAGTTTTAGACCTTAGAAAACAAATTTCTCAATAGTCCTGCTTTGAAGAGTAAAAGTTAAAGGAAAATTAAACTATCATACATAATAAGTTCAACTATCCTCAAAACATAAAAAGGTACTAATAAAAGAAGGAAAATTTTCTCAAATTTCAATCACAGGGACACAGAATCCCCAGTTGCCTAACAAGAAACTTAGTAGCTCATTCACATTCTCTCGTGCTAGTCCCAATTCCTGCCCTTACACAAGGGCAATCCAATATACATAATGATGTTCCCTTAAACACATATATCTTCCAGTTCCTTAGTCTACTCAGATCTATAACCTACTCCTCTTCACTTCAGCTACACACTAGGATGGTCATACCCTTGATCTCACCCATAAGTGTTCCATGATCAAGAATCCGAAATTCCTTCATCTGATCATAACCTATCATTCCATCTTTGTCCTCTTTGTGGCCTCCAATCCCTCCACCCTGAAGTATTTTCCTAAGTCATCATCCCTGCTTTGGTTTCAATTTCCTCCCTTTCCAGTCTCCACCCTTTAGTTGACTGGTCCAACTCTACACTATACTCTGCTTTTACATTCCAGGCTCCCTTGTGCCAAAGTGATAAACTACTCATGCACTGCTGAACAGAATTTGAGGACATCATGACACAACAGTGCTGACTGGGCTCACTACAAATTCATGTCATGTAATCTAAACTGGGCCCTTACTATATAAGACAATTCTTGTACTCCTGATGAACTGATTATCAGTTCCACTCCTCACAGTACTGACCTCCAACTCTAAGAATTCCTAGTTTCCCTCAAGACTCACCTTAAATGCCATCTTCTACATGATGCCTTTCCTGATCCCCTCAGCTGCTAATATTTTGCTCACAAATCATGTTGTCTTCCCCGGCTAGAGTGTAAAGCTCCTTTATAGCAGCAATGGTTTTCCCTTCCACAATTTTTTCCCCAGTGCCTAACACTGGGCCTGTCACAAAGTAGGCAATTAATAAACTTAGGCTTACTGATGGTGATTCATACGTTCTGGATGGAATTATTTACAAATTATGAAATAATTTAGAACCACTAGAGCCCATCAGTTCTCAGCTCTGTCTATTCAAACCTATCTCCTTTCCTGTGTTTGGTCGTCTCCTAACCTGATTCAGACTTACACAAATCCTCCTTCCCTCTCTGTTTTGCCCCAAGCTCCACGGGGTTCTCTTTCTCATGTCTTACTTTCAGTCTAGAAGACTGACATATCTACAAGACAGGATGTCATTCAGAAATGTTTCTTTAGGGAAAAATTCATCAGAAAGTATTTTTTAAGAAACTTAACAGTAATAATAGCTGACATTTATATAACACTTAAAGGTTAACAAAGAGCTTTATAATATTCTCATTAGATCCTTACAACTAGGCTATGATGCAGGTATTATTATCCTCATTTTCAGCTGAGGAGACTGAGGCTCAAAGAAGTCAAGTGATTTACTTTAGTTAGTGTCTGAGAAAAGATCTGAACCCAGGTCTTCTTTACCAGAACCAGCATACAATCTACTACAAGCTAGGGAAATACTCTGCCAAGAGTGAAAAACAAGAAAATGTTTTCAAGCAGTTAGGAAGCCACTGTTATGCAGGTAATATTGTGGATTTTTTTTTAAAGACAATGTACTAATTACAAATGAATTACAATCAAAGCACTTAGGACTGCATAACAGGCTTCCTTTCCTTTTACCCTTTTCCTGAAGTGTCAGTGTGAACTTAAAAGAAAACAAACAAGACACTGTAGGACACTGAGGCAAAAGATTAAAAACCTTAGGAATACTATGATGTTGGGCATCCTGGCTAAAAAATGCCAAATAAAGGTTAGTCCTTGTCTCAAGCCTCTCCCTCCTTTAATCCATCTTTCAAAAACAGCTATCAAACTTAAAAAAAACATAGACATGACCAGGTTACTCTCCTACTCAAGAATATTTGGCTCTTTTTTGGCTCTAGAGTAACATAAAAACTCCCTCGATTGGTTTTTAAAGACCTTCAAAATTTGGTTCCAACCTACCTTTCCAGGTTTACTGCATATTACTCTCCTTTTTTGTACCTTATGTTCCAGGCAATGTAAATGACATTCCATCTCCCATCTCTATGCCAGGATAGGCCCCATGCCTGGAAAGCACTCCTCTTTTATTCCTACCCTCTAGTTAGTCCATGCCCAAGCATGCTTGAGTACCAATTCCTACAGGAAGATTACTTTGGTTCCTTCAGTTCCTACTGCCCTATGTCTAGAAATTACTGCTACTGTAAGTGTGTGTATATAAAATTTAATTTTCTGTGTATATATTGGTTTTCTCCATTGAATGTCTCCTTGAAAACAGAGAATGGTCTGTTTTTGTATTAGCATCCCCAGGGTCCATCACAGTGCCTAACATATAGTAAGAACTTAATACTTGTTGAATGTTCAATCACAAATAAAGCCTTAGATGGTTGGACAAGTAATTCTTCAAGATGTCCATTAAGCCAAAGCTCAGATGCAGAAATACGCTACAGAAGAGCTAATAGAAACTATAATAAAGGATTAATTCTTTTTATTTTTGGTTAACTTTATGCCTAAAAAAAACAACAACAACAAAACCTGATTTGGGGGGCAGCTAGGTGGCACAATGGATAGAGCTCTGGAGTCAGGAGGACCTGAGTTCAAATCCAGCCTCAGACACCTGACACTTACTAGCTGCGTGACCCTTGGCAAGTCACTTAACCCTGACTGCCTCACCAAAAAGCAAAAAAAAAAAAAAAAAAAAAAAAGTATAATCACATGAAATAAACTATCACTTATGCAAAATGAAAGCATATATTATCTTTCCTTTTCCAAAAGAAAACTGGAATCTTTACAGAATCACTGAGTGTTTGCATTGGAAGGGGGCCTTAGAGATCACTGTATCATTTTACAGATAAGGAAACAGGCCCAGAGAAGGCAAGACACTATGTTAGATGCCAGGGATATACACATAAAAAAGGGATAGTCCCTGTCTTCAAGGAGCTTACCAGAATGATATAACATTGTTGACACAGATATCCAACGTGTGTGTGTGTGTGTGTGTGTATGCATATGATACACAATTTTGAGGAGAACAAAAACAACTGGGAGACCCAAGTCAAGAAAAGCCTCTTGACAAAAGAGCACTTGAACTTAACCTTAGGGTTAGGAGCTCCAAGACGCAGAGGTAAGGAGGGCTGACGTCCTGATCAAAGGCCCAGAGATAGGAGATGGAACGTCATATACAGCAATGTTCAGGGGGAACCTTTAGAGAACAAAAAGTAAACTGATGGGCAATAAATCTAAAAAGGCAAGTTGGGCTTTAAGAGTCAAAGAGAAGATTCAATATTTTACTCTAATGCAGCCACTGAATTCTCCAGAGCAGGAGAGTGATATGGTTAGATTTGTGATTTGGGGATAGCAATGTGGCACTAGTGTGGAGAATGAATTGAAGAAGGGAGAAACTGGTGGTAGGCAGACCAACGTGGAAGCCTTTATAATAGTCCAGACTAAGGATGGTTATAAGAGAGAAGGAGAGAGATATGACAAAGTTTGAGAACAATGAACCCTGGCTGCACAGGGTGTGTGTGGAGGGAGGTGGATGTAAGGGAGGTAATCATAGGAACAGACTGAGAGAAGGTAGGTTAGATTCTCATCTTTAGAACTTTTCTGGATAAGAAGTTGACATCTCTGGGCCATGCATTTGTTCTGCTTATATCCCTGCTTTAGGAAATGCTAAAGAAAATAGAGTTTCTTTAAGATTGACTAATAATAACTAAAATGTTTCTTCCTCCTTCGGTGCCTAAGAGAGGTAAACTTTGACTCTTCTCAACAATCCTTTAAGAACCCAGGATCATCTTCACATCATGATTTGGCAAATTCTCTCCCTACTATGAATTTTCCTTGATCCCATAAAGCATAAGTGAACTAGAACATGAGAATTGGAAAGGCCTAGATCATTAAGAATTTTCCAATGAGTCATCCAAGGTCTCTGCTTGAAGAAGTAGATGAGATCCTACCACCTCCTAAAGCAGCATATTCCTCTTTTAGGCAGCTCTTTTTTTTTTTTTTAACCATTTTTTTCTAACAAAATCTACTTTTCTTCAATATCCATCTACTGTTCCTGGTTCAACTCTCTGGGGCCAACCAGAATAATCCAAATTCCTTTTCCACATGATTGTCCTTCAAATACCTGAAAACTTTTACTTTCTCCCTAAGTATTCTCTTTTCCAGGAAAATCAAGCACAAGTCTTCTCACATTCTCTGACCATCATGCTTGCCTCCTTCTAGATATAATTCAAATTGTTTATGACATTCTTGAAATGTGGCACTAGACCTGAATCAGACATGTTCTGTCTAGTGCACAGTATGGCAGGACCATCATCTCCCTCATTTTGGTCACTGTGCAGGCTAGAATAACTTTAGAGTGTTTTTGGCTGACAGGTTAATGAACCCCTTTTCTAAGAAAAAGGTATCTAGCATGTTTTTTTTCACTAGAATTATGTGATATGGTTAAATGGTTGTATACAGCACCATTTCATTCACATGCACACCTGGTGTTCAGTATATCATGATTGAAATTGATTTATTGGCCCTACTGGTAAATTCCTCAGGTTTCATACTTGGAAATTTCTATTAGTAGACTCAACTGATAATATTAACAAACATTAAGGGAAAATCTTTAAGTAACACTTTCTAATACCTGAAAAAAGTGATATAACATATTTTGTATTCACGATCACTATATGAAAATGACTCATTTGGTAAATGCTCAAATGTTAAAATGTCAATTAACTAATTGACTGATGGAATTGCTGGGTGCCCACAATATTAGAACAGCTTAAGTACTTACTCATATAGTGGTTCACATTTTGGATCTAGGTTACTGTCCAACAACTTCTGATAATTGCTATTATTTGAACTATTTTTTTCATATAGAGCTTCAAATTCTTCTACTTCATCTCGAAGATAATCGGGTACTACAAATGGGTCATAAGAATTTGAATGAAGTCTGTAGAGAAAGAGGCAGATTTTGTGAATATCAATTTGTTTAATGAAGCTGAAGCATGCAAACTCTAAGGATGATACAAATTCACCAGACCCAGCCACCCAAAGAAATCCATATAGAAATCAAGACTCTCCACCTACTGCCAGGGTAGTCATTGTAGCAGATCCAACGTCAATACCAGCTCAGGGCATTTTTAGTTAAGGAGGGTGGGCAGGTTCCAATACCTATTGCAGGGGGTGAGGCCTAATCCTTAGCATATGGAACAATTAATTCAACAGTTGTTACTCTATTATAGGACAGGGGGAGGGAGAGAGGACTGTATTGATCACAGTGCACACACAGTCAAGGCTGCTGTTGTAGCTTGTTTTGAATCATGATGTGAATGTCAAAGGTGAACTTTAATAAAGCTCCAAACCTTTATTAAAAAAAAAAATGGGGCAGCTAGGTAGAGCAGTGTGGATAGAGTACCGGCCCTGGAGTCAGGAGGACCAGGGTTCAAATCCAGTCTCAGACCAGACACTTGACACTAGCTGTGTGACCCTGGGCAAGTCACTTACCCCAACTGCCTCACCAAAAAAAACCAACAAACAAACAAACAAAATGTTGAAATGTGGCACCCAGACCTGAACTAGACATGTTTTGACTAGCGCACAGTATGGCAGGACCATTATCTCCCTCATTTTGGTCACTGTGCAGCCTAGAATAACTAAATTCTAAAAACACAAATTCAGTCTTATGAGCAAAAAAAACCAGAAAACAAAACAAAAACTCCTGCCACAAATGAAAATCAGGTTACTTTTTTCACATTTTCATATAAAGACATTCTGAGCCTTAAATCTGACACTCTGTGAGAAGGCTGTAACTTTTTTAGTTTTCCAGTCTATGTTTTAAAAATTGCTTTTTAGTGTTCTTCTTTTATTTTAAAGTTATGTAGTACGGAACAGAGCAACAAACAATGGAAGTTAAAAATGTTTTAATATAACCATCATTAACCTAAGTTAATGAGATCAATTTGGGACATAAATCTATACTAAAGGGATAAAATAAAAAAAATATATAAAAGATTCAAGTATCTACTTAATGTTAAAAAATTCTAAGACTTAAGCAATTAGTATAAAATTTTATAAGCAAGTTTTATCTATAAAATTGTCATCAATGTACATATTATCTAATATCTAATAACCAATAATTGTAAGGCGGCTAAATTGAAATATTTTATTTAGATATAATTTCTTCCTAATTCTGAATTATTATTATTATTTTTGGTGAATGTGATTTTTAGGATATAATAAGAGAGGCATAATGTCAAACACTGTTGAATTAATATTACAGTTTGTCCTGTGTCAGACCACAGATGGAGAAACATGTTCAGTTCTAGGCACATTTTAGAAAGGACAACAAGAAACTGAAGAATATTTAAAGAAGGGCAACCAAGAGTGTGAAAGACCCCAATATCATATCATATAATGACAAACTAAAGTATGGTGGCTCTGCCATGTACTGTCTTCGTGACTTTGGGCAAGTAACTTGATGTCTTTGGGTCTTGGTTTTCTCATCTACAAAACAAAGGGTTGGACTGGACGACTTATCTAAGATCCTGTCTAGCTCTCAATCTATGAAATGTAAACTAATGAGGCTCTTTGGTATTTAGAAACATCATCTCTTCTTGAAAATTCATGTGTTCATAACAAATAATGTGTCAAAATTATTAACATATTATAAGATTAAACTGAGTCCCTATATGGAACTAGTAAAAAAAAAATGAAACATACACCATTAGTTATCAGTTCTACTCTCATAAATCGTTTTGGGGGATTTTACTACAAGATATCATCAGCAATGCTTTAATTTACTATCTTTCTACAAAATACTTCCTAAATCAGAAGTATGATATAAATCAGAATTTGAATGAATTCAAATACAATTCAAATCAAAGGTTCACAGATATAGGAGTGGAAAGGATCTTGAAGATAATCTGGTCTAAATTTCTCATTTTACAGATGAGGAAACTGAGTTTGGTTCAGTGAACTGCTGAAATCACAAAGTTAAGAAGTACAGTCAGAATTCAAAACCAATTAATTTGAATTCAGATCCAGTACTCTTTCCCTTTTTCTATTATCATCAACTTTAATAGAAAGGTTAAGGAGTCACAGATTTCAGATTTAATAATAAAATGAGAAGCAGATTGGTATGACAGACAGCCAGGAAGGTCTAGTTCCCACTGCTGACAGGTATGGGCTGTCACTTAACCTGAACAAGTCATTTAACGTGTTAGAGCCACATGTAACCTTTAAAAATTCTAAGCTATATAAAAGTTGCTTACCTTTATTATTAGTGAGAATTTCCTCAAGAGAGAGCCCCTTATACCAATAAAAATAAGGTCTGAACCAAAAAGGAATATTACTTATAGGAGTTATACACTTTTAAATGAAAACAAGAAAGATTTTAAAACGAAAGATGTACTCACAAATTACTTTCATCTGTACCAGTTTTTTCATCATTTTGTGTTACTCCACCAACTCCAGACAATATAAAAACAGGCTAGATTGGGGGAGGGGAGAGGAGGTGGGTAAATAAAGAAAGAAAAGGAGAAAAAAGGGAAAAAATTGGCAATGGTTTCTTACTAAAAATATAAAAAAACTTATTTAAAAAAATAATAATTAGTAAAAGTAATAAAGGATTTACCTATTTAAGCATATAAACTGATTATCTGAATTAAACCCTGTCTGATTTTCTCATGCACAAAGAGGTACAGTAATAGGAAATGACAGCAACCACAAATAATAAACAAATCCTAATGAAATTAACATGGCTGTTTTTCATATTACAAGAAAAACAAAAGTCCATTCAGTTCAAACTGTTTTAATTAATCACAGAATATAAATCCAAAAGATAAAAGAACACTCTTACCTGACCTCATCCCAATACACTCATACAACAGGAAGTGGGGGGTAGGAGAGGGGGGAACAAGCATTTATAGAGTACCTATTATGTGTCAGGCACTACACTAAGTGTTTTTTTTTTTTACAAATATCACCTCATTTAATCCTTACAACAACCCTGAGAGATAGGTGTTAGCATTATACTCATTTTACAGTTGAGGAAACTGAGGAAAACAGGGGCTAAGTGACTTGCCTAGGGACACTCAGCTAATAAGTGTCTGAGGTCACATCTGAACTCAAGTCTTCCTGACTCGAGGCCTAGTGCTCCAACCACTACGCCACCAGCTGCCTCTGTACAGATCACAGACCCTACAAAGAACATTTGATGACTAATTTGATTGGATGTAGAGTTGAAGCAAAGAGAAAATAAAAGTACAGGTAGTGAGAAAGTAGGAGAATCATGTTGATTCCTTAAATAGATTAGTATGCTTCAAGGGCGTAAGTTTAAGTATATTTTGAAAACCTGGATAATTTCAGAGCCACTTTTATTTTCAAAACCTCACTCTCTAACTATACTACCACCCTTCTAGTAATCTACATTCGTGACCCTGACATTATCCTTGACTTGTCCAATTCCCTCATCTATATATCCAATCTGTTGTCAAATTGTGTCATTTCTACTTGCCCAACATCACTCTCATCTGGCCTCTTATTTCTACTCCCATAGCTACTTCCCTAGTTCAGACAATCATTACTGTTCAGACTATTGAGATAGCCTCCTTATTGTTTCTTGTTACACTCTTGTCTGCTTTTATTGATGAAAGCTGTCAACTCAAAGAAAGACAACTAGAGGGGTATAACAGGTTGTTGGCTAATCCACAAGGATTCTATTCAGAAGACCTAAAGGTTTGCTTTTGCCTCCAATATTTTTAGTCACATTTAAGGATGTTTTTTGGTTAGCCTTTCCGAGTAATTCTGGAATATTTCAAATTTCTCCATTAATACCTATTTCATATACTTTAGATAATGGATACTTACATAACTTGACAAATTTTAATTTTTCAGACATTAAGACCATTACTATTCCTTTTCTCAAAGAAATATTATTATAAACTTATTCTATCATTAGTTTTAGTGTTCTATACTACCAAGTTAATTTTTAAAAATATAAAGTCCAGGAGGCAGAGCCAAGATGGTACAATGAGCTCCTCTCCAAAAATGTACTAGACTGAATCTTGAGGAAGAAATTCAGAAAAGTGAATAAACTGCCCAGCATTGCCCAGCATAGTAAGACTATGTCAAGACTTCTAGTTTGGAGAGAAGACTCACAAGGGATATGACAGCTGTATTCAAGGATCTGAGGTGTCTTCATGTAGAAAAGGGATTAGACTTGTTTTGTTTAGCCTCCAAAGGGCAAAACTAGGAGAAATGTGTGAAAGTTGTCAAAACAGCAAATTTAGAACTGAAAAACTTTCTAATTAACAGAGGTGTCCAAAAGTGGAATGGGCTGCCTTAGGAAGTCAGCTCTCTATTCTCCGCGGTCTCCAAGCTGGATAATTACTTATGCAGGTTACAGTGGGGATTCCTTTTCAGGTACAGGTGAGACAACTTCCTTCTTACTCAAATTCTGTGGGTCGGTGAAATTAGCAGAGGAATACATATAGAAGAGCTGGTCACCAAGCTAACTAAAAATCATCATTTATGAAAACAGTATGTTATATTGGAAATTCTGAGGTGTTCTCCAACCAAACATTTCAAAATCACCACAAGAGTCAACCAATCTCTAACCTAAAAGTCTAAGATTAATAGAACACATACAGAAAAGTATGATTACCTTTGATTCCTTATGCTTCTTTTTTCTGGTTTTGTTTTTTACCTTAATACCATTAGTCTAGAAAAAGAAAAAAAAATTATGAGTTGATATACATTAGGTAATAGCATTTTGGAGCACTGTATCCAATTAATATTATGGTAAACCCCTCCCCAAAGTAATAAACATAGAGATATAGCCTAATTATTAGCATATATAGCTAATATAGCTTAATTAATTATCCTGTCCAAACAGGATGTTCAGCTCTTATAATCACTGCATTTTATGCATTCCATGAAATCTATTTCTTGAAGTGAAATTTTATAGACACCAGACTCTGGACACTAGGTCAAACATCAGTGGAAGTAGATTATGTTAGCCTGGTATAGTGGGAAAAGCCTTGACTTAGAAGACCTGGATTCAAGTAAAAACTCCTTGGCTATTTGACCTTGGCTGAATTACTTCACCTCTCTTGATATTTATTTCTTCATCTGTAAAATAGGGGTGATCTGTAAAATAGTATAACTACGAAGAAATACTCTGTAAAATGAATTCTGAAGCGAAGGTATTTTATGGTTAAAAATGCAGAATATTATACAGTTTTACCTTAAATTCTTTAGTAATATATTAACAGTAATAAAAATAATTTCATTCTTCTAAAATTAAAATATATACTATTGTGCCTTCATCAGCAAGACTAGGGGTTATATTTTGAACACAAAATTTTAATACTTCACAAGTTCAGGTCTATTTAATTTCAAGCAATTATTCAGTCATTAGATAACTGGCTACATGATTAATATCTTTTACATTCTTTTATGATCTCATGCATAATGCCACATTTATAACTTAACATGTTTCTTTGGTTTTTCTCCTTGAAAACTCCATTCAGAAAACATTCTCTTCATTTATCTATATAAATAATTAAAATTATTTGCCAAATGAGAAAATGGCTCTCAGAGCTATTAAAAAAAAATACAATTCTGAAGTGAGCATTCCAGATTCAACCCAGTGAAACTAAATTTCAAGGGCAACTAAGAAGAAACCGACTTTGTTTACCAAAATCCACCTAAGGCAAAACAACAGAACTTAGTTTTAAGAAAAAAAAAAACAAGAATGGACATTATATAGCATTATGAAGTTAACTGCTGATTATCTGCTCTAAGTTTAACAGAAAAGTAAAGCTGTTTTCTAAAACAGAAAGGGAAAAGGGAAGGATAATATACAATGGATGACACAAAAATAATTTTAATTTGGTTTTGGAAAAAAATTCCAGTGAAAAACATTCATAAACATTGTATGTCCTGTCCTTTGTTCTATCCTAATTCTCTCCTGGTATTACCCACTGTCTGAGGCTGAGTTTGGCAGAAAGGAAATGCCATAAACCATTATCAGATAGCTAAAAAACTAAAACCAAAACCCAGAAACAACCCAGAGATTCCACTGCAAGCCATGTACCCCAAAAAGGTAAAAAACAGAAAGGTCCCATATATACCAAAATATTCATAGCACCACTTTCTCTATAGCAAGAAAAAAGTAGTAACAAGGTAGATTTCTAAGGATTAGGAATGACTAAAGAAATTATGGTACTTGAATATAATAGAATGACGAATATGACAACTTCAAAGAAGCATAGAAAGGCTTATATAAACCTAAGCAGAGTGAAGTAGAACCAGGGAAGCAATTCACATAATGACTGAGACAATGTAAATGGAAAGAACAACAAAAACAGAAAAACAACCTTGAGGAGTATATTTTTAATGGTTCAATGTCAAGGTAGCAGGAAGTCTCCAGTAGAGTTCCCCAGAGATCTATACTTGGCTTTGGGTTGTTTAACAATTTTTATCATGGTTTGGATAAAGGAACAGATAGTATGCCCATCAAATCTGCAGATGATATAAAGCTGAGTGGGACAGCAAACACAATGGATGATAATGTCAGGAACCAAAAAGATCATGAGAAACTAGAGCATTGGGCTTAATACGGTAAGATGAAATTCAATAGTGATAAATATAAAGTTGTAGTTGAATATAAAAAGATCTGTGTATTTTAGTGAACTGAAACCAATTTGATTCAGAAGTATTTTGTGGCAGACAAAAAAGAAATACTAACGGGATCTTGACAGAGATACTAGAGTGGTTCTCCATTTCCTTCTCCAACTCATTTTACAGATGAGGAAACTAAGGCAAACAGGGTTAAGTGTCTTGCCCAGGGTCACATAGCTAGTAAGTGTCCAAGGCCAGATCTGAATTCATGAAGAGGTGTCTTCCTGATTCCAGGCTGGGCCCTCTATGCACTGCATCACCTAGCTATTCCAAGAAAACTGCAATTGGAGTCCTGAAAGTCGGACATGACTAAAAAAAACAAAAAAAACCACCCCAAAAACCTAATGGCATCTCGTGCAGCTAGGTTCACAGTGTGCCGTGGATAGAGCGCCAGGGCTCAGGAAGACTCGTCTTCATGAATTCCAATGTGACCGTACTTACTTACTAGCTGTGTGACCCTGGGCAAGTCACTTGGCCCTGTTTGACTCAGTTTCCTGATCAGGAAAAAGAGCTGGAGAGGGAAATGGCAAACTACCCTGTACCTTTTCCAAGAAAACCCCAAAATTGCGTCAAGAAAATTACACATGACTGAAACTACTGAACAACAATGGGAACTTGGGCTTCATTAAGAGAGACACAGATGGGGCAGCTAAGTGGCGCAGTGGATAGAGCACCGGCCGTGGATTCAGGAAGACCTGAGTTCAAATCCAGCCTCAGACACATAACACTTACTAGCTGTGTGACTCTGGGCAACACTTAACCCCACTGCCTAGCCAAAAAAAAGAGAGAGAGAGAGAGAGAGGGAGAGAGAGGGAGGGAGGGAGAGAGAGAGAGAGAGAGAGAGAGAGAGAGAGAGAGAGAGAGAGAGCGAGCTTCCAGGAATAGGTAAGTGATAGTCCCATTGTACTGCTCCCTAGAGTATTAGGTTCAGTTTCGAGGATGCCATAGTTTAAAGAACTGATAAGCTAAAGAGTACCTAGAAGAAGGAATTCAGGAAGCTGAAGGACCTCGAGTCCCTGTCATATAAGACTGATTAAAGGAAACAGGCATTTTAAATCTGGAGAAGAGGAAACTTAAGGGGGTCACGTGGAGCAGAGATTTTTTTGCTTTTTAAATTCTGTTACCAGGAATGGCTTGTTAGGGAGGGGGCTGGGGAACAGATACAATCAGAAATGAAGGTGAAGTAAAAAGAAAAGATATTAATAAAAATTTAAAACTAAAAACCTCTTTTCATTGAGATATTAGGGAACTAGAATACATTACAAAATGAAATATCAATATAGCAAAACAATAACTTACTGAAATATCTTCACTTTCTTGTTTCTTCAATATAGTGCAAGGGCCATCTATTGAAAGATAAATAATTATATGAGAAAATTTCATGTATATGTTTTTACAAAACATACTGATACCACTGGGGAAATTATCCCAGACGTGAAATGAAGAACAAAATATCACACTACCTACTAGTCTTTACACAACTTTGGATCAAAAAACTAAAAGCAAAACTGCTAGAGCAAAAAGTGATTAAATAGCAAACTAAATGAGCAGAAAACATTTATGATAGAACCACTAAACACACTGTTTTAGTTCTTCTGGAGTAATTGTTAAAACAGGATTTGAAAAAAATACTTTTGATTGGTGTTCCCTGCAGTCAACAGAAACACCCACAGCCAAAAGTACTCTTATTTTTTATCCTAGATGATGCCACAGAAGGTGACTTACTGGGGTTAAAGTCTATCTGTCTTAGATCGTTCTTTTGTGACAACCATTTGCTTTTCTCAGTTCAATCACTTGGGTAAAAATTTATGATATTAGCAGTACAACTTAGGCTATATATTTTGGGTATCAATTTGAAAATTACTTCCCTGGGGGCAGCTAGGTGGTTCTGTGGATTGAGCACTGGCCCTGGATTCAGGAAGACCTGAGTTCAAATCCGGCCTCAAACACATAACACTCACTAGCTGTGAGACCTGGGCAAGTCACTTAACCCCACTGCCTAGGCCAAAAAAAAAAAAAAAAAAAAAAAAAAAAAGAAAGAAAGAAAATTACTTTCTAAGCATTAAATAATTGCTTTAGAAGCCACTTTACTTTGTGTGAGACTCTTAACGAGGAGTCTACTAACCGACGGAGTCAAACAACATATGATTTCTGGACCACTTTGTAGTTTCCCCCTGACCCTCCTCTAATTTTTGCCTCTTAAAATAAGATAGCAAGAAAAAGTTTAGTTTCTGAGGCACACATGCATGTGCACATGCGTGCACACATGCAATTACATATAAACAGGCATGAAGGAATGAGGAAACTGAAGCACAGAAGAATTCAGCGACTTATTCAGTATTACATAGCTGGTTAGTGCCAGAGCTTGGACTACAACTCAGGCCTCCTGTTTTCCAAGTTATTGTATTTTTGACTACAACACTGTCACTCATTTATAGGCTTTCATTAAAACAAATACCATGTGGCATATAAAAACTAATATTACACTATTCTTATGCTAAAAAAGTTCCATACTGACTTTGATACACATTAACTGATACCAAAGCAGTCAAATATTTTCTTGAGTTTTATACATGAAACATTTTTTGAATAGGTTCCGTGTTTTCCATCTTAAGTAATATACTTTTACATAATGAATATCAATTTGAGTGACTACATTAACTTATACATACAAAAAGGCCTTTAAAATAGCCAAACTTCAAATTTTACCAACATCCTAACCAACCAAACTGATCTAAACACTAAAATACTTTAAGAAGTTGAACTGTCATTAATATTGGAGTGGTCCTACCACTCACTGATGAAGGATACAACCCTTCTATAACTAAGTAAAGTCTTTGAGAGTTGCTGTAGCTTAACCATTTGTCATTTTGGGGGGCATCCTGAGGATGAACCTCTCCACACTTAGCTAGGCTGGTCTCCAGACAACAAATACACGGTTCATTTCCAACCCTTCTCTCAAAGACTCTTTAGCCTGGCAGAACCTGCCAGAGCTTGTACTCTCATACCACAGCCTTCGTCCCAGAAGGTATGCGTCCCATAAGAACACCTCAGTAGAAAGTCCTAAGATATACATATAATTAAAAACATAATTTCATTATTTTTTTCTGGGAAAATAAGAATAAGGAAAGGTCATAATTAAAGTGAAGTTTCATTTTTCATAAACTTTATTTACCCACAACAATAGTACACTGCGAACAAAACCCCATTATTCTATCTGAATATATGGTACACAGTTCCTCCAACATAAAGTTGATGACATTTTTATTCCTATTTCTGAAATAAAAGATGAAATTCATTACAGATGGAAAATTCAAGCTCATATTTGAAAATTTAGTCTCCTTAACTTGTAAGAATTACCTAAGGTTAGGCAGAATAAAAGGCAGAATAAAAGCTTAGGTGAAAGTGTGCTATACTGTTGCTGTGGTTACATACCCATTATATCAAAGAATTCATCTAAAGCATTATGCAGTGCTGGAAACTTCTCTCTATTTTCTTCTAATAGCCATATTATATAGCGAGCGTCCTTCAATGATCCTGGATTACTGAAATATTCAACTATCTTTTTCTCTTCACAACTGGCGATTATGTGGTCTAGTTTATGACCATATTTTTCAACCCAGAGAACAGTTACAAGTTTAAAATCAAGCTTTTTAATAGAATCACCATGACGAGAAAAAAACATCCGTGTAGCATCCAAACCTGAAATAAAAAAAAAATCCTTGATCAAAACATAATTATTTCTTATTAAGGAGTTAAACAGGGAATGAATATACTTCTCTTAAATTTCCACTATTGAAAAAATACCCATTTTACCTTTGCTGTGAAGTTATCTTTGCTTAATAAAGCAAAACAGAAATGAATAATGTAAATAATATTTTAGGAGAAAGCATTTAAAATTTGTTGTTCAGTTGTTTCAGTCATGTCCTATTCTTTGTGACCCTATTTCAGGGTTTTCTTGGCAAAGACACTGGAGTGATTTTCCACTTCCTTCTCCAGCTCATTTTACAGATGAGGAAACTGAGGCAAGCAAGTGACTTGCCCAGGTTCATACCACTAATAAGTATCTGAGGCCAGATGTGAACTCAGGAAGATCTGTCTTCTTGATTCGAGGTCTGGCACCCTACTCACTGTGCTACCTACCAGCCCCAACAATAACAAAAAATAAAATTTTAAGAGAACCAGAAGTGACCATAAAGGTCGTTTATTCTTGCAACATGATAGTCCCGGAGCTAGAAAGAATTTCATTACTGTCGTTTGTCGTTCATTTTTGAGGAGGACCAATGACATCACAGGGTGATAGCTTGACTTTTGAGTGAATTGGGAATTGGATTTAAGTGAGGCCGAGTTTCACTAAGTCATCCTCAGCCTCACTCTCTCTTCCAGAATCATCAAAGTCCAGTGGAAGGACAGAAATCAGGATAGTACATTATCTACCTAATTTACCAATGAACTGCTTGGTTATGTTAATTTTTATCTAGTCATTAAAGCAAATAGCTTAGGACCACAGTCTAGTTTTAGTTGCTATCCCTATCTAAGTATTTAAGTATTTTAAGTAATTAAGTAAGAAAATTTAAGTTTCTCATACTTTATCTGTACACTAATGCAAACTGAATTCTGTTGAATCCAAATAGTATAAAGTATAAAATTTTACTGCACTTTTATAATATATAGCACATTACACTGCCAGTGAAGCCAGAAAGACAGAGTCTGGCAACATAGAGCCAATATGCTAAAGACGGCATTCCGGCCAACGGCTACTGCTTCTTCTACCTCCCTGCTGCTTTCAAGATTTGATGGTTGCTATTAAAAGCTCTCTCCCCATCAATGGCTCAAGTTAGTCACCACATAGCACCAGACGGCCAACAAATCAAGACAGCAGTCGGCAGCTTAGCACACCAAACAATCAATAAGTACTGATCAAGCAATCACTCTGTGACAGAAACTGCTCAGGGCTTGATATAAATTTTAAAAAAAACTAAATGAATTTTACTTTCAAAGAGATGATATTCTGTTGGGGGAGATGATAGGTACCTATTTAAGTATGTAATATAGAGAATTAGAGAATAAAGGAGGGCACTGGCAGTTTGGGCCGGGATAAGGGGAGAAGAGGCTCACAAAAGCCTTCATGTAGGTAGCAGTAACAACTTCAGAAAGGTGGTAGATTTTTTATCCAAAACATGCCTTCCTTTTCTATTCTGGCGGTTACATTTAATTACTAGATTTGACTAGGTACTTAGGTGACAAAGTCACCCTGGTCAAGTCACTTAACTTCTGTTTGCTTCGATTTCCTCATCTGTAAAAATGGGTGAAAGAACAGCTCCTACCTGCCAGGGATGTTGTAAGTGTCAAATAAGATAACATTTGTAAAGCACTTTGCAAACCTTAAAAACACCATACAAATACTAGCTATTATTTTCACAGCTGTAGCTATGAGGAGTCTAAAAGATTCACCAGACTACTAAAGGAACCCATGACACAAAATAGGTTAAGAAACCCTAACAAAGTCTCCCCTTATGCTCTACATCAACCACGTGGTATTTTTCTTTTACTCAGGATCAGAATTTACTTTTGAGATAATTTTAGCCCTTTTAAAACTCCTCTTCTTTCCCAATTTTAGCAAGAACAGTAAGCTTTTAATTTATTTGTTCAATTGAACTGACTATAAAGCTATACCTATTTTTAACAATTTTAAAGTTTACTTGCAAGTTTAAAAAAAACCCCTATAAAACACAATCATAAATTTACAGTTAAAAAAGGGCACTGGAGGTCATCTAGTTCCACCCCCTCAGATGTTCTGCAGATGACGGCGCCAAGGACTAAACATGCTTGGCTCAAGATCACATAGATTGTAAAGACAGATCTGGGATTCAAAGCAAGGAACTCAAGCTCTGAATACCATGCTGTCTCCCTGCAGTATTAATTTTCTCCTAAGACCATTACAGCTCTTCATTTAAAAACCTCTATACATTACAAATGGCAAAGAAAATTTTTTTAAAAAATCAGATTGATCATTCAATATACAAAATTAGTTTCTCTAGAAGGAAGTGACATACCTAAACTATTGAGTTTCTGGATCCAGTCACGTAGTTTGGGATTTATTTCTTCGATCTCACTCAAAACATGCAGAAAAATTCTTGTGTTTACTCTATTGTTTTTCCGTATCAAATGTTCGAGGAGACGCTCCACTGTTTCAGCTAGCAAACTGCCATTAAAAACAGAATCTGCATAATCCTCCGTGTTTATTACCTTCCAAGAGAGCAATTCTCTGAGAAGTTTGGAAGCGTCCTGGATGCCAGATTTAATTTGATCAGCATTTTGTTTTATACACTGCAAAATCCTATCATCAGGAACTGGGCAACTTTGCACAAATCCTAAAATAGAATTACCATATACAGCAGGATTAGTCAAGTGAAATAATGTGATCACTCATTAAATAAGTTGAGGAAGACTAACTATAACACCACATTATATAGTATGTTGTATGTGCATACATATAGATTTTTTTAAACTTATTTTTAATTTAATAGATTTAGGGTTGAAAGAAACCTTAGAGTTTATTTAGTCCAATGTCCCCTTTTTGTAATATTATATTTACTAGGTGACAAATTTTTTTTTTTTTAGGCAATTGGGGTTAAGTGACTTGTCCAGGGTCACACAGCTAGTTAAGTGTCAAGTGTTTGGTCTGAGGCCAGATTTGAACTCAGGTCCTCCTGACTTCAGGGCTGGTGCTCTATCCACTGCGCCATCTAACTGCTCGGTGACAAATATTTTCAAAGAAATACATCTCCCTTTCTGTATTGTTGGCTTCATTTTAAATATCACTTAATAAACTACTATAAATGCTAGATAAAAAATGAACTTTTAAATATAGAACAACAAATAAGTCAAATGGGAGTAACTATTGAAAGTACTGTAGATATAGATGTAGATTCAGAGCCACTGGCAGAAAATTTTTATCAAAAGTGAGAGACAAAAAAGTTAATTTAGAACTTCATTTGAATTAAATTTTATTTTTTTACTAATTGTGTCTTTACATAAAAAGGCCATAAATTTTAAACTTAACATGGACACTTGACCATATTATCAAAAATATTAGCTTACAAATAAGAGACTAGAACAATTTACCTAAGTGAATTCTGAGGTGCAGAATGTTTCCATTTTTTGGGGGGTGGGGCCCTAGGCATTGGGGTTAAGTGACTTGCCCAGGGTCACACAGCTAGTAAGTGTCAAGTGTCTAAGGCTGGATTTGAATTCAGGTCCTACTGACTCCAGGGCCAGTGCTCTATTCACTGCACCACCCAGCTGACCCGAATATTTCCATTTTTAAAAACAATTCTCAATTACTCTTCAGGGTGTGCACCAGAGCAAGAGGATGGCATTCTAATCAGTATTAGTATACATTTTATGCTTGACGAAAGTAACAATAAGCAGATATCTGATGACTAGCTAATGCTGAAAGTGACAAAATCAGTAAGACACATTATTTTTCCTTTTCTCAAAATACCAGGTAAACTATGAAATAATAAAGTTCACAGTACAATATCTGCCAAAGTAAAGTTATCATGGTATATGAGATATTTTATCTTTAAAATGTGAGTCAAGAGCTTTCAACATAGGGTAGATATCTTTAATGGAGTGCCTGTCTATTTGAATTACTCTGAATTTTGCTAAACTAATGCCTTCTCTTTTCTGCAATACTTGTTAACAAATGTTCTTTACTGGCTTGCTTGTGTAGATGTGACACTAGAATAGCCAGCGAATCAACACTATGTGTCATGAACTGTGCTAAGCACTGGGGACACAAAAAGAGACAAAAGACAGTCCCTGCCCTCAAGGAGTTCACAATCTAACGGTGAGAGACAACAAACAAACAATTACGTACAAACAAGCTATATTTAGGATAAACAGGAAAAGAGTAAGAGTGGGAAGGCACCACAATTAAGATGGATTGGAAAAGGCTTCTTGCAAAAGATGGATTTAAGCTGGAACTTAAAAACAAGCCAGCGAAGCTAGAAGAAATGGAGATGAAGCGAACATTCTAGGCACAGGGACAGTCAGAGAAAGTGCCCAAAGCTGAAAGATAGGGTATCTTGTTAATGGAACAACAAGTGGCAGGCAATAAAGGTTAAGAAGAATGGAAAGCTAGAAGGGGGCTGGGTTATGATGGGCTTTGAACTCCAAAAAGACAATTTTGCATTTGATCCTGGAGGCAATAGGGAGACACAGAAATTTAATGATTAGAGGAGTGATATGGATGGAGCTGTACTTCGGCAAAATAACTCTGTTGGCTGAATGAAGTATGGATTGGAGTGAGAAGAGACTTGAGACAAGCATCAGCAGGCTATTACGATAGTCTGGGCATGAGGTGACAAGGATCTATACAAGAATGGTGGCAATGTCAGAGGAGAGAAGGGGATATATTTAAGAGATGTTGCCAAGGTGACATTGACAGGCCTTGGCAATTTGGATTTGGGGAGTGGATATGGATTGGATATGGGGGGTGAGAGAGAGAGAGAAAAGTCAAGGAAGACTCCTAGGTTGTAAGTCTGAGGGATTTTCTACAGTATTAGGGAAGGAGGGGTGAATTTTGGAGATAAGATAATGAGTTCTGTTTTAGATGCATTTAGTTTAAGATCTCTCTTGGACATCCAGTTTGAGATATTTGAAAGATAGTTGGAGATGTGAGACTGGAGGTTAGCAGAAAGTTTAGGGAAGGATAGGCATATGTGAGAAATATCAGCATAAAGACGGTAGTTAAATCTATGGGAGCTGATGAGATCCAAGGGACATAGTATAGAGGGAGAAGAGAAGACGACTCAGGACAGAACCCTGGGGCACACCTTCAGTAAGTAGGTGAGGTCTGGTGGAAGATCCAGAAAAGGAGATAGAAGGAAAAGCAGGAGAGGGTAGTGTCCTAAAAACCTAGAGAGAGAAGAGGATCAAGGTAAAGAGAGTGATCAAGTGTCAAAGGCTACAGAGAGGTCAAGGAGAATGAGGATAAAGAAAAGGTGATTTGATTTGGCAACTAAAGAGATCATTAGTAACTTTGGAGATGATGGAATGATAAGGTTGGAAGGCATACTGTAAGAGAATGGAAGGAGAGAAAGTGGAGGCACCTACTGTAAATGGGCTTTTTGGGCAGTTTCACTACAAAGAGAGGAAGGGAAATGGGATGATGGTTAATAGGGATGGAAGGATCAAGTGAGTTATTTTTTTTCAGGGATGGGGGGACATGGGCATATTTGTATGCAGCAGGGAATGAGCCAGTAGAGGGGGAAAGATTGATAATACGTGAAAGATTAGAGATCACAAAAGGGGCATTCTATTGGAAACAGGATAGAATTGGATCACATGAACAAGTTGGGTTAGACTTGGTAAGGGATAAGGCCACTTCATCACGTCAGACAGGGATGAAGGAGGAGGTAAGGGCTGAAGGCATTTGAGGGACAGGTGAAGAAGAGGGGAGAAGAGGGAGAGCTCTTAGCAAATGGTCTCATTTTTTCTGTAAAATATACCAAGGTCCTCTGCTAAGTGAGTGAGAGGTGGGGGAGCCATAGGAGGTTTGAGGAGGAATAAAAAGGGTCGGAAGGTCCAAAGTGGAGTGGGATAGTGAGTTGATAAGGGAGATAAAGTAGGAATGACTAGCAGCAGTTGAATAACCCTTTAATTAGGGAATAGGATCTTGATCTTAAAAGAAGAATGGAAAGAGGGAGAAAAGAAATATATTAGGAAGGAAAGGAAAGGAAAGGAAGGTTAGGGGAAATTATCTCATTTAATCAGGGTGTACAAATAGACATTTATACAAACAAAGTAGAAAGGTTGGGGCGGGGTGGGGGGAGCAGCTGATACCTGAACTTCACTCTTACTTATAAGGAGAGAAGAACAGAAGTACATTTCACTTAAAAGGGAAATAGGTAGGGAAGGGAAGAAAGGAGAATTAGAGAATAAGGGAGAAATTAGTCCTAAGCAAAACAAATTCTAAGGCTGCACAAAAATATTTATAGCTCTTTTTGAGGTGGCAAAAATGGGAATATGAGGGGGTGACCATAAACTGGAGAATGGCTGAATATGTTATGTTACATAAATATTTTAGAATACTATTATGCTGAACATAAGAATACTCTTATCAGCATAATGGCTAACCAGAATAACTGAGGACTCATGATGAAATATGCTACCTACCTTCTGATGGATGTGAAGGACTCAGAATGAAGAATGAAAAAAATTTTTTTTGCACATGGTCAATTGGAAATTTGGTTTGAATTATGTTTGTAATAGATTTTGTTTTTATTGTGTTCTCAATAGGGGAAGGGAGTTAAAGGGGAGGGTGGAGAATAGTAAGAAGGTGGATTTTGGCTGAAAACAAAATATTTTTAAGAATTTTTAAAAAGAGAGATAATGAGTTTTGCTCTGGACATGTTAAATTTAAGAAGTCAATGAGGCATACAGTTCAAAAAGGCAATTGGTGATGCAAGACCAGAGGTCAGTAGAGAGCTAAAGGCTGGATACATAGATCAGAGAATCATCTGCATAGAGATGTTAATTGAATCTATGGGAGCTGACCTAGCAAAACAACATAAGGTGGAAGAAAAACGACCAAGGACAGAACCTGAGAAGACACCCAAAGTTAGCAGACAAGACCTCGATGAAGATCAAGCTAAAGGAATACTAAAAAGAAACTGGATAGGTAGAAGACCTGGGATAACGCAGTATCATAAAAATCTAGAGACTTCTCTCTAGAATATCTAAGAAAAGAGGTTGATCAACAGTGTCAAAAGATGCCAAGAGGTTGATAAGGATAAAGACTGAGAAAAGACCGTAAGATCTGGCAACTTTGGAGAGAGCAGTTTTAGATGAACGAGAAGGCCAGAAGTCAGACTGCAGAAGAGTTTAGAAGACAGTGAGAGGGAGGCATCATGTAGAGATGGGTTGAGGTGGATGGGACTAAGGAAGCTAGCAGTAGGGAGTGGGATGAATATGGTGAAGTGATGATTACGCCAACCATGGAGGAATGAGTCCAGAGGATGAGACGCTGGGTAGAGGGCTGTTAAGAGAGACAAATGATTAGATTATTCAGGTCTAATTAATCCAATTAGACTGTTCCTTCCACCTTCAACCTGGGTGCAGGTAGTTATGTTTTATCATGTGAAGCCCAGGAGATCTGCCTTACAGTAGGTAGGAGCAGGTGACAGCATGGCCTGGGAGCTTCTGGACAGGAGGCAGGAGCTGACAATTCTGGGTTTGTCAGATCTGACAAAGTCCTCCAGAGCGCTGAAGAAAGCCCACAGTCGGGCACTCTGTACCTCAGGATGATGCAGAAACAGAACATCCTCAATGGGACGTGCCATGTTTCTTATTTTCCAATCCAAGTTCCCTCCACATACACTGTTAGATGTGGTCACCATAAAGTTCTTTTGGCTGAACTGTTTTTCTTTGTTAGAGGGAGGACTCATGACGGAGTAAGTATTTATGGGAACTTCATTCTACTTCACAGACTTACATACACACACTACTTCACACATTGTACGCTACCTTAATGCTTCCTCCTTAGATGATTCTCTCATAATTTCTTAGCCACAGCCCAAGAAGAACATTCAACAAGAATGTGCAATGAGAACATGATGGGTTGATTCAGGTTGATGAAAGACTCTCTTGCTTGAGTTGCCCATCATGGCCCTGCCAGCCAAGCCTCCTAAGGGCTACTCTATTTGGTCCTGACCTCTGATTTCTTCGTAGGTGATAAAGACGCATAGTGACTAGAGCGCCATTCTGGAGTGAGGATGACAATATGAGTTCAAATGCTGCCTCAGACAAACACAGCAGTGATGTTGGGCAAATCACTTAACTTCTCAGTTTCTTCAATTGTAAAATGGGGATAATAACAGCACCTGCCTCACAGGGTTATTATAAGGATTAATGAAGATGTATGTATGTATGTATGTATACACACACACACACACATATACGTAAACTTTCAAGCTCTATATACATGCTAGTTAATATTGTAGTTGTTCAGTGTATGAAATTCTTGGTATGGAAGCTCTTTCTACCCATGCAGATTAGAAACCTAGAGGTGCCTGGAGCACTAGAGGTTAAATGACTTGTCCATCACTGAATAGGACTTAAACTCAGGTCTTCTTGACTCCAAGGCTGGCTATCTGTCTAGCATACCAACCTGCCTAAATTAGGGTTTCTAAAACCTATTGCAATGTTACTGCTAAGTTCAAATGAGAAAGTATTAACTTGAGAAGTGAAGCCATTAAAATTTAAGCTCTTTATGGGTAGGAAGTGTTTCTTTTTTTTTTTTTTTTTTGGTATTTGTATACCCAGCATCTAGCACAGTTCCTAGAACAAAGCACTTGCACTTAAAACTTCTTAACTGGTTAGTACATTGTTAGTGATCACTGTTTAAAATCTGAACTAGAAATCAATATAGTTACCAAAGATATACTCAATTACATAAGACTATCTGATGTGTAAATATATTATTCAAACAAATACCATGAAGTTCTGTGTACCTTTACGGTCACCATGCTTAGATGAGCTGTTTTCTCTACTTTTCTCTTCCATTCTCTCTTTTGCTATTTTTCTTGCTTCTTTTTTTTGAAGTTTTCTTTTTACTTTTCTTTCTTCTTTAACTTTTAACTTCTCTAAGCTAATAAACATTACCAGTTAATGAAAATTAGTTGATGCATAAACAATAGGCACATATATCTCTAGGATGATCCCCTTCAAGTTTTAAATTTCTTAGAAATTTACCAAAAGCTCTTTCTTAAACATTTTTGAAATGTAGAAAAGATACTTTAAAATAGCATAATCTAGAAAACTGAATTTAACACAATTATATTCTAATTCCAGTCTTTCATCTACTGATCTTTCAGTTAGAATTCTTACCTAGAACATTTCTGCTTCATGACAGGTCTTGGTGGATCCCTTTCTTTTGTGACTCTATGTTCAAACTTTAAATAAAGGAAAGATAATATCTAGAATTTGATTCACATTTCCATATAGTTATTTAAACAGCAAAAGACACGTCAGAAAAACATTAAATATTTCATAAGTTCACAAATAGTAGAAAACTCATAATGGTTAATCAATGAAAAACCCTGAAGAGTTAAATGAAGGTGCATCGTAATCAATTTAACTGTAAAGATGAAAAATAAAAGAATGCCCTACCAACTACTTAAGTTATGAGTGATAACTTTTTAATGATAAATTCTAGTTTCGGAAAATTATTCCTGCTAAAATTATCCTCTAAAGAGAATAAAGGTGGAAATGCTACTCTTCTACTCTTAAGAACAAAATGATTATGAAAACAAAGTTGACAATAAGAATAAAAGAAAAGCAGAAAAAAACCTTTTCCTCCCTATAATAATGAATAATGCACAAAACAAAAACACACCACATTCTTTAACAGGTGCTATTCATAACACACAGATAAAGGCTTGGCTTAACTTTCTAAAAGACCAAGAATTCCTTATGTCTCCCCAAGAACCTGCTTCTCTCATAGGACATCAGAAAGCTATCCCAGGTTTTCAGTCATCAGAATCTTCTCTAAACTAAGGTTCACAAGCCTCCACCAATGTGTTTACTTTTACTAGTGAACTAGAAAGCAAACTTAGTAACACCAAAGCTTTTGATAAAATAGCACAGTAATAAAATAACCACAGGACATTCTCCTCATAAACTCACAAATAAACACACTTTCCGTGGGAAGAGTGGGCTTGCATAAGGAACACATTTGGGTACACATGGCCAGGGCCTACATGCAGATGAAGGGGAAGGGGATAAGTATTTGTATAGCACCTACTACCTGCAAGGCACTGTACTGAGAGCTTTTACAAATATTATCTTATTTAATCCTCACTACAATTCTGTGAGGTAGATGCTATTATTATCCTTACTTTGCAGTCAAAGAAAATGAGGCAGAGAGAGATTAAGTTACTTGTCTAGGGTCACAGAGTTAGTAAGTGCTTAAGGTTGGATTTGAACTCAGGTCTTGCTGACTCCAGGCCCAGTGCTCTATCTACTGCTCCACCTAGCCACCTCAACTTCTGCCTCTGCCACTGCCGAGCTACTGGTATTTTCTAAAGACATCATCAAGTTAACTCTTGTTCTCTGCTGTTTGTTGATGGGCATCACATCTCCCCTCCAGGTCATTGTCAGGGTCACTTTACATCCTGTCCAAAATTCACCAGGAATGCTGTGGCTAGTAAGCTTTTCTCCTGGAGGGGAGGACTACTGCCCTTTCAGTCTCCAACTGTGTCCTGACCACAGCCATCAGATGAGGTACTATGTTCTCTGTTCAGTAGGAGTTTGTGCTGGGTAAGACTACAGCTCTCCTTAGTTGGTTCTCTTAGCCAGTGACTATGAAACTCTTTCCCCCTTAGTTCAGTTACTCAAAGAAGATAACAAATGCCCAGACTGAAATCATGTTTTATATTTGAAATTTGCTTTTAACTACTCACTCTTATTCTATCTCCTTTGAGCCCCTCATTTCCACTCCTATTGTCATAAACTTATTTTAGTTCTCATGTCTTAACCATATCATGACTGAGAAAACTATCCCCAGAACTCTATTTCTTTAAGCAAAAAAAAAAAAAAAAAAAAGCTGAATGAAACTGCTGCAAAGAAACTCTTCCAATACATTCCTCCCTTCCATGTAAATTACAAAGGCTTGATTAGATTAGGCAGGAAAGGCTGGTGATTTCTCCCTCCACTTCTCCCAGCAACAAATCATAATCTATTCTCTCTACACAGCAGAGAAGCAAGTAGTTAAAAGAAGAGATCAAAAAGCAGAAGAGATTTTGGCTTGGCCACCTGCTATCTTCTGTAAACGGCCTGGGTGAAAGGAATCATTTCCCAGGCACTGCCTGAGCTTCATAATCACTGGCTGAGAACTGATTGAGGACAGCTAGGGTGCTCCCCTGAAGAAAAGACATGTTTCCCACCACAGCACCTTGGGATGATAGTGGGGAGAGCAGCAGGAAGTTCTGAATACTGCACCTCAGTGTGAGACCATATTACTTCGGTTCAGCTGAGGTCCAGTGGGTGACAGAGTGCTGGCTGATAGAGAGGTTTATTAACTACAGCATTATCCAGGATGGTAGAAGTGTCTGAAAAACTACAATATTTTTTGTTGCTGTGTGGTGGAAAGAACATTAAGTGACTGACTGAACATAACGGAAGATCTGCTAAAGCAATGAAATCTGCTGAGGAACAGCATACATGAAGCCTTGTGGGGAGCATCTGAGGAGTGACGCCTGGCCAGGACGAAGTCTCACAGAAGACAATGGCAGCTCTGCGGCACTGGAGGCATGAATGGCCCCTCAGGGTGTGTGCCCTGATCACAAGAATGTCCTACACAACTCCTACGCATGTCCTCTCTTCTCACTCAGGGTGTCTATTGTGCGAGGACATGCTCAAAGAAGGGAGGAATTCTCTAGTGTCATTTTATTATCATGCTATTTTACTAAACACCACTGCTTTGAAATAAGTGTATTTTTTTCTGGTCTTCAAAGTATAAACTGAGGTAATTTGGGGGGGAGGAGGTGGTCCACAAGCAAGTGAGTCACAGGGGCTACATGTAAATATTATCAACTTACTCAGATCCTGTTTTTAGGAGATACTTACTTCACATTTAATATGACCAGTTGCACCAAAGATAACAATCTTAGAAATAATACCCCTACAATCAGGAGTAAGACATGTTCCTTGGAGAAAATCCTGTAAATTGGAAATAGGAAATATAACATCACAGTGAAAGGAAGTTAAATTATATTTTCTGAAGTAAAAATAGAACATAAAAGGCAAGAAACTTTAAGGAAAAGACTACTTAAGAAAACAAAAAGGACATGAATGTCATAAAGACAGCATGTATTCTTTTATTTCCAGTTTTATAGAACTTAAATTCAAAGGTATATGACAAATTATGGCTAACACACTGTGGTAAGTTTTCTTTTACAAGGTTCAAGAGGCTAAATCTTGGAACAACTCAATTTGATTATGCAAACATAGGTGTCACCTGTGTCCCAGAGGTCAGTATTTCAGGGAAGTAAGCAGCCTCTATTTTTGGAACCTTCTGTTCCCTACAGCTAGTTGTCAGTACTTGGAACTGAAAATACTTTTTTTTTTTAAGGATTCTGCTATTTGTGGCTTGGGTGAAAAAAGCCCTTATGTTCCCTCATCCTGTCTGTTTTGTAGATTTCTAGTAATCCCTAAAAAAATAAAGGTTCAGTCATAGGCATAATGAGAAGTGAACTCAATTCCAATTCTGAACTCAGTAATAAAACTTACATATTTCTCCAGAAACAGCTGTAATAAATACTCTGAAATAATACAATTCTCCTGAAGGAAGCCAAGTTTATATTAATTATTCTTACACATTTGCATTACATCCCAAACACATTTGTTTTACTTATCAAAATATCTTGTTACAAATCCTGAATGACATAATTGTTTATTCTCTTTTTTTAAAAAATGAAGAAACTGAATATTTTAATTACTACACATGGCTCTCTAACGGATGCCTTAACTATGTTTAATCTCAAATTTATTTTTTAATATCTCTCACATAAACAAAGTGATGATTTATAAGAACTCATGCAAAGTGAAGTAACTTAAACCAGGATAAGAATTTATACAATGACCATAATACAAAGGAAACAACACTGAGAAACACCAGAAATCTGATCAATGTAGTAACCACATATCAGTTCAGAGGACTTTTTCCTCTTAGGAGAAAGGCAATGGATCACAAGTGTAATATAAAGCATTAATAATGTGTTCATGTGTTTTGGAAAGTGATAGCAAAACATTTTTAAGAATATCAATAATGATTTTTGTTTTTTAAAAAAAACTTAAATTCATTTTTGGACATGTTAAATTTGAAATATTAGGGCAACATCCAGACGAAGCTATCCTGTGGAAAGTAGTCTAGAATAAGAAGAGCCCCAAGGAGAGAGTCTTGGGGAAAAAAGGATGGGAAGTCAGCAAAGGAGAGAAGGAGCTGTCAGAACGGCAGCAGACCCAGGAAAGTATGAAGTCAAAGAAACTAAGAGAGATGAGAGAGATCAACGGTGTTATTACTAAAAGAAAGGTTAAGTAGGTTGTGACACAAAAACCACTGACTGAATTATGTGCTAAGGCAATTATTAGTGACTGAGAGGGAGAAGTTTCATTAGAAATGGAAGAACAGAAGTCAGATTACAAGAGGATAAAGACAGTGAGTGACGAAGAAGTGGAAACATCATGTGCTAATATATGGTGGGTATATAAAATTGTCTTTTATCACTAGAAGCATACTGAGATAATCAAGTGTCAGTGTAAAATTTAATTTAATTTTTCACTTTTTTTCATTGCTCCTAAAATCTTCGTTAAATGTTTTAAATGTTTATAAGACCATACGTTTAGAGCTGGAAGGGCCTGGAAGAGCTGAAAGGTTATATGGTCTAGTTCTCTCATTTTAGAGATAAGGAAACTAAGGCCTGGAGAGGAATTGACTTGTTCAAAGAGTTTTTTCAACCTGACAGTTAAGATACTAATTTTTTTTTTACACAAATCCCTACATTAAAACCAAAATAAACACAGAGCAAGTCAGGATCTTAAACAAAACGTATTTTCTTTGAGATCCTAAGTTTTAAAACTAGTGTTAGTTAATGAAATTTGAAGTAAATTATTACTTGCTATTATATATTAAAAAATCAAAATAAAACAAATCTTGACTGCAAAAGCACTTAAAAACCTGGGTACTCAGTATGCCCTTTTAAGAAATCTGTTTTCTGGAACTCAAAGTTTTAGAAACAAATGTTAGAAAGTGTTTCTGCATGCAACTGGAAAATAAGATACACAGAGTATAGAAGGGGTATAGAAATCTATCCTACCCTACAGGAAAATAGAAGGGGATGGGAATAAGGGGGGGGGATAGCAGAGAGAACAGATTGGGTGAAGGTGGAATCAGAATGCAGGCCATCATGGGGTGGGGGGAGGAGAGAGATGGGGAGAAAATTTGGAACTCAAAATCTTGTGGAAGTGAATGTTGAAAACTAAAAATAAACAAATAAATTTGGGGAAAAACAACAACAAAAACAACAACTCTTCCCTTAGCACCTACTATGATGTCTAGTAAGTAATTTTCAATAAACATTAAACATGTAAAAAAAAAAAGATATCTGTTTTCTACTTTATTGTTAAAGCTCTTTAGCTCCATTAATGATGAAAATGCCCTAATCTAGAGGACAGGTGCCAAATAAGTGGCCTGTGGGCCAGCTGTGGCCCACAAAACTCCCAAGTGTGGCCTGAACCAGATTAAAATGTAAATAAGAGATATTTAACAAAATAAATTAAAATATAATAAAACTTAGATAATACAACATTTTAAAACTATGTCAATACGCAGCTTAAAGGGATCCTTACGTACAGATTATTGGTCCCTGTTTCTATTGAGTTTAACACCACTAATCTACAGGATGATATTATTTTAACAAGGATAAATATAAAGCCTTACATTTGGGTTAACAAAATCAAGTTATCTATAACAAGCAGACGTGGCTAAACACCATTTCATCTAAAAATGACCTGGAGGCTTTAGTGGATTGCAAGCTCAATATCAGTCTTGTGTTGAAAAAGCAACAAGAAAGCTAACGCAAACTTAGGCTGCATTAAGAGAGGCCTAGCATTCAAAGTGACAATGCTACTCACTCTTCTCTCAATTTGGAACATTGTGTTCAATTCTGAGTACCACTTTTTAAGGCTACTGATAGGCTAAAGAACATTCAGAGAAAAGAAGGCAGAATTGTGAAGGGCCTCAAGTTCATGCCATATGAAGAAGGGTTATAGGACAGAAGTATTTAACATGGATGAGAGAACATGAACATAAAAGCTGTTGTCAAGTATTTAAAGAGAAAACTAACATTCTGAGTTATCAAAAAGTGGAATGGCTTATCTCAGAGGTTGTATATAACCACTCACTAGGGGTCTCCAAGCCAAAGCTGGATGACTCTTTGCTGTGTATGTTGTAAAAGAAGTCTCTTTCAAGTGTGAGATTCTTTAAGTGTTAACAAACCATAAAGTACACAGTTCAGAAATGAACTCAGAATCTCTTTCCTTTAGAAAATCATAAGTATGTCCAACAAGAATATTAAAAACATTCAGAAAATTGTATGTCTTACCTTGTCATTTTTATCATTGAAAATTGTTGTTTTTAATTTTTTCCAACAGCTAATGTGAAATTCTACTCTACAAAATTGGCAGCAGTTAATTCGTATAAAACCCTGAAATTCAAAAGAATGAACATTAATTCATATCTGAATGCATGTATAATTGAGTATTGAAAGCATCTAGTGAGAAAAACTAAAAAAGTCTATTTAGATGTTTCCAAAATTCCATTATGGTATCACAAATAAGTTTATTACTCAATAATTAGATAAATTATAAATTCCCTATGTTCAGAGACCATGCTATTAGAATTAATTTGTATTTCAATAAATACCTGACAGATATACACTATGTATTTCAATACAATAAACTTTATCTTTGGCATCTATGGCAGAAGCATTAGCAGAAGTAGAATGCATAGAACAAGGAAGGCAACAGTTCCACTGTATTATGACCTGACCACATAAGAAACATTAAATATTATGTCTAATTTTGGCAGTGCATTTTGGAAAGGACATTGAGAAGCTAGAGGATGTACAGAAAAGAGTGACCAAGATAATGAAATTTGCAGTAATGCTAATGATCTAGTGAAATATCTAGTGACATTTAGTCGGAGAAGAAAAGATGCAGTTATGGAGAAGGACATGCTATCAGTTTTCAAATATCTGAAGATTTATTACATGGAAGAGGGATTAGACTTAATCGACTTGGCTCTGGATGGGAAAATTAGGAAAGCATATTTCTGGCTTATTATTATAAAAACTTGTAAGAAAATTATATTCTCTTTCACTGGAGGTCTTAAAAAAGAAGATATGATGAGATGTTGCCAAGAATATTAATGGTTCAGGTAAGGTTCACTAAACAACTGCTAAGGTTCCTTTCAAATTTGAAATTTTGTGTTGTTCTTATAAATCTGATATAAAATCATCATATATATCATTATCATCATATATTATTATATCACATATAAAATTATGTATCCATAATTTTTAACATACCCATGCAAATGTGAGTCACCAATAAAACTATCATTTTGTTCTCTGGGTTCTAATTAGAAATCAGAATTTTTATGAGATATGGTATAGAAGAATAAAGTAGATTAGAGACCTATTCCCCTGGAAAAGTTGTAGGCATCAATGTGAGAAGAAAGGAAGAAAGGGCGCAATTAATTTCCAAGTCCCAAAGAGGCAGGTAGTTATATTTCTTTCAAACCTGAGGTCCTAGAATATAATATTCCTTAGATTTCTTGCAATGAATTTTATTACTGAAATTCACTTTAAAAGTTTTATTTTTTTACCTTGAAGTCTGGATCATTTAAATATATCTGGATTTTGGAATATCCATGGCATTTCTGATAACAACAAACTGCATCTGGATCTGGTGGGAATTTGCATTCTTCAATATGATTTTCCAATATCAACTAAAACCAGAATAAAAACCAGATGTTATGTTACGCTTTCCGATGAACATAGACTTATAAACAATCTAGGTTTCCTGATTCCAAAAATATTTTAGCTGAGAAATGATCAATTTTAAGTAAAAAACAAGAACACAATAAACTTTTAAATTATTACTTTAAAACTGATGAAAAGAGAGATGTGTAATTGTGGGTCAGGAGGAATGAAGGGGAGAAAATAATTTTGAAATCTTTTTCTGGGTTACAGATCTGCAAAACATTGCTGGCTTCAACCACTTAAAGTGCTATCAATAAATACATATATTAACAAGCATTTATTAAGGACTCCCTATGTGCGAGGCAAACTATGCTAAACACTAAGGAAAAAAATGAAAAAACACTCCTCATTCTGGAAAAGCTTACATCCTAACTAGGAAGAAAATACATATAAATAGGTACATAAAGATACATACACAGTAAATATAAGGTAACCTTAAGAGAGAAAAGCACTAGTAGCAGAAGTGATCAGAAAAGGAATTCTGCAGAAGGTGACATTTGAGCTGAGTTTTGAAGGAAATCAGAGATTCTGAAGAGTGGAAATGAATGGCTGGGTCAAAGGGTATGTATATCATACTGCTTTCAAAAATGTTTAGATCAGTTTGCAATTTTGACAATTTGTTAGACTGTTCCTCTTCCCACAGTTCCATTTCTTGCTATTTTTACCATTTTAATGTGTTAGGTGGTAACAAAAGATTATCTTTATTTGTATTTCTCTGATTATTAGGGAATTAAGCTTTTTCATGAGGCTATTAGCAATTTGCATTTTGTCCTTCAAGAATTATCTGTTAATTTCTTTTGACAACTGGGGATTATGTATTAGTCTTGTAGATTCCCTATGTAAGAACTACATTCAATATATTTACTGTAAAGTTTTTCTTAATCTGTTGCTTTTTCATTTTAGAAAACATTTTAACTGAATAAAATCCTTTTATTTTTCTATTATCAAACCTATAAATTATCTTCAATAATTTTCCATATGTTGATTTTTAAAAGCTTTTCTCTGTAGTTAATATACTATTCTTTTGTCTTCCAATGTCAAAATGATTTTTAAAAACACTTAAATTCATGATCCAGTTAGTTACTGTACTGTACGGGTTTTTCTATACCTCTAGGGACATAGCAATCCTGAGATTGTTACTTTGTGATCTTTGCTTCAGTAATCCCATAGATAATGTTGCTTCATTCTGCATATTTTCCAATTCTTTGGATAATTCAGTGATTTTTTTTTCAAATCGATACTTACAGTTGCTATGAGCTGTGCACAATTCCATTTTCCACCGAAATAAGTTTGCTGATAGTTGATTTTTTCAAGTTTTCAATTATAATCTCAATTTGTCATTTTCTCTATTTTTTCCTCTTAATTCTAGACTGAATTCCTGCTGTAATTTTTTACTTTCTTCTAGTTCTTTTAATTGGACTTCAGATTTTTACCAGAGTTAATTGCTGCTTAATTGCTTTCCCTCTGTCATTTACTCATTTCAGCATCTCTCAACCTGCATTAAGTGTCTCTTACATGCTAGTAGCTGCACTAGATGATGGGTTTACAAAGACAAAAGTGAACTCCCTACCCTCAGGGAGCATATGTTTGACTGAGAAAATAAAGCATATACATAAGTAAATACAAAATTTATTCAAAATAAATACAAGGTAATTTCAGAGTGCAGAGGCACTAGAATTTTGATGTATTAGGGAACCTCACTTTAGAGGTGGAACATGAACTAAAGAAGTGAGGGACTATATAAGGTGGGGGTAAGGAAGCAGTGCATTCCAAACCTGTGGGAAAGCCTATACAAAGACACCAACCAAGTCAAGGGATGGACTGCTATATATGAGAAACATTGTAGGCCTGTTTCATTTGTTACACAGTATTTTTAATTTTTATTTTATTGGCACTTCACTAATTTTCTATTTTGCAGATGTTTATTTTCTTCTATAGATTTTTAGTAATATTTCTTTTTGTTGGCATTTCTATTTGTTCTTTTCTGAGGGGGTATGGAACTGAGTTCCCCTTAACTCACATTCTTCTACCTAGAGTGGAAAGCCTATGCTAACATTTTAGTAGATGTGGTAAAATCTCCATTATATTTGCTGAAAAGAGACAAATAAAGCAATTCATTTTGGCATATCAGCTCTTTGTCCCTATTACTGTCCTCTTTTGACAGTGCTACACACCCCAGCATGCCTACCACTTTCTTCAACCAAACCTCTGCATTGCTGCTGTTCACTCTAGACCTTTGCCTCCTGGGATTTATTCTCATTGCTATCTCAGTGTGATGGAACAGGACACACTCCCAGGGTTAAAGTGTATCTACCAACCACCCAAAAAGTAACTTCACTTACCATCAGCCTGGAACCAGGATGGGAAAACGTTGATGATATTACTATTTTAAAAACTTAAGGCTATTTTTTCAACTTAAAGATATATACCATCAAATTCACTCTGGGAACGGTGAGGCTTCAACATATCAAATTCTAGAACAATTATGATGGAAAACCAGTATAGCAGTGTGCCTCAGCACACACAGAATGGAATTGAAAGAGGAAGAATGAGGTTCACCTTTTCCAGGCCTCTTGGCTTCAGCCACCACTTCAAAGATTAACTAATGGGTGATAAGAAAGCTTTGTTACAGTTGCTTGTCTATCTGAGTATAAATTGTGTATTATTTAATACAGCTAAAGGGAGAGGGGGAACAAGAAGTGGGGAAAAAATAGTGCTTCATTATCTCTCCATTGTCTTATATAGGAAAAACATTCAACAGTAGTCAGACTGATAAAAATAGTTTGATTGGACTATTTTATTTCCTATGAAATAGAAATCTTACTATAAAGAAGTATTTACCTGTAATTTCTCTGCTTGAGATTCTTCAATAATCACATTAGTTGTAGGCCATGTCAATACTCCAGGAATAAGTTTAATCATAGTCTTAGATTTTTGAAAATGACCAAGTGCATCTGAAAATCTAAAGTAAGAATAAAGAACAGGGCCATTAAAGGTGATACAATATAGTCTTCTCTTCCATTCTGATTTATTCATTCTATTCTCTTCTCTGAACTATTTTATCATAGTAAGTAATACATGCTTGAGCCCAAAAATTGTTCTCTAATTGTTTCATATGTATTCCTCTTGTCTTTGCAGCTAAGTTATAAGTTCTTTCATATCACAGATTTAAAGCTGGAAAGAACCCTAAAGACTATTTAGTACAATCCCCTCATTTTTCAGATGAGAAAACTGAAGCCCAGAGACAGTAAGTACAGACAAGTTAAAAAAGACAGGACCTGACCAAGTCAGGTCATAGGGAGGGGAAACTAGGAAAATACTCTCTGAAGTTTATAATTTCAGTTATAAATCTCCTAACTTTTAACTTTTGAAGGTTCACCAGAAAGAAGACAGAAGTTTGGGTTTCCTAGCCTCTCTCTAGGCCAAAGGGTTGAATTTTCTTCTCTGCCCTATTAAATTCTTGTCCAGAGCCCCAACATTCCCTAAAAATGCTTTCTCATTGTTCTCCTCAAGGAGTTTACAGCAGAGTATGAGGGGTAAGAAATAAACAAAATATTCTGTTATAACAGTATTACATGATAAGTTCATTAGAAAGCTACAAAATAAAGTGCTATGTGAAGTCCAAATGGGCAAGCATCTCGAAGGCCATGGAAAGAGATGGAATATCAGTTCTGGTAATGAAAGCAAAGTCCTTAAAGTGATTTGCAATTACTGGTGCTTTATGGATATTAATGTTAGAACGTTTCGAAAATTAGTACATGTAATAAATATTTAGTCATTATAGGCACTGGGAATACTCTACAATGGCTGTTCAATCATGATAGTATTAACATCAGCACAAAGCTCAAAAATATTGTGTTATACTCACCTATTCTTTTTTAAATATACTTTTCCAATTCCAAAATAGGCTAAGCAGTCAACTCCTTCATTGGGGTATTGCTCAATAATTCTCTTAAACTGATATTCGGCTTCTGATAATTCCTTTAATAGCAACAAAAATGATGATCACATAAACATAAAGAAGAAAAAAGCTTGGGAAAGCAGAAGGATCCTGGCTTCTAGAAGTGGCCAAGAGAACCTATGCAAGGGTGAATTAAAGTAGCATGAATGTACTTTATAGAACAGTGATGTGTCCACACAAACACACCCAGTGACCCACCCATACATGAATTCTATTATATGAAGGTTTAATTTTAGATGTTTTATTGCTATTATCTAGCTGAAGAATTTCTTCAGTATATACTTATATATGTACATGTCTTCCCCATTAGAGTGTAAGTACCTTAAGAGTAGAAATTATTGTATTATTTGTATTCCCAGTGCCTAGCACACAGAAGGTGTTTAATAAATATTGTTGATTAATGCATTTAACATTTAGTAATAGACTCTAACATAGCTTTTTTTAAAAAAGGACAGATTAAAAGCAGAATTCTATCCCTGTCACAGGATCTTTCCTTACTTCTACCTCTAACAAGGAAACAAAGCAAATATGCTAAGAAAAAAAAAGGAAAATAGTAATAAGTTTTTTATGTGAAAAAATTACTCCTCTATGTCTAGATACATATCTCCTAATCATGTCAAAATTTTAATTCATTTAGAACTCTTCTAAAACTTACCTCAGGCATTCCTATTCCAAGAAGAGAGATGGCATAACCATAGATTACTAGGACATAGTTAATAAGGGCAAGATTCAGTTGCTGCCAATGAAAAAAGAATTAAAAAAATGGAATTGAATTATTGAATTTTAGAGCTACAAAAAAATCATCTAGGGATCTCATTGATTTTAAAAATAAAGAAACTGGGGTGCATAGGTTAAGTGACTCACCAAGATCATAAGATGTTGTGCAAAAAAAGCCAATACTAGAATCTGTCTTCTCCTGATGCTCACTGCTCTTTCAGATTAACCCTTTTCACACTTACCTCACTAATTTGTACTTAACATTAGAAACATTAATTATGGTTTTCTAAAAAGACAGAATACTATGACTTTCAAGTACATCCTGAAACATGAAGTAGCCTACCTTGTATAGGAGCTATCCCTTAGAGATCTCTAGTGAATATGAATGATTTGCAATCAACATATTAATCTTTCACTTAAAATGAGTATTTTAAGTGGTCAGGAAGTGTTCTCTTGAATAGATTTTATAAGTTCATTTCAGGTTTTTTTTCAGCTAATGCCTTTTTTCCTATTATCAGCATCCAATGACAAATGAACACAGTTCTTGTCAAATTATCACAAATTTCAAATTAACTTAATGAATTTTAAATTTCAAATTAATAGGAGTCCAAATTAATTTCATTTAATTGCACTGAGAAGTACAGAGAAAAAGATCACAGATTAAAATCTAGATTTGATTAGAAAAATCCTAAAGATAACCTCAAAAGACTTAATACTTTCTATTCTACCATTCTTTCTCTAAAATATGCCTAATTGTTTCTGAATGGAGGATATGACCAGAGTTAGTGCAAGTTTAGAAGTAGCAGTAATAACAGTAAACATAACTTACATTTATATTACATTTTAAAGTTTATCCATTGCATTGTACACATATTTTCATTTAATTTTCTCTCCAAGTATTTTAAGAAAGAACAAGGAAATCAAATTAATATAAACTGAAGTACTTTAACAAGCTCACAGAAGGAATGGTATGGCATTACACTAAATCGGAAATGGTAAAGGGTTACCTTCTCATGGCTCTGAATTTTAGTTGTCAGTGGTCTTAATTAGGACTTATACTTGCTTTAAGTCTACTATAACCTTAAAGTTGTGATTTTTACCTACTATATAACACTATCTTTAATATGTGCTACTGCCAATAAGTATGATGTTATTTGTCAATTTTACCTTCAATTTATTGGGATCTATGTCACTTAACAACCGTGAAAAGGCTTTTGCTGCACTGCGACAATGTTGGTCCATCAAGGCTGTGCAACCTTCTTCGATGAGGGATTGCAGCATTTTTATCAATATAGCAAAATCCTGAAAAATTTAAGGAAACAATTTTTATTCTGATATATCAGGAATTATAAATTTCCTCTTTTAAGTTGTAACAAGGTGATAAATGCCTTATAATTTATAACTAGTTATGTTTATAGATACCCTTAACAAATATCTTCACAACACAAGATTTTATTAAAGGCATCCCTTCACAACTAATAGAAATTCATTTATAGAATTCAGTATTTATATTGATGAAATAAATTCCTTTTAAAGAATAGTACTGGGGGCAGGTAGGTGGCATAGTGGATAGAGCACTGGCCCTGGAGTCTGGAGGACATAAGTTCAAATCTGGCCTCAGACACATAACGCTTACTAGCTATGTGATTCTGGGCAAAGTCACTTAATCTCAACTGACTCACAATAAAAAAAAAAAAAAAGTATCTCCCAAACTCACAAAGCACAGAAGTGAAGTGCTATCATTTTGCATCCAATATCCCTGACACCATCACGAATCAGAAGAGGTGTTTCTTCTACCATTTTGTAGCAATTGAGTGTTGTCTGGCTTTACTAGGCTAAACACATACTGCCCTGATACATTTTCAGGAACCAACTGAAGTATTTCAAGCAAGAACAGCCATCAGTTAACTATCTATTTTAGTTAAAACTGATACAGGTACAATCCATTAAATTTCAGATCAATTTCTGACATTGGTACTGGTATTCAGTATTCATCAGGAACTCTGCCACTTTACAAGGATTTGACATCTCATTAATATATATATATCAACTAACTTGGAAGGAAATCATGAAGTCCTAGCTTTGTGCTTCTTGGTTAAATGGTTGATGGTAGTCTGGGGAAACTAGGAAGAGACAGTTCTGCCATCAAAGACAGAGATAGCCACTACTATTGGGCCAAGAGGATTTGCTTTATTTAGACCAATCAGAAAGCGAGAAGAGAGCTTGACGGCAAGAAAGAATGAGGAATTTCTACATCAAATATTGAGATTTCCAGATAGTGAAGTAGGCACTGGGTCTGAAGCTCAATGGGGAATGAGGTAATAACAAGGTCAAGACCTAATAGAAACAGGTCAATCAAGAAAATGGGTTCAAATAAAAATAAGGCCAAATTTCTTATAGCATGTAGGATTCACTTCTAAATTTCCCATATAATCTGTTATATCTTTGCTGAAAATAGTTTAATATTTCTGTACTGTATAGCACTAACCCCTTAAATAACCCTTTAAAAAGGGGGGGGGGATTTTATGCTATTTTGAAAGAGCAGGGCAAGAGAGAAAGAAAAAAAAAATCCTCTATCTTCTCTTAAAGCCTGAGCTGGATGATGAGGAAATCATTTCAGGCAAGGGAGGTGATGGCATGGGGGGAAAATGGCAAGGAGTACTAGGGGAAAGTTGTAGTATTTGCTGGATGCTTAAAAAAAAAAATGAGGTCCCCTGGTTTATCCTGAGTCACATGGCACCACAGTGGCTAAGATGGCAATCGTTACCAAATAATAACTTCAGAAGGACTTTGTAAATATCACAAATACCACAGTAAACATCCTCAAAAGAAAGATTAGGCAAATTTTTATACTATATTAATAACCTTTGTCGCAATGTTTTATCTTTTTGTTTCCATGGTTCCGCAGAACATTTCAAATTATATTCATAAGTACTAAAAGCTAAAAAGCACGTAAAATATAGGGATCCTTATTAACGTTGTAGATATTTAACTACTAAAACTGAGAATATGCTCTAAAAATAAGTAAAAAATAGAAGTGGAGGCCTAGAATTTTAGAACTAAAATAGACCTTGGAAATCATTCTATCTTATTTACAGATGAAGCAACCAGCAAAGGAACAAGAGTCTTTGAGGGGACAAGGTCTACAAATTCCCATCATTTTTCACCTTCCCACACTGCTGTATTCTATCACCACAGAGTAAGAACTGGAAGGAAGTACAAATGTCACCTCACCCAACAACATCATTTGAGGAAACTGAGATCAGAAAGATTAAATGACTTGTCCAAAGTGAATACTGGTAAAAGAATAAAGGTGGGATTCTAACCCAGGGATTCTTTCCATTTTATCACATTGCCTTCTATTTCCTGTATTTTTTTTTTCTGCCATAGAGAAAACATATGCTCACATATACGAGCACATTATTTTCTTCAACCTAGTATAGTAAGAATATTTCCTCAATTTTCCTATCATACTTTCAAAAATGTTCTTTTAATTTACACAGCGTAGTTTTTCCCTATTAACTTAGGTATCTTGAAATCTATTAACTTCCCTACTATAAACAACAAAGAAACTAATTTTAAAAGTTTGAAGTTAGACTGTCTTAAAAAGCTTCAGTAAAAAATAGCCTATCCTACTGAACTATTCAAAAAGCATATGTGATTTCTGGCACATCTTTGTAAAAGAGAAATGTGATTTCATAGTAGAATATTTCTAATCTATATTTGCTTAAAATAAAGAACTGAACTTCAAGTTATCCCATAGTTGTAAAAGTTTTTACAAAAAGTGACCAAAGATTTTTTTTAACCATATGTTGTACACAAAAAGTGCATCAGCTACAGAGTTGTGGTAAATATCTTTCAAAGAATAGGCAGTCTTTACTTGTAAAATGCTCTCAGATCTCACGCACTTCAAGTATAAATAATTGGTATTCTATAATAGCGCTAACTGACTTTATGAATAATTTTACAAGTTTATTTCCTCTATCACACTTTAGCTTTCTGACTACCATTAAGATGATCAAATTATCACTGGCACCAACTTTAATTTGGAATTCAGCCATAACACATTTAATAAGTTTTATATATAAAGATGAATAAATGAAATGTAAAATCAACAATGATTAGATATATTTATTTAGCAAAGAATAAATGAAAAATCTGCCAACATGTTTTGATCAGAATAATAATTTCTACTGAAAATATTTATTTCAATTAAGTAAATAGCAGTGGAAGGACATTTAAGGAACACTTGATTAGGAGTCAAGATCCTTGAGTTCCCATTTGGGCTAACACTTATTTGGTATGTAAACCTGAGAGAGTCTCTCATCCTCTCTGAGCCTAGTTCCTTATCTATAACTTATAGATAAGAAAGATAATTATTTCCATTATCAGCCTCACAAGATTGTGGAGAGACAAGCATGACAGAAATGTGAATTATTATTGTTATTGTTGTCAACAATAGTTACCTGTTGTACAGCTCTGGAAGATTTACTGAATTGTTTATCCAATAAGCTTTGCAAATCTATTTGTAAATTCAGTTGCAGGCTAGAATTTAAAAAAGATAAATTCAAAAGTTAAGCAAATCTAGTCAATCTGATAAAATGGCAATTGGTCCTAATTAATCAGGAAGCATTTAGCACCCATGATGCCTGGTATCATGTTAAGTTCTAGGGATACAAAAACAAAAAAATGAAACAGTCCCTGATCTTAAGGAACTTCTATCGGGAAACAACATACATAGAAGTAAATATATTCAAAATAAGTACAAGGTAAATTTTTTTTGAAGGGAAGAGCTGGGGCAGGGATAGATAAGGAATAGCTTCATGCTGAAGTTGCTTGAACAGAATTTTGAAAAAAAAACAAAAACAAAAATTATTAAGAGGCAGAAGTGAAGTGGAAATGCATTCTAGGCCTGGGACACAGTCAGTTAAAAGTACAGAGACCAGAGATGCAGTGTTGTCTATGAGAAACAGTAAATGGCTAGTTTGGCTGAACTATAAAGCGTGGGAAAAGAAGTAATGTATAAGGTTGGAATGGTAGATTTGGACCAGGTTCTGCAAGGCTTTAAAGCTAAACAGAGGAGCTTATATATGATGCTAGAAGCAACACAGTACAACTAGAGTTTACTGAGTAGGAGAGTGACACAGTTAGCCTTGCACTTTAGGAAAATCACAGAAAATATAAAAGGAAACACATATTCTTAAAAAGGAATTTTAAAGGGGCTTATAGTATACAACATAGCATCCTATTATGAATGTGGATATTAAATGCTATATGACATAATACTACAATACACTTAAAAAAGAACATATATTAACTTATAATTTGATTCTTTAACACAGAAAAAATTCCTACCTTGGCTTTCCCACATCATCGCTTTTGTTCTTTGATTTTCCTTTATATTTAGGGCTATGACCTATAGGCAGAAGAAATTTTGTTGTTTGTTTGTGGATAAGTATAAATGCTCATACAGAGATATTTAAATCTGAGAAGGAAGCACGGTGGAAAGCATTTGAATTAATATAATAAGAGAGAGAAGTTATCGTGTTGCTGGAGTATACCACAGAATAAATAATCAGATGAAGGTCATAGAGGGTTTCACAACAGAAACTTTTAGCACAGTGGCAAACTACATTAACATTGGGGCATATCAACTATTATGGCTTCTAATAAAAGTCTAGTTCTCCTGAAAGAAGAGGGCCTAATAAATTCTCTACTTGCTTTATTGGACAATCCCATGTTTCATAAAACAGAAAATACTATTCAACTTAATTCTTACCAACAAGGATGAACCGGTTGTTAACGCATAAACGGTAGGAAATTGGTAAGAAATTGACCATTTCTCTGTGCAGATAGTAGAGAATGTTGGACATTGTCAGATTTGTACTCTAGACTTTAGAAAAACAGATTTCAAAAAGAGTGGGGGAAATATAGGCAGATTTTTTTTTCCTTCTCCCTTATAAGCTCTGCTTCCTTCTCTTAATCTCTGAAAATAAATGTTTCTTTATGAACATGGTCGACTTCAGAAAAACCTAGAAAGACTTACATGAATTGATGCTGAGTGAAGTAAGCAGAACCAGGAGAATATTGTACACAGTAACAGCAACATTGTGCAATGACCAATTTTGATAGACTTAACTTTTCTCAGCAACACAAGGATTTAAAACAATCTAAAAGACTCATGATGGAAAATGCTATCCACATCCAGAGAAAGAACTATGGAGTCTGAATGCAGATAGAAGCATACTATTTGCTCTCTCTTTTTTTGTTTCTTCTTTCTTGTGATTTTCTTCCTTTGGTTCTAATTCTTCTTTACAACATGACTAATGTGGAAATATATTTAATATGACATACATGTATAGTCTATATCAGATTGCATACTGTCTTGGTGAAGGAGTAGAGAAAATTTAGAACTCAAAATCTTATAGAAGTGAATGTTGAAAACTAAAAACAAATAAAATTAAAAAAAATAAAAAGCATGTGAGTAAGCACACAAAAAGGAAAGAAACAAAGAAAATAAATGTTTTTAGAGATATAGGACACATCTAGAAATGTAGGATGACTTGGTTCTCTATCCTCTCTCTACTCTTGTTTTTCCTCCTATTTTGGCAAGTTCTACCATATAGATAACTTATATTTCGATAAATCCAATAGGATAATAACAAAAAAAATTTTATGCAGCTTCTTAATCTCAATACCTTCTCTCTGAGATTATTCTCAATTTATCCTGTCTACAGCTTGTTGTACATATGAAGTCTTTTCTTACAAGTCAGCATAGAAATGATCTCTGCTCTCCTTTGAACTATCACACTATTATCCATTCTATACAGTTAATTTGGTAATTAATCACAGGCTTTTTTCTTCTTCTGTCTTGAGCACTGTTTAATTATCTCATCACTTATATTTTCCTGTTTTTATTCCTTATTTTCTTAATTAGATTTTGTGTCTCAGTTTACCCTGATTTGATCGTAACATTTGTACTATAAAGCTCATCTTCCCTTCTGTCTACATATAAGACATCCTTCATATCTGGAATATATTGCTCTTCAGCTCTCCCTCTTAGAATCTCTTGCTTTCTTCAAAGCTCAACTCAAGAATCACCCCCTGAGGGAAGTTTTTCCTGTTGCTCCACAGTTGTTGGTGTCCTTCTTCCTCCCTGCAAATTACCTGGCATTTATTTATCTATATTTAAGGTGGATGCCTCAACAAGAGTGTGAGCTCCTATAAGGTAGGGACTATTTCATTTTTGTCTGGGTATTTCTAGTGCCTGCTACATAGAAGGTATTTAATAAATAGTTGTTTAGTTGAATTGCTGAATGCAACTAATAGTGGAAAAATTAAGAGTTAAGGAGATGGTATATGATATCATGCAGGAAATATATAATAAGAAAAGGTGAGCTGGTTATATAGCAAGAGTGAAGTATAAGAAATGGCTAGCTAAATAACTACACTGTTATCTCTGAAATGTTAAAAGACTTTGAAGAAGGCCTCAAGGACACTGGATGGATCCTCTATGAAGGATTTATTTAAGGCCATACACATGAATCAAAAAAGGATGAAGAAGCCTAAATGGATTGTGATATTAACTAATGAAATATTGCTACATCAGTGAAATCATATAGTGTTAGACAATATAGGGGTAAGAAAGAAAAAAAATCTGTTTTCTTACTAGCTCATATCAAAGGGCCAACTGTCCTCATTAATGAAGTAAAGATCCAGAGGTAACTTATACTAAGGTAAGAAAAATCGTGCCACTTGTTTTAAGGATGGTGAAAACATTCCACTTCTTTTATTTTAAGCCCTGACTAGAGGTTAAGTGCACTTTTGCACTGCGACACAGGGTTGGAATTTTTTTAAATGAAAGAAGGTAACCACATTCTATAACCACCTTCTATTAAAAAGTAGGAAATCATACAATGAATTTTAGAAAGTTTTCCACAAAAATGTAGCCATGTAAGCTCTGAGAAATCCCACTGATGAGTTAGGTTTCCAAAACTAGTTAGAACCCCCTTGGAAGTCAAAAAGGATTTTTCAATGTCATCAGCTCAAGCTTTTACCAATTTGTTCCCCTGCCCCCCTCCCTACTCCTCAGAGGCTATCAGATGGGAATCATTCGGGTTTTGCTGCTGTTATTAGTCATTTCAGTCATGTTTGACTCTTTGTGACCCCATTTAGATTTTCTTGGCAAAGATACTAAAATGATTTGCCATTTCCTTTTTCGGCCAGATTTGAACTTGTGAAGATGAGTCAACCTGACTCCAGGCCTTGCACTCTATCTACTGTGCCATCTAGCTGCTCCATCATTGAGTTAGCCAGCCTAAAGTGGCTTTCAGAAAAGCGTATTTCCTAATGTGGTGCAGTAAGAACAGGTACCCCAAATGTTTGTGATACAGTATCCCACAAGAACATTCAGAGCATAGAGGTAAGTGGGCTTAAGCTTGTCAGAAAGTACATGTGGCTCTTCATTGCTGCAGGTCCCTTTCTCCATTTACTGGGTGCTAAAGATGTTCCCTTTAAGCGTCGTGTAGTTTCTTTCCTGAGTTCCTTGTAAAGCCCTAAGATCAATTGGCCCTAGATTCCCAGTGTAGACGCTACTGCCATGAATGCAGTGATGCTGTGGGAAGATGGGAAATTCAAAATCCCTTGTACCTTTTGAAGCTTCCAAGGCCTTTGACGTATCTCTCTCTTATTCCTCCCTCACTGCCCAGGAAGTTCCCTCCTAGGTGGGGTTCAGTTAGAACACCACGCTCACCCCAATTTCTGGAATCCAAACCATTCCCCGGTTGTCTATAAATTATCAGACAATCAAGACTCCTCAGCCCATCCAAACACAATTCTTGGATTTCTCATTCCAGTTGGAAAGCTTTTTAGAACTGTCTAAGGCCTATCAGAGATGGACGGATTGATTGAGATGCATTGTCACCTAGCTAAAGTAGAAAGGCTTACATGGGGGCATGGTTTCAACTCCATACTTAGAAAAAATTAAACCCCTCAGAATATGGTATTAAAAAGGGTCAACTCCAATTATTTGGAAAATTCTTATCAGGAAGACTTAATTGCCCTTTGTAAAATTAAGCATTTTCCTCATATTACCACAGTCTTAAAAAAACCAAAACACAACAAACACATTGGAATTGACCCAAACAAAATTAAGAGGCAGCCCTAAAATTAAAATTAATATGCTCCTCCTTTCCTGTTTGGGTTTTCGTGACAATCTCTGTGTGTGACAGTACTGGCTACTGGCTGGAGACAAATGGTCTTGCTATGTGAAACCACTAACAGAAGATGGGTAGAAGTGAACTAAACTAAAAAAGCTGTACTAGACAATGGCAAATATGGACAAGGTTAATGGAAGTTTTTGAAGCTCTTTTTTTCTAAGTGAACTTGTGACTTCATTAAAATACCCACAAGTGTTCCACTTCTATGTTCAAGAACTCTGAAATTCCCTATCTGATCATGATCCCTTCTCACTCCACCCATCCCTCTGCCTTGCATCCACCAACCCTGTTCTTTGTCCTCACTGTGACTTCCAACCCCTCCACCTCTCAGCTCTCTCCCAGGGAATCACTCCTGTGCTAGCTACACTCTCCACCCTTCCCCATCTTAACTTTTTGGAAAACCAGCTGAACTCTACATTGTTCTCTTGCCCCTTATCCTATGGAGGATCTTGCCCTGCCAAACCTCAGACTTTGATTTCTTCTACTGTCTACTGCCTCTACTCTTACTCACAGACTGCAGAATGAAGCCAGAGAAAGATATCTTAAACTCAATATGTAAAAACAACTAATTACCTTTCCCCCAAGTCTTCTTGACTTCCTAACATTTCTAGTATCACTGAGGGCAGCAGCACCTTCCCAGTCACCTAGGCTTACAATCCAGGTGTGTCATCCTCTCCTCCTCACTTTCTCATCCCCCATACCTAATCAGTTACCAAGTTCTTCACATCTCTAGGATAAGCTCCCTTTTCTCCTTTGACAGCACCATTACCCTGGTACAGGTCCTGCTGGTTGGTTTCCCTGCTTAAGTCTCTCCAAGTTCATGTTCTCCAGTCCATGCTCCACTCAGCTATCAAATAAACTTCCTCAAGCACCCCCCACTTAATAAACTCCAGTGAATCTCCATTTCTTCCAGGTTCAAACATAAAATCCTCTGTCTGGCTTTTAAAGTCCATTATAATTTGGCCCCTTCTTTCCTTTCAAGTCTTATTACACCCAATTCCCTCCCCAAATACCATGTAATTTAGAGACATTGGCCTCCTTTTTGTTCCTCAAATAAGATACTCCATCCACATGATTCTATATCTTTTCACAGCAGGATGGTGCAGTGCAACACTATTTAACTTAGCACCAGATTTACATATGAAATAGAAAAATTAACCTACCTGGTGGCAACTCCAGAGGATAGTCTTTATTTTCTGATTTCAAAATTTCACGGGATACCTACCCATGACAATAAATGAGATTGTTAAGAAAAATATGCTAATAAAAAAATCTATCATGCACCTGAAACAAATAGCCATTTTTCCCACTCATATATATTAACACTGCCACCCCTCATAAATTCCCTTCTCTAGTTTGAATAAATCTATTTCTTTATAGATTCTACTTTTCTGGTCTTTTAATCATTGCTGTTCCTGTTCTCTGTACCCCTTCCAGGTATTTTATGTCTCTTAAATTGCCAAGATAGGGACAAAATTCTCTAGTAAGAGTCTGACTACTACTGTGTACTGGTGTAAAGACCATTTAATGGATCCTACACACTTTTGTTCCTGTAAGTCAGCATGTTTTCATTCTAAACATCTTAAAATTCTACCATTTCCTCTAATTTCCAATCACACTTGCTGTCACTTCTTGAGGAAGAACAAGATTCACAAGAGGTAAGGGTGGTGATCAGTTATGTTTTTACCCACTGACTTACAGATTAAAATCTGGCTAATGGATCATTATAGATTTAGATCTGGAAGGACTCCTGGCAATCACTTAATCCAAACCCATTATTCTACAGGTAAGGAAACTAAAGCTGATTAGAGTGGAAATGATCTGAGCTGGGTCACACAAATAACAAGCAGTCAGGATTACAACCCAGGTCTTCAGAATCCAATCCAGAATTCTTTATACTGTACTACAGTACCTCCCATTGCTATGATGCATTAAAGAATCTTGCCAAGAATCTTTTAGTTGCATTTCCCATGGAATTGGTTTCTATAATTAGAAGCATTTTAAATTACTGGAAGTAATTTTCAAAGAAAACAAATATAATAAGATACATAGTATTGTGAAATAAATTTGTGATCATATTTATATATGTATGTACATACACAGACACAGATGCATAGCTTGATTGATCTACTTAACAGCATTAAAAACTCCCCAATTTCTTAAAAGGTTTTGAAATCTAATAAGGGTAAAATAAGTCTAAAGTCTCCATGAGGTCAAAGAGAGAACACAACAAACAACATGGATGATTTTCCTTTGCAGATAAAAGTAGACTGTCTAACAAAAAAAAAAAAAAAAAGATTCCTCTCTTATCAACCTACTAATTCTGACTAATTAGGCAGTACCTTAGCTAAGGCCACTCCCTTTCTTCAGAATTAGTTTCATTTTTATGACATGACATTCATGACATGACTTTTTGGCTTCTACACCTTCGCCCTTTCTTGAAACACTTGTCACTTGCATAATTTCCTGTTCTGGGAATAAATGTAAGTTGCTTCCCTAGTTTATCCACTAATCTTTCAATTAAGGCACATAATATTACGAATAAATGCTTGAATGCCCATAGGGGGATAGTACTATAGTTACAGGCTAGGTCCTATATACATTTTTTATCATTTGGAAAGAGCGTTGGAGTTGGATTCAGAGGATGTGTGTTAATTGGGCTAATCATCACTTAAAATCCTCTAAGCCTCAAATTCCTCACCTGTAAAAGGAAGGGGTTGAACTAGATGGCCTCTGAAGTCCCAGTTAAAAATCTATGATATTTCAAAACTATTTTTTTATACCCTCAAACACACCAAATCTGATGTTAACTTAGAGACTCGTATGCAGCTCAAAAGGTTTCTTTTTACAACTTCCTAAACAAGTTTTGCTACTCTAGCATCAATAATAGAAACATCAAAGATCAATGCAGATCTAAACATTCAAATTAACTCCATCATTAAAGAAACAACGAGTGAAGTCATCCTTTAGAGAGGTATGGGACCTGGAACAAATTATTCCCTCTCAACAAATAATCTATTTAAATATAGACATATAGGTATAAAACCAAAATGAACATTAAGGATAGCTTTGAAGGGAAGTCACAAAGTGCAATGTGAATGGTGTACAGGAAGGGAGAAGCCAAGTGGGGAGTAGGGGTGAAAAGTCTCTTTGCCTTGGGAATGGTGGTAATGTTTACAATGTGATAATATGAAATATAAGCAACTTTTTTAGAAGCAGATGGTAGTGCTGCTTCCTTACCTGCCCAGGCAACAGTGGTTCAGTTCCTTTAAATAAAAGAGTTTCACTCCAGTTCACCATATCCTAGGAACAGCTCTGGGCAGTGTGACTGCTGTATTCTAGTCTTTATATGTTTTCTGGTTTCTCAACATTTTTGCTGACAATTTAAGTTTGTACTACAGGGAAATAAACTTTTTATATTCAGTTTCATTTCTGTGTACATATTCCATCTAAATGAAGTACAACATTGATGTAAGATCTTGAAATACCATCTTACAAAAGAACTGACACTAGGGACAATGGAATTTAATTCTGAAGTCTTAACCCTTTCCTCACAACTCATTTTCTTTACTGAGCATCATCCTAGGAAAATAAGAAAAAAAATAAACATGAGAAGGAGGTGGGAGAGGAACCCCATAAAAATGATACAAATATAACAGAATACATATAAATACTTGAATTTACAGATTAAATTTTAAGTGAAATTTTTTAAAAAGTAACAATATTTTAATTTGAAAGATAAATTTAAAGTAACAGGAGTTTTCTCTCTTCTATTCAGATGTAATACTAGCATATATACTTTTACTACTAGTTTCTAGAGGTTCCTGAGAGCAATGAGGTTGGGAATAGGAAAATGAAAGCCCAGTCAGTTACTTATGAATTGCCAATCATAAATAAAAACAAACATAAGCAGGGCTTATAAATCCTATACTCTTTAATTAGGGGAGGTAGCATCAATGACCTTTAAGGGGTCCCTGCCTCATTTATAATCCCATGATCCTAAATCAGCAGCAACTGACTCAAATAGCATGCATCACTGCAGTAGAAAGAGCTCTGACTCTGGAGTCAGAGGAACTTTGTTTAAACCCCACTTCTTATCCTTACCATCTATGTGGCCTTGGTCAAGTCACTTAAATTCAGTTTCCTCAGTAGGAGGGAGACTAGATAATCTCTGAGGTTCCTTTTGACTCTGATTGTTTGTAAAACTTACCAGTACTCATCTACTGCACTGCTACTACAGAAATTTTTGTTACTTTTCAAAGATTTGATATTCTGATAACATTTATCTCAACAAAGGACAAGCAGCCTCACGTAGGCTACAGAGCAATAATTTTGAGATCTCTGGTCTAAATTGTTATTTGCAAAGAGTTCTCTGAAACTGTGTATTTATGAAGTTGTAGGAAACTAAATGATTATTCATAAAAAATAGAAACACTCTATATCAAAATGCAGGAAGGGATCAAATTTCCCAAATTCTGGGGTTCTATTATTACTAAAACCACCAATGTGCTTTGAAAGAAATGACCATTTTGAGTGAGTTTACCTTCAAATTCTGATATTGATAATAGTCACGATATTTCGACGCTAATCTCAATACCTTGTTTTCTTCACTGGTTTCCATAAAATTAAGAAAACCATAATGTAAAGGTCTTGGAGAATTACAACCTGAAGATAACCTAGGAGAAAAAAAAACTAATGTTTTAATGCTGCTGATTATGATATATTATATTTAAAACCCTCCAAATAAACACATGACAGCAGAGATAGATACTGAATTTTAAAACATAAAACAGTGTTAATGTTAATATGGGCCTGAAGGAATGATAAGTAACTTTAAATCCATGGATGTACCCTTTTATAGACAAACTGTGTGACACTTGATATTAAATTCATAACTTACATTTAGAAAAGTTCAAGAAAAGCCTTTTGTATATAAGTTAAAGGTAATTGCATCTTCATCTTTTAACCACTATAGCTACCATTTTCAGTGTGTAAATCAAAATGACAAAATTTAACTGAAGTTACAAATAACCAAAATGTGGGAATAACTGACAAATTATCACAATTAATTTTAAAATATTTACCTGAACTATAATCAGTATTTAAGGAAACAAAGTATTTGTTGCTTATTTTGACTGTTTCATAGCAAGGAAAGGCAATTAAGCAATTAGCTAAGTAGTCATGTAACAACATAAAACAATATTTAATCAAAAAATTTATCTTGCCAAAAGGCAATCAAACTATCCAGACCCTTTGATCCAACAACACCACTACCAGATCTGCATCCCAAAGAGATTTTTTTTTAAAAAAGGGGATTACCTGTACAAAAACATTTATAGCAGCTCTTTTTATGGTGGCAAAGAATTGAAAATTGAGAGGATGCCCATCATTTGGGGAATGACTGAAAAGGTTATGGTATATGAATGTAATGGAATACTATCGTGCTAAAAGAAATGACAAGTAGGCAGACTTCCAAAAAACCTGTACTTTCATGAACTGATGCAAAATGAAGTGAGCAGAACCAGTAGACCATTGTACACAGTAACAGCAATACTCTACAATGATCAACTATGAATGATTTAGCTATATTCAGCAATACAATAATCCAAGACAATTCCAAAGTATTCATGATGAAAAAATGATGTCCACATCCAGAGAAAGAACTAATGGAATCTGAATACAGATTAAAGCATACTATTTTCCACTTTCCCTATTTTTTTTCTTTTGGTATGTTTCTTCTTTCCCAACATACTAACACAGAAATGCATTTTACATGACTGCACATATATAACCTATATGAAATTGCTTACTGTCTTAGGAAGGGGGAAGGTGAAGGAGAAAGTGATAAAATTTGAAACTCAAAATTTTTAAAAAATGAATGTAAAAATTGTCTTTCTATGTAAATGGGGGGGGAAATAAAATAATACACAAACTGAAAAAAAAATTATCTGGACCCCGCTATTCTCCCCAATGTAACAAACAACAATAGTTCTCATTTATAAAGGACTTTAAAGTTTATGAAGTGCTTTCTTTACAATACCCCAGTAGGTCAGGGTAGGCAGTGAAAATGCTATTATTCTCATCCTGTAGATAAGGAAACTAAGGCTTAGTAAGGAAGTTAAATTATTTTTGCTGTGGTCACACAGGTTTTAGTAAGCATCAGAGGTAGATGAGGAAGTCAGATTTCCTCACATTCTTCCACAGGGCCTCCAACATTGATTTACTTCTGGCAGGGCAGAAGGTGAAGGAAGACAATCATTCTCACTTAAATTGCCCTCCCCTGGTCTGGTACACAGTCCCAGGATTTTCTCCAAAAAAAAAAAGAGAGACAAAAAATAAGAATAAAGACTCTGCCCACTACTACTTGGAATCAAGAAACAAAGTTATAAATGTCAAAGCGGTGGAAAACATTGCTCCAAACATTTCTCCATACGGTTGACTAAATATCATAAGTATTTTTGCTACTCCCAACTTGATATTTCATTTTATTTTAAGAAGGAAAAATAAATACAAAATAATGCTTATCCCCTCCTCTGACTGATTATAATGTTGGGTTTTATATTCCTTTGATGTAATTGTCTTGTAATGTTGTGTATCATATCTATCTATGTTGTTATTTTATTTCTCTGGCTAGGCTGTCAGCAACTTGAAGGAAAGGGCGATCATAATCTTACATCTCTCCATAACACTTAGCACAGTGTTAAACACATAGCAGGTGCTTAAAAGATGTTTGATGACTTGATTAGTTGAGATGAGCTGGGGATTTTCAAAGCAAACAATTTTTTTTTAACTTTATTTTTGGCTAGGCAATGGGGTTAAGTGACTTGCCCAGGGTCACACAGCTAGTAAGTGTTATGTGTCTGAGGCCAAATTTGAACTCAGATGTTCGTGACTCCAGAGTCTGTGCTCTATCCACTGAGCCACCTACCTGCCCCAAAAGCAAACAATTTTTTAAAGAGAGATAGAAAAATATAAATAAAAAGATGATTTAAATAAAGAAATAAAATAAACCTGTACAACTCTATTGTCCTTGCTTCTAGTTACTAAAAGTCACTAGTGGCTCTTAGAGCAACTGACCACAGCAATTCTATACAATTACTAATGATCTAGTATCAACTTACCTTTTTCCATAAAATGATTTTCTTATTTGATGATTACCATGTTTTGAACCTTTAAAAATTAATTACAAAATTCATCAGTGTAATAACATCACTTCTTCTTGTTTATTTTAATTGCCAAAATTAACATACTTCATCCTTTATTTTAATGGTTATATGAGCAATTTCAGGTTTATAAAAGATTTGAAACAGAAAACTACACATACTTAGTATAACTGGTAGCTAAATGAAACATAGTCATACAACCTAGCTCTATCTGGCATAATAAATATACTGGGTTTCTAAGGGAATTCCACCAGTGTAAATCATAGACCTCTATAAGGTAGGTAAGTCTCAGTGAACTGTCTGAGGTGCAGAGAGGACACATGACTTGCTCCGGGTCAAACAGGTGTTAAGTGTCAGAGGTTAGATTTGAACACTTACTGCAAGTCCAACATTCTATACACTACAACAGGAGTGGGGAACCTGCACTATACCATGTTCCCTCTACTGTAAATATTCGAAGTAAAAAAGAAAATATTGCACTACATTACTTAAAAGTACCTCGTAACTCCTCCACTTGTTTTTGTAATTTTATGTTCTGTTGAGTAAGATCCTTCATTCCATCAGGGTAGTTTCTGCAAAGATGTTGAGCTCTCTCATTTGCTTCTAGTGCCCAGGCATGCTCCCCCAACATTGAGAGAGCATCACAAAAACGATAATGGCCCTGTTATGTAAAGACAAATTCTAATTTTTTTTCAGAAAATATGGTCAAGGTAAAGGGAATAGACAAGAAATAAATATTTTGCTTAAAATTTTTTTAAATGCTGAAAATGTTTTACCTATTTTATCAATGAAAATAAAATAGGTGAGAGATTAATTTTTTCAAGAAACAAAATTACTTAATGAGTTAAGTAAAAAGTATGAAAAATAAGTAAACTGATAAATAACAGAATTAGTCAATTAACTGACAAAATACTGGACGGTCTGGTCACAAAGAATATAATTTGAGGATTTTGTTTTCAGATTTTTTTATACTAAAATACGGCAATAATTCAACTGTTTTGTTTTAAAGAACAGTAAACTATATCTATGACTTTGGACCAAAATGAATTTTAAAACTCACATAATAAACTAGGGGGAAAAGTTTCAGGAAATTATAGACTTTGTCAATAACGTAGGATGGCTCTACAAAGAATCTTTAATCTCTATGATAAGTACTTTTTTTGGGGGGTGGGGGAGGAGGAGGTTCTGTCATACAACTCCAAGTTTAAAGATATTACTAATAAATTCAGTGACATCAACTTTATCAATTCAACAAACAGTTTAACCAATATTTCTACTATATACAAATCACTGTCCTTGGTTCTGAGAGTAAAGACAAAAATGAAAGTCTTTACCTTCAAGGAGCTTACATTCTATTTAACAGGATACACTTTACATACAGATAGATAAACACAAAGTAACTTCAGGAGTCAGAGTACCACGCTGGGGCTCTGAAACTGGGGATCAAGAAGGGCTTCTAGTAGGAGGCAGAAATCGAATTCATCTTTGAAGTAAGCAAGGATTCTAAGAGGCAGAAACGCGGAAGGAGCATACTGAAGGCACAGGGTACAGTTTACCCAAAAGTATTATGATGGACGATGAAATGCTAAGTTAAAGGAACAGCCAGCTAATAGGCCAGCGTGACCTGCATACAGATTACATATTGGGGAATATAATAAATCTGGAATCACTAAGCAAGAGCCTGAACGTGGAGGACTTTAAATGCCAGGCTGAAGACATTTGCTTTCATACTAGAAACAATGAGAAGAAAGAATTACAGGGACTGAATTCTTAACCAAACAAGAATAAAAGTGATTAAAAAAGATAAAATTGCTAATTTCAATTATGAAAAATGGAAAAGCTTTTGTAACCAAGATAAGCAGGGAAGTGGTTACCTGGGGAAAATAGCTTTGTACCAAATATCTCTGATAAAGGTTTACTATTGAAGACAACTAACAGAAATATTGAAGACCAAAAGTCATGCTGCAATAGGTAATTAGTCAAAGGATAGGAACAAGCAGTTGATAGGACCACAGGTCCAGAGCTGTAAAGAACCTCAGGCCATCTAATCCAATCCTCCTCATTTTATAGATGAGGAAACTAAGACTCTGGGAGATGAAGTTACTTCCCAAAGGTCACACAGGAAATGAGCCTCAGAGGCAGGATTTGAACCCAGGTCCCCCCAGTTCCACAGCTAGGTTCTCAAAAGGAAAATTACAAAGTAATAACAACAGTTGTATAAATGAATGCTCCAAATTATGAATAAAAAATATGAATCAAGACAAACCTGCTATTTCAAGTTATAGCCAGTAATTTGGGTAAAAATGACAAAAGAAGGTAACAACTAATGTTGGAGAAATTGTAGAAAGGCAGGAATACAAATGCATTGTTGGTGAAACTGTGAATTATTCAATCATTCTGTAAAATATTTTGGAATTTTTCAAAGAGAATGATGAAGACATCAATACCTTTTGAGGAAAAGATTCTATTGCTAGACATATACTCCAAGGAGGTCAATGGTAAAAATAAAGACTCCATCGAAACCAAAATATGTAGATGAACATCACAGATTTATTAGCAGTGATACAAGTTGTAGTATATGAATTAATAGAATGTTACTGTGCTACAAGAAAGATGAAGACATATAAACTGATATAAAGTGAACAGAGTCAGGAAAACAATATATACAATCGATGCAACAGTGTAAAAGTATAAAACAATACCAACAACACATACAAAAATATAATTATCAAGCTTGGAGCCAAAGAAGAGCCATAAGAAGGCACATGTTCTTTCCCCTTCAATAGAAAGAGGGCACATTATGTGTAACACTGCATAACAGGTGGGAGCCTATGGGTGTAGAACGTTGCATTAGTGTCAATTTTTTTTAAAGCATTGGTTGGTTTTGCTGTACATTTTTCCTCCTCTCATTCTTTATTATAAAGGATGGATTTCTAGAAGGTAGAGAGGGTAGCAATTATGCATTAAGAAATATAAGTGGTATTAAAAAGTTGTTTAAAACTTATTTTAAAATGAAAATTAGGTGAAAAAGAATTCACACCCAAGTCATAACTATGAAAGGTATAGGAACTCATTCTCTTATTTTCTTTTTTAATGTCATGACCTTTAATATTCAGGTCACTTTTGTTTTAGTACATCATAGTACATGGTATAAGATGTTGGACTAAATCTAATTCTTGTCAGGTTGCATTCCAGTCTTTTCATTTCTTGCCAAATTTCTTTCAATTCTCGACAAATAAGGAGTTTTTTCTATGTAATTTATGCTTTGTAATTTATAAACTGCATTTAAAAAAATATATATTTAATTTTTTGTTTTTACAGCTCCTATATTTCTCCCCATATCCTCCCTCCCTCCCAGAGTCATTCCTTATAGAATTTTTAAAAGCAAAAAATTTCATCAAAAACAATCAAAATATCAAAAGTCTAAAATTACATGCAATATTCCACACCCATTTATCCTCAATTTTTCAAAGGGGGGTGGGGGAGCATCTTTTTCTCTTCTTAGAGGCCAAACTTGTTCTTTTATAACTTTGCAACATTTAATCTCTCATTTGCTGGTTGCTGTTCTTTCCATTTACACCGTTGCATGAATTGTTTTCCTAGCTCTGCTTTACATTGCTTCAGTCCTATAAACTTTCCAGTTTCTTTGGATTCATGTTTATTGTTTCTTACAACACAGTAATATTATATTGCATTTATGTACCACAATTTGTTTAGTTATTCTCCTCTTGATGGGCATCTACTATAATTCCAGTTCTTCTCTAGCACAAAAAGGGCTGCTATCGATATTTTTGGATAGACTTCCTTTCTTCGTCTCATTTGAATTTATGCCTAACAGTGGAATCTCTGGGGTAAAAGGGTATGAACATTTTTATCACTCTACAAAAAATTCAAATTGCTTTCTAGAACAGCTGTACCAATTCAGAACTCCACCAGCAATAATTCAGTGTTTCTGACTTTCCATAATCCCTGTAACATTGACTATTTTCACGTTTTGTCATTTTTGCCAATTTACTGAGCATAAGGATGAAACCTGAGGGTTGTTCTAATTTTTATATCTATTAGTCCTTTGAAGTATTCTCTCATACAGTTCTTTGCAATTCTTTTAAAAACTATTTGTTCATATACTCCTACCATTTCTCTACTGGGGGAAAGTGTTTTGGTCTTATGTATTTCTGTTACTTATCTAAATATTCTGGATGTCAGATATTTATCAGAAACACGAGAAAGATTCCCCCCATCTCTTCCCCCCCCATTACTGGCTTCCTTCTTATTTAATTTTTATCATGTAAAAACTGTTCAATTTCCTATAATTAAAATTATCTATTTGCTCTTTTGTAACTGCCTCTACCCCACATTTGGTTAAAAATCCATCTCCTAGCCATACCTGTGAAAAGATATGTGATTTGTTTCTCCTCTAATTACCTTATCAATCAATCAATCCAATTATTATTGTCAAGGGTATCACCATCCTGCCAGTCACCCAGGCTTGAAATTAGGTATCACTCTCCACTCTTCATTCTCTTTCATTCCCCATATCCAATCTATTGATTGCCATCCTGCTGATTCTACCTTCATAATATCTCTTGCATACGTTCTCTTCTCTCCTCTCCCACTGTCATCACCCTGATGTAGGCCCTCATCACTCCACCTGGACTAGTCTGCAGCTTGGTCTCCTCCTCCCTCAAGGCCCTCTCCATTCCACTCCATCCTCCAACAGCTGTCAAACTGATCTTCCTGAAGTGCAGGTCTGACCATGTCACCACTACCACTGACCACTTCTCAATAAAATCTAGCGTCTCCCAATCATTCCTAGGATCACATATAAAGCCCTCATAATCACACATCTTCTTAAATTTTATTCCCTTCTACATACTCTATGATCCCGTGAAACTTCACTGTTCCTCACAAGCCACTCACTCCTATCTCCTGACTTGCAGAATTTTCACTGGCTTCACAGCCCCACGCCTGGTATACTCTCCCTCTTTGTCTCAACCTCCTGGCTCCCTTAAAGCCTCAGCTGAGTTCCCACCTTCAATAAGAAGCCTTTCCAGGTACTCCTTCATGTTCGTTCCTTCTCTCTGAGATTTTACTCCAATTTACTCCATATGTATCCGTCATCTGTACTTTGTCTTCCCCATAAGAACACCAGGTCCTTGAGGGCAGCAGTATTTTTGACTTACTTTGTATTTCCAATGTTTGGCACAGTGTCTAACACATAGTAAGCCCTTAATAAATGCTTTTTGACTGAAATTCTAGATAATTCACTATTCCAACTCAATGTCATTATAATTTTGTCTAGTTCTGTCAAGTATTCCCTTCAGCAATTTGATAATACAAAAACCGAGATTTAATTTTAGAAGTATTACAATCTTCATTGTACTGACACAGTCCTGTCCTGAGCACAATATTCCTTCAGCTATATAAGTTATTCTTTATTTCTTTAAGGAATATTTTGTAAATAATCTATTAAGTAACGTGTTTTGGTATATGGACTCCTAGATTTGTAAGTAGGTTATTTTAAATGGCAATTCCCTTCCAATTACTGCCTCCTGGATTCTTATTATAAATATAGGTTGTGTGTTTTCTGTGTGTGTGTGTGTGTGTGTGTGTGTGCGTATAATTATTTTGTAGCCTGAAATGCTGCAGAATTTTCTCAATTAGTTTCTTTGCCAATTAACTAGGATTTTCTTTTCTTTAAAAAAAATTTTTTTTTAAATTTTGGAGGCAATGGGGGTTAAGTGACTTGCCCAGGGTCACACAGCTAGCTAGTAAGTGTCTAAGGCTGGAGTCCTCCTGACTCTAGGGTCGGTGCTCTATCCACTGCACCACCTAACTGCCCCCTTAATTAGAATTTTCAAAGAAAACCATCAGCAAATAAGAAAATTCATGTCTTTTCTTTACTGTTCTAATTTCTTTCCCTTACTTTATTACTATTACAGACATTTCTAGAAAGACATCAAATAATAGGGGAGAGGAGACATCTTTGCTTTGTGCCTGTATTTACTGGGGGAGCTCCAGTTTCTCTCCATTGCATTTGATTTCAGATGCATTACTGCAGACATTGTGTATATTGTTTCTGACTTCATCAGATCCTGTTGTGTTGAACAGTGAAAACCATTTGACCCCAGCTTCCCAGGACATTAAGTATTCCAAGGCTAATAAACCCGGAGACTAAGTATTAACTCTTTTCAACCTCTTCCTGGAATGACAGCAGTAGGGTTGTCTCCTACTTCCCTGACCCTCATTCTTTATCGGGGAAATTAGAAAAAAATCCTCACTTTGCCAATCCTATAGACAAACGGGCAAGTTTTCCATTTGGATCTTACTAGTTCTTTGTCTCAAACTATTCATCTATTTTAACCAGAGCACAGATACCATCCCCCAACTGTGTGCTGCTCACTGCTAGCATGGGGGCCATATATTAAGACTGTCTCTGCTACCATCTGTTCTCCTCCTTCCCTTTTGAATAGTAAGTTTGGTAAAGTTATCTTTGTGTGCCAGTCGTTCTTCATTTACACAGGCCTGTCCTATAATAAGTCTATGTTTCTGTGTCTTCATCATGCCATTTCTTATAATATGAAAACACTCCATTAAATAAATGCATCAAAATTTGTTTAGACATTCCCTAACTGATGGCACCCATTTTGTTTCTAATTTTTTTTTGCTAGCACAAAAAGTGTTACTATATACATTTTCTTGCATTTAGAAGCTTTCTCTCCCTATCAATGACCTTCTGAGGTATATGTCTAATAGTGTAATCTCTGAGCAAGGTTTTTACAAATATTTTAGTAATTTTATTTGCATAATTCCAAACTGCTTTCCAAAACAGCTATACTGATTCACAGCTCCATGAAGTCACTGGGGAACCTATCTTTCCACAACAACTCCAACATTGATTACTCCCACTTTTTTTCAATTTTGCCAATTCAAGGGGTATGAAGTGAAACCTCAGAAATGGTTTTGATTTGTATTTTTGAAATTTTATTAGTGAATTAGAGAATTATTTCATATAGTTATTAAGAGTATGCAATTCTTTTGACAACTGTTAATTCATATCCTTTGACTACTTATCCATTCAGGAAAGGCTATTGTTTCCTATCTTTCATAAAACTCTTATCTGAGAAATATGATACAAAGATTTTTTTCCCCACTCAAACACTTTCCTTCTTAACCTAAATACATTAATTTTGTCTATATAGAAGCTTTTCAATTTTAAGCTACTAATTCATCAGGCTGTTACTTCCTTAGACTTCTTCTTGTCTTGGCCTGCTGAGAAAGATGTAGCTACTTTACCTTTTATGTATGATTTTTAGCTGGGGGAATTTTGAGTTGGTAAAGATTAGAGAAAATGTCTATCTTCCATCTTGTTAGTCATGTGACCTAGAAATATATACTCCACATTTTCAACTTGATTTTCTTCCTCTTGAAATCTTTGGTGTTTCAACCTTTTTTCTTTGTACTATCCTGTCACTTTATGAATGCTGCCCCTTTGACAGTAGGTGCTCCCCAAGAGCTAGACTATAATACTACCTCAGTCTCTTCACATATTACAGGATTAACTTTTCACTGGCCTTGCTCCCTGCCTTAAGTAGCTTCTGAGAAGACAGTACTGGCCCCAGATAGATTTTAATTCCCTTCAGGCCTACTGCAACCACTGTCACTATCACTTTGTCCCAGTTCCCTGTCTAGCTCTTATACTTTACTTTTGTGGCTAATTAGCATCTGATGCATTTTGTAGGGTTGTAGGAAGGTAGAGTGGGTGTTCTGGATAGAGTATCTTCAACCTTAGGATTTTCTAACCTACTGGCCAAACTAGGTTGAAAAAAGTCTGATTCCCTTCTCTGCTCCTGACATAGCTCTGCAGAATCAATGATCTCATGCCAGCAAAGTCTCTTTCGCAAGAGGAAAATACTTGTGTGGGTGCCCATGGGGTGATTTGTGCCTCTCTGTCACAGTGTAGAGGGAGGTAAAAGGTTACTGAGTGACTGCATTAAGGTTTATAACTATCATCATGAGATTACAGTTCTTTAGACAGACAGGTGATCTGAATTCTATAAGAGTTCTTTAAAGAGCAGAGCAAAGTAGGATTCTCTATTAAGGATCTAACACCGTCAAGAACCAGACATTCTAATAATCTTTTCTTTTAGAAGCTGTCTTGAGAAACAACATGAAATCCAAGTTTTCTTATCAGAAAACCAAAAACTGGTCACTCACAGGTCTTCTCTTCCTTTAGCTGACAAATTTACGGCCTGAACAATGTAATCTGCACAGCTCATCTACTTGGTAGCATGCTTCCTTTAGATGGTGTCTATTTTGTTTTATCCTTAAAGCATCATACAAAGTAATACATTTAAGATACTTTAAATCATTCTGGAAGTAGACAAAGATTATCAACGTTATTTTTAGAAACTGATGGAGCAGGCAGATATAGTAGGGTCATCCAGTGAGACAAAAATCCCATAGAATCAAAATTATTTTCTCCCCCCACGAAGATCTCCAAGATGAACACGTTGTAGTAACATAGACAGGGGAATTCATCGTACTAGATTCACTATTAAAGGCTAAGTCAGTTGGCCTGAGACTCAAAAGATGTAAGTTGAGATTAGCCACCAATTCCCCTCTTCCTTCTCCCCTTAATCTTCCCTTCATCCTGCCCTGTGAAGGCTTGGAATCAGGGTCTATGAGGGAAAGGAGGCAGAACCACACAGGAGGACAAGGGGCACATTAACATTTCTTACTATATACTCAATGAGAAGCACATCCTCACTGAATGGAACAGCAAATAGAATTATCTGCACTACTTAAACTTGTTTCTTCCCCCACTTCCATTTTTAAAAAAATAAAGCCCTACTATACTTGAATTTAAGTTAAATGTGAGTAGGATGTGACTCCATTCTCCATCAAAGGGTGAAACTAATTCCTAGACATCATCAGGTCTACATGCTGACATCACAATAGTACCTGTTTTCATTTTCCTAGCCATGAGGAATCAGCCATTAAGAACCAAGATTTGAACACTTTCCTAATGTAGAAAGAAACACCCCTTCACACAAAGTGTTGTGCTGAAAATTACAGCATAGACATTGGAAGATAACTCTTACTACAAATGATACTATATTTTATATTTATTTCATAGCCCTCCCACAGTATGCAGCATACAGTATGCATATAGAAGTGCTTTCTAAATAGCTGTTGATTAATTAATATCATAATTATTCCCATTCTGTAGGATAGAATAAGACATCATTTAAAACTTAAACCACTGGCAGAAAATTCCAAGGGGGAAAAGAACAAAAAATGTCCCCATAAACTGCAGGCCTCCTGTATCAGTTTCAAATCATAATCAATCTCATCATGGATTTTTTTTTACCTCTTTGAGTAAAAGTTAAAGAAAGAATTAAATGTTATCTATTTTAAAGTTTAAAATAGTTTTCAGTGAAACATCCTTTGGGGAGAAAAAAACTTCTCTGATTATATGTAATATAATTGATCATAATAATTATTTACTCAGTACCAACTGTAGTTAGTACCAAGTATATCTCAAATGTCTATTTTTTAACAGTAATTATCTATGCAAATGTTTTATAATCATGAGAGCATACCACAGAACCTTCTTACAAGGCAAAAAATTAATGCTAACTTTTTTTGTCCTAAAACGATGATTTAATAGATATAAGGAACTCTGAGTGAGTAAGTAGTTCTAGCTTCTACTAATGCAAAATATGTAGTTTATACCTTACAACACTGATTGTGGGCACTGAGATGCTAAGTGAAACATCTTGGGTAACAGATCAGTATATGTCAGAGGAGGGGCTTTGCTCTATTTCTTTTGGACTCCAGAGTCAGTTCACTATCCACTATTCCATGTTGCCTCTTCTTGTTTAGAAGAACCTAAATCTGATAGCAAGCAAGCTGCATAAGGTAACAAGGGAACAGGAAAGGCTAGTTACTCTTTTATGAATTAATAATAGATATTATCAAAACACTAATGATAACAAGAATAAAAATTTATATTTTTTATCCTAACATCTAGTCTTGGGTTTTATCTCACTGTCTCTAAAGATTATACTGTTCCAAAAAACAAGAGTAAAGCAAAATACAAATAATTATAAAATCTGATTTAAATACCTGTTAGGTAAAACAAAACCATGAAGTGATACATACATACATACATTACACACACACACACACACACACACAGGCATATACATATATGTATAGCATGTTTAATTTTTATACAGTTATTTTGCACAAGGTGCTTACTAAAAGAAGCAACACATAAGATACTAACCTTTGGCCAATTGTATTTCAGGATAGTGGCCCTCTTTCCATCACCAAGTGCACTCCTAAAAAAAAGAAATAAAAAACTTGTTTTATAACATCTACTGTGAAGTACAAATTGTTTCAGGCAAAAAGTTTCAGACACATTGTCTGCTGCAATCTTACTCATGAGTATACTTTATGCCCTGAAATCATTAAGAATTTTTGATCTTTAATACAATATAAAAACACCAATCACATAATTGTCTCTTTCTATCCTTAAACAAAGATATTTTTCTGCTAAAAAATGGCAGCATTCTGAGAGGTTATCTCTACATTTCATTTCAACTAAGCTTATTAACCACCAACAGTAAGGTACTAAGAACACAAAGTTAAAAAATAATTAAGAACCTGAGAAGTCATAGACTATGATAAAGCACACAACTGTTGGAGGGATGGGGGGGGTTTGCAGTGCCTACTGCAGCAGTAATCCTTGTCTGGGAAGAACCTATGATATCTAGCAAAGAATTAGAGAGGGATGAATAGTGATTAAACAATTTACTCATGGGCAAGTCAGTTAACCCTGATTGCCTCACCAAAAAGCAAAATAAATAAACAAACAAATAAATAAATGATAATTTACTCCTTTTTGTTTTCTGCTACATGGTTATCCTACTAGGACAAAACTAGAAGCAAATCATAATTTTACTGGGTGGGAGAGGCATAACCTGCAACAATTTAAAAAAAAAAGGTGAGTTCCAAAAATACCCTTTAAGCACTGCAAAATGCTAATGTTAATATTAATTACAGCTAACTCCAACCCTAATCATAACCAACCCCAATCCTAATATCACAGGACAAACTAATATTTACTCAGCTATAAAAACTGAACCTTTAAAATTCCAAAATGAACTTCTAATAACTAATAACTAAATTATTTTTTCACATATAACCCAAACCCTCAAAATTCCCAGGAGAAAATGGACTTTTACTTCAATAATAAACTTTGAACATAACCTGGGCAAGTTTTGAAAATTTCTACTAAATTAATTTCCGTTTATCTGGAACACAAAACTGAGTTGCTTGGCTACCCTGGTCTCAAAAGAGCATGGTGGAAAAAACAGACAAGTCACTTTAAATCTATTCTAATAGTGCTAATGTTACTAAGTTGTTTTTCAATAGTGTCCAACTCTCCATGACCCCATTTGGCGCTTTCTTGACAGAGATACCAGAGTGGTTTGCCATTTCTTTCTCCAGTTCATTCTACAGATGAGGAACTGAAGCTAGCAGGGTCAAGTGACTTGCTTAGGGTCACAGAGCTAGTAAGTGTCTGAGGCTGAATTTGAACTCATGAAGATGAGTCTTCCTGATTCCCAGCCCAGTGCTGTATCCACTGTGCCACTAGCTATCCATCTAATGCTGCTTACCAGTTGGAAAAATAACTTGTCAGGTGGGAAATTACATAAGGGAATATTATATCAATAATGAAATAGTGAAAATAATCAAATAAGTACCAGAAAGGATGTGATTGCAGTTAGTAAAAAATTTTAGTGATTTCTAAAGTATATCTACCTGACATTCTGATCTATATAAACCTCTCTTTCTACAATTTTCATTTTCTCTTGAACAATATAATAACATCACACAGGAAAAAAAAACAACCCCAAAACCCTCAGTATTATAAAGGGTATACGGGATGTATCCAACAGTATCAGAGACTGACTATGAACACTTCACAAGCCACTATATAGGCTTTGTATTTAACTGTTTTCATAAACTGATCACACACTAGTACAATTCAAAGTCCAAACTGAGAATTTTAAAGTTAGTTGAACAAATAGTCGATTCAATTCACTCATGCTGGTTCTGAAATACATACATCTACACACATATAGATGTATCTATAAATACAGACACAATAAAGGATAACAACCAACCAACCAATCTTGCTAATCATAACATATGTCAATTTCTACCTATCTTCTGCAATTCTGTTTGTGTTTTTCCATAAGTTTGCCAAAGGAGGTTCACCCAAAATTTGTGGAGACCTTTCTTCCTCTTCGTAGTCCAACAACACCACAGATCACTTAGCTCTCCACCTGTGCCTGTCATCCTTCACCCTTGCCAGGCAAATAATCTATCTTCTTTTTTCTATCCTACATTTCCCTGATGAAGATTCTTCTTTAAAATTCCTCACTGGCTACCCATTTAAACCAGATCAATCAATCAATCAATCAACAAGTATTTATTATGTACCTGCTGTATGCCAGACTCAGTGCCAGGTGCTAAATATATAAATACAATAAAGGAAACAATCCCTATCTACTCTCAATGAGCTTATATTCTAAAGGGAGACTACAAATAATAATAGCTAACATTTATATATTTAGCTTACTCTGTGCCAGGCACTGGGCTAAGTGTTTTACAATTATTATCTCATTTGATTATCACAGCAACCCACAGAGGTAGGTGCTATTATTATCCCCATTTAACAGATGAGGAAACTAAGAAAAACAAACAAGTGATTTGCCCAAGGTCACACTACTAGGAAATATCAGAGGCTGGATTTGAACTCAGGCCTTCCTAACTCCAGTCCTATCTTAAGAAAGGGGGCACAAATAGTTGAGGGGTTTAAGAAAGGCTTTATTTAGAAGATGGTACTTGAATTATACCCTGAAGGAAGACAGAAATTCTCTAAAGCAGAGATGAGGAGGTAGAGTATATCAGTGCAAAGGCCTAAAGAAGGTAGTTGGAGTGTCATGTGTGAGAAACAGAAAGAAGACAGTTTGGCTGGCTGGTAGAGTATGGGAGAGAGAAAAAAAATATTCACTGAGGGTAAAAAAATAGGCTGATGACAGGTGGTGAAGGATTTTACCATAGAGGATTTTATATTTGATTACAGAGCCAACAGGGTACCAGGGGAGGTTGGAGTGGGGAAGTGATGTGGTCAGATGCAACTTAAGGAAATTCATTTTGAGAGCATGATGGAGTATTGACTAAAGTAGGGATAGACTTAAGGCCAATTAGGAAGTTGTTGAAATAATCTGGGCAAGAGGTGATAAGGCCCCACCCAAGAAGGTGGCTGTGTGAGTAGACCTAAGAGGCCAGGTGTGAGATAGCGTGGAGATGAAAACAGTCAGGATGTTGCAAGTGAAAGGATATGTGGCATTTGGAAGGCTGAAGAGAAAAGGGTAATACCAATGCTATACATGTGGGAGACTGAAATAAATAGCTCAGTTTGGAAGTGGGCAAGGTGGGAGGGAAAAACAAACTTAAGTTTTAGATATATTTAATTTGGGTGGGTGAAAAGTAGAACCTACAAGTATGGATAAAAGGGGTGGGTAGGGGCCGGGGGCTGGCTTTAGTGAACCTCACTCAATCTGAATGGATAAAGGAGGGCTGAATACACATATACATGCTCTGGCTACCATCTCTTTACTTAGCAACTAAGTCAAGTGCTGTTGACCATGATGCTTCTAAGTTTCTTTTGGTCTCCTCACTATGGTAACAGATTTACATAGGTTCAAATGCTGTATCAAATGATTATTATTATTGTTAATGATATAATATTTTTAGTCCATTTACCTACTTATCATTATCATTAACTAAATCAAATAGGTCAAAACTGAGGTTGTTTCAACCGCATATTACCTTTTTAACAAATCAGTGGTCTGACCATACAGACAGTTGATTCAGGGATGACTCACATTAATATCAAGTCTTTTCCTGCTAAACTATAATCAATTTCATTATTTTTTGTGATGTTGTTTAATGCTAACCATATCCATCACCTATCAATTCTTTTCTTAAAAAAAAGTATTAATGATATGGAGAGTCCTAAGGCTTCTGGGTAGTCTACAACTCACTGGCCTCTGTCATTACTAATTCCTGACCCATATTTTCCAGGGTATTTCCCACCATCTTCATGTATTCTACTCTTTGTAATGAAGTCACTGAATATCAAAGTACATGGTAATTTAATTTGGAGGGTCTTACTGGGTTCTGTACAGTATTTTTCTACATATTCATCCTTTGCAACAGATGCCAGTACATGAACTGTAATTAATGTGCAGTGGCATCATTTTTCCAAATGTTCATATGAGCAATGGAAATGAAGATGAGCAAATGTCCTATGAAGCAGTATTTGTTATAGCCTTTGGGCATACAATAAAATGAATTCCATTAACTCAGTCACTCCGAGTAACACCCATGAGCCATCCTTCTGTTTAGCTGAAACTTTCTGTTTTCTTCTGGTTACCCACTCCCTAAAATAAGTAAATTACTTGGTTTCTTTTACCTTCTAATAATTAATAGTACTTTCTTGTGCTTTAAAAAAAGGTAAGCAAAAAATAACTCAACAAAAAAAGCAAATAATGTTCTTTTATGGCTATAGGAGAGATTTAAGTCATATAAACATCTAAATTTGAAGTTTAAAGCAGATTTTTCTATGTGCCTATAATATGCAAGTTAGCATAAATATGTTACTTTTTTAGGGATTGTAACAAACATCTAAGAATACTTACTTGAATTGACCAGTACGAAGGAAACAAAGGGCTCGGTTGCTATAAAGAAGATGATTTTCAGGTCTTTAAAAAAAAAATACACAGAGTATTAGTCAAGCATATTACCTGGAAATAACAAACATACAACAAAGGGTGTAATAAAGCCTTTAATGTGCTTTAATGTACTTTATATTTGCTGATAACATTTTCTTCTTTTTTCAACTCAACTCTGATCATTATTTTAACCAAACTAGAAAAGCTGGGATTTTCAATTGTGATTGACAATACTATTTGTTACAGAAAGAAAGTCAACTTTATAAGAACATTACATATTTTCATAATTATTTCCATTTAGTTATAAGTGCTAAGAGAATTACTGACAAATTGGCCACAAAGTGGAATTCTACATATCAAATCCTATTTTTCCATTGACTCTGATGTTATCATTAGAGATGTGGTTGTTCTTGTGAAAAAATAATTGGTCCCACAATGTAAAAAACAGCAAACCTATAAAAGTCATCTGTTCACAGAAAAATGTTTTCCCTGATGCCCTGATTAGTAATATTCAATATGCAATTATATTTTGTGATAAAATATTTAAAGATAATTTAAAATGTGCTGTAACAGCTTAAATGTCTTTAAATAGCTCAAGTTAAATAACTGTACGTTAGATTTTTAAAGTTTTATCTCGGAACAAGCCCCCTTCTAAATATACTAATAGTGAGGAAATGCAACATTTTTTTTACTCAGACCTGGTTTTAGACCCACCTGGTTCTAATTCAGGTTGTTGTGTTTCAGAAATAAATAAGGAAGCAGTTATCATAAAAACAATTTTTTTTAAATAAAGGAATGGAATAAAATAGTTACATCAGCATTTCAAACAAAAGACTAGGTTTGTAACAAACCTTTAGAAACCAAAAATTGGAAAAAGAATTCAGTCTCTAACAAATGCCTCTGGGAAAGCTGAAAAAGGCATTTGAATTGATATTTTACACCATATACTCAAATGAGTTCAAGATGGATGAGAGGCTTAAACATTAAAAAATTCTAGAAAAAATGGGAGAAAATGAAATGAAATATTTATCTTAATGAAGAGAGATGGATTTTTTTTTAGTTCATCAATTAGAAGAAATGTATGGGGACAAGAGAGATATACTTAACTATATTATTTCTGGACAATAAAAAAAAATAAGAAAAAATCATAAAAAGTACTCCTTACCTAAATTCAATTGCTCTGGTATAATATGTGATAGCAGTATCAAACCTCTCCTCTGAGAATTCTTCATTTCCTCTTGTTTTCATAATTTCACCTTCCTGCAAGACCAAAAAGAAAATATACTCAAAAATAAATACATAATTTAAAGAGGGAACATAACATCAATATATATGTTGAATTTTTGCTTTCTTATAAATATACCAGACCCTGACTAGATTTTTACATATATGGATAAAAAAAGTTCTTGATATTATGGTCTCATAAATACGAGGCAGATAGGTTTGGCCAAGTTGTAAAGTATATGAGCATGGTCCCAGCAAAAGTCTAAATCTGTTGTCTGAGGGCTAATCAAATATAAAGAGACATCAATAATGGTTAGCCACAAAATGATGGAATTTTTGGCCACAGCAATTCATAAAATTGTCATTCATGAAAATGGGGTAGCTAGGTGGCACAGTGGATACAGTACTGGCCCTGGAGTCAAGAAGACTTGAATTCAGATCTGGACTTAGATACTAGCTGTGTGACTCTGGGCAAGTCATTTAACCCTGTTTGCCTCAGTTTCCTCATCTGTAAAACGAGGTAGAGAAGGAAATGGCAAAACACTCCAGTATCTTTCCACGAAAACCCCAAACGGGGTCAGGAAGACTTGAACACAACTCATATACATACACACACATACACACACACACACACATTTATGAAATGAAGAATATAAAGTTGACTTCAATTCGCTTGCTTCTAAAAGGAAAGAATGATGAAATGGGAAAAAAATAAGCAAAAGATGCTAAAAACAACAACACCACCGTTTTTGAACCATCTACAGACATTAACCTAAGGGAGTTGGGAATAGATCTATAACTTCAATGATGCAGAGAACTCCTGGCTGAAGAAACTTTCTCTACCATTGTAGTCCAGGGCACTGAGAGGTTAAGTAACTTGCCAAGAGGTATATAAACCAGTATGTTTTGGAAGTGAAGCCTAGGGGCAGCTAGGTGGCGCAGTGGATAGAGCACTGGCCCTGAAGTCAGGAGGACCCGAGTTCAAATCCGGCCTCAGACCAAACACTTGACACGTACTAGCTGTGTGACCTTGGGCAAGTCACTTAACCCCGATTGCCTCACTTAAACAAGAAAAAAAAAAAAGGAAGTGAAGGCTGAATGCAGATCTTCCTAGTCCAAGGCCAGCTATGCCATGCTGCCCCTCACCCTAACTATAAATACTCTAAATATGGTATAACTATCCAATGATCAACAAATTGACATAGTACTGGAAAAGATGAACCATATCAATGACACTCTCAACAATATGTAATGTTCCAGACTCATAGTCTCCCATCTCTACAAAGAAAGGAAAGAGATATACTGTCATATCTTTCCTTTGGGAACAAAGTTGGTCCCATAATATCACAGCACCAAGTTTTAATTTAAAGTCAAATAGAAAAGAAGTCAAATAGAAAATAACTCCAACTGCCTCACCAAAATACAAAAAAAAACAAAAACAAAAAAAACTTCATTAGTATTGTTTATAAGAAACACATTTTAAAAAACAAAAAAACCACACAATAAAAATAAATATCTAGAAAAAATTTAATGATGAGTTTTGGAGACTATATGATGATATATTAGGAAAATTCTAAAGATTTAACTAAAAAGATAGTTGAAACAATTAATAATTTTAGGAAAGTATCAGGATATAAAATAAACCCACATAAATCATCAACATTTCTATACATCACCAACAAAACCCTGAAACAAGAAATAGTAAGAGATACCCCATTTAAAATAACCATAGACAGCATAAAACACTTGGGAGTATACTTGCTAAGACAAACACACAAACTAAATGAACACAATTATAAGATACTTTTTATACATATAAAGTCAGATTTAAATAATCAGAGAAATATTAATTGTTTGTGGGTGGGCAAGGCCAATATAATAAAAATGACAATTCTACCTAAACTAATCTACTTACTCAATGCCATCCCAATTAAATTGCGAAAAACTTATTTTACAGAGCTAAAAAAAATAATAAAATTATTTGGAAAAATAAAAGGTCAAGGATATCAAAAGAATTAATGAAAAAATGTAAAAGAAGGAGATTAAGCAGTACTAGATCTTACTTTATATTTTAAGGCAATAATTATTATCAAAATTATGTGGTATTGGCTAAGAAATAGAATGCAAAGCAGTGGCACAGAGTAGACACGCAATACAGAGTAGCAAATGATTATAGTAATTATAGACTTGGCTCTTCTCAGCAATGCAAAAGTCTAAGACAACTCCAAAAGACTCATGCTAGAAAATGCTATCCACATCCAGAAAAAGAACTATGGAGTCTGAACGCAGATGGAAGCATACTATCTGCTCTCTCTTTTTTTATTGTTGTTTTGTTTCTTCTTTGGTTCCTCCCATTGATCCTAATTCTTCTTTACAACATGACTAATGTGAAAATATGTGTAAAATGAATGTATATGTAGAGCCTCTATCAGATTGCACGCTAGCTTAGGAAAGGTAGAGGGGAGGGAGGGGGAGAAAATTTAAAACTCAAAAGCTTATAGAAGTGATTGCTGAAAACTAAAAATAAATTAATTAAAATTTTAACAAAATAAAAATAAAAAAATAAACAAGTTATGATACATGATCATGATGGAATATTACTGTGCTTTAAGAAATGATGCAGAGGTTGATTTTGGAAAAACATGGAAACATTTGCATGAAATAACGAACTGTGAAATGAGCAAAACCAAGAGAACATTGTATATAGTAAGCAATACTGTTTGAAGAATAACTGTGAACAATCAAGCTATTTTGAGTATTATGAATATTCAAATCAACTACAAAGGACCAATGAAAGAAGGTGCTATCCATCTCCAGAAAAAGAACTGATAAATAAGCATGTACATCAAGTGCTTTCACCTATCTGTATCTAGCTATCTATTTGTGTCAAATGGTGGCCTTCTCTAGTGCGGGTTAGGGAGGGAGAATGCTCACAAATTAAAATGTAACAAAAAAGAAAGAAAATGTAAAAAAAAGAAGAAAAGAATTAGAATTGATCAAGTGAAAGCTAATGACTCCATGACACATCAAGAAACAAGAAAAAAGTCAAATAATCAAAAAATAGAAGACAACGCAAAATATCTTGTCAGAAAAAGAACAGACCTGGAAAACAGATTGAGTAAGAGATAATTTAAGAATTACTGGATTATCTGAAAGCCACAACCAAGGAAAGAAATCTAGACACAATATTTCAAGAAATTATATAGAAAAACCGCACAGATATCACAGAACCAAAGGGCAAAGAAGAAATGGAAAGAATTCATTGATCACCACCTGAAAGAGACCTCCCAAGAATATTACAACCAAATTCCAGAGCTCCCAGGTTAAGGAGAAAATACATCAAGTAGCTCCAAAGAAACTATTCAAATAACATGGAGCCACAGTTGGGATCACACAAAATTTAGCAGCTACCACTAATAATGAGCAGAGGGTTTGGAAGATTACATTCTAGAAGGCAAAGGAGCTAGAATTATTACCAACAACAGGCTACTCAGCAAAATTTAGTATAATCTGTATTACAGAAAGAAAAACGGACATTGGATCAAATAGAGGACTTTTAAAGCATTCTTGATGAAAAGACCAAAGCTGCACAGAAAATTTGACATTCATATATGAGACTCAAAAGAAGCATAAAAAGGCAAACATGAAAGAGAAACCATAAGAGATTTGATATCAAAATGTTTATATTCTTACCTGGGAAGATGATACATGCAACTCCTAAGAATTTTATCATTAGGCCAGTAAGAAGGAGTCTTTATGGACAGAGGGTATGTGACTGTAATTATGATGAGATGATCTCAAAAAAAGAATGAAAGGATGAAAAGCAGGAAAAGGGGAGAAGTGAGATGAAGAACGGAGAAAATTATCTCGCAAAGTACATGAGGAAATTTTTACAATAAAGCAGAAAATTCGGATGGGGGAAGGAGATGAGCAGGCAATGTTTGAGCCTCACTTTCACCTCAACTGATTCAAAGAAAAAAATTATATGTATGTATATATACACACACACACATAAACACACACAGAAAAAATTCATCCTATCCAAAGAACATGTAGGAGGGAAATGGGATAGGAGAAAGGGGAGTAGGTGGTGCTAAGTGGGAGCATAGATTAAGGGAGGAAGTAATCAAAAGCTAAACAGATTTTTGAAGAAGTGACAGGGCAGAAAAAGAGAAAGATAAAGGAATAGAATGGAGGGAAATACACAGCAATCATAACTGTACTGTAAATGGGATGAACTCATCATAAAACTGAAACTGATAGCAGAATGGATTAGAAGACAGAATCTAACAATATGTTGAGACACACTGGAAACAGAAAAACACACATAAAGTTAAAATAAGGGGCTGGAGTAGAATCTATTATGCTTCAGCTGAGGAAGGCAAGATAAGGAATCAGGATCTCAGACAAAGTTAAAGCCAAGGTAGACCTAATTTAAAAAGATATTCAGGGTAACTCCATTTTGTTAAAAGATACCACAGACAATGAATGAAGTAATATCAACACTAAACATATCTACACCAAATGGCATAGAATCCAAGTTCTTAAAAGAAAAGTTAAATGAATTACAGGAGGAATAAAGACAGTAAAACTTTACTAGCAGGGGACCTCAAATTTCCCCTTTCAGACCTAGATAACTCTAACCATAAAATGAAGAAAGACATTAAGGGATGGATAGAATTTTAGAATAAATAGATATGATAGATCTCTTGAGAATACTGAATAGGAATAGAAAGGAGTACACCTTTTTTTTCCCCAATTGTACACAGCACCTTCACAAAAAAACTGACCATAAACCGGGACATAAAAACCTTACTAATAAATGCAGAAAAGCAGAATGATCAAATGCAGCCTTTTCAGACCATAATGCAATAAAAATTACATTCAACAAATGGCCTCTGCACACAAATTAAAACTTAACTGGAATCTAAATAATCTAATCCTAAAGAATGAGTGAGTTTAAGGAACAAATCATAGAAACATTCAAAAATCTGATTAAAGATGACAACAATGTGATAACATAACAAAATTTGTGGGATGCACTCAAAGAAGTACACAAAGAAATATTTTTATCTCTAAACACTTTTAACAATAAAAGAGAGAGAAACATATCAACAAATTGGGCACGCAAATCTTAAAAAAAATGAAAAAGAACAAATTCAAAATCCCCAATTAATTAACAAGATAGAAATCCTAAAAATTCAAAGTAGAGATTAATAAAGCTGAAAGTAATAAAAGGATCTAAGCCATCTCCAAAGGCCTCATGACGGAAAATGCTATCCACATATGAAGAAAAAACTACGGAGGTTGAATGCAGATCGAAGCATACTATTTGCTATTTTTTTTCTTCTGTTGTGTTTTGTTTCCTATTTCTGGTAGTTCGTCCTATTGGTTCTAACTCTTAAACATCACTAATGTGAAAATATGTTTAATAGGAATGTGTATGTATAGCCTATATCAGATTGAGCACTGTCTTGGGGAGGGAGGTGGGAAAGGAGGGGGAGGAAAATTCAAAACTCAAAAGCATATGGAAGTGATTGTTGATAATTCAAAATAAATTAATTAAAATAAAAAAAATAAAAAACCCAACGAACTAATAAATAAAACTAGGAGCTGGTTTTATGAAAAAAAAATTAGATAAACCACTGGCTAAATTGATTCTTAAAAAAAAGAAGAAAACCAAATTACTTGTCCTTGAAAAGGGTGAATATATAACCAATGAAGATGAAATTAAAGGAAGTTATGTTGCCAAACTACATGTCAGTAAAACTGATGATCTAAATGAAATGATTAAATATATTTTTTAAAAATATAAATTGCTGGGACAGCTAGGTGGCACAGTGGATAGCACATGAGCCCTGGAGTCAGAAGGATCTGAGTTCAAAACCAGCCTCAGACCAAACACTTGATACTTACTAGCTGTGTGACCCTGGGCAAGTCACTTAACCCCAATTGCCTAAAAAAATAAAATAAAATAAAATAAAAACTGCCCAAATTAACAGGAGAAATAAAATACTTAAATAACCCTACCTTAGAGAAAGAAATTAAATGACCCATAAATGAACTCCCTAAGAAAAAAAAATCCTGAACCAGATGGATTTAAAAGGAAATCTAGGAAACATTTAAAGAACAATTAACTACAAAATATGTAATTGCTTGGAAAAGTAAGTAAAGAAGGAGTACTACTAAACTGCAGCTTGGTGGCACAATGTAAGACTCCCTTTTCATAAGTTCAAATCTGGCCTCAAATACTTACTAGCTGTATGACTCTGGGCAAGTCACTTAAAAACGAGCTGGAGAATGAAATGGCAAACTACTCTAGTATCTTTACCAAGAAAATCCCAAAATGGGTTCACAAAGAGAAGGACACAACTGAAATGACTGAAGGACACAAATGAACAAGAACACTATTAAACAACGCCTATGACACAAATATGGTCAAGGAGAGCAAAAACCAAGAAAGAAAAGTATAGAACAATTTCCTAGTGAATACGGATGCAAACTTTTTAAATAAAATACCAACAAGGAGATTATAGCAATATATCACAAAGATCATATACCATGACCTGGCTGGATATATATTAGGACTATAGGGCTGGTTTAATATTAGGAAAACTGTAAGCATAACTGTCCATATCAATAACAACAAAAATTATATTACTATCAATAGATGCAGAAAAAGCTTTTGACAGATTATAACACCCAATTTTATTAAAAACACTAGAAATCATAGAGATAAAAGGAGTTTTTATTTAAATGATAAGAAGTATCTATCTGAAGCCAAAAGCAAGTATTATCTATGATAGGGATAAGCTAGAAGCCTTTCCAATAAGCTCAGGGGTAAAGCAAGGGTGTTCACTATCACGATTACTATTTAATATTGTATTAGAAATGCTAGTAAGAGCTTGTCCATTTAACCTTCATAACATCTCTGGAATAAAATCCCTTTTCTCTTCCTACTACCATTACCCTGGTATAGGCCTTCATCATCTCATGCCTGGATTATTGCAACAGTCTGCTAATTGGTCTCCCTTGCAAAAGTCTCTCCTCACTACAGCCCACCCTCCACTCAACTATCAAAGAGATTGTCAGAAATGTATGTCTGACCATGTCACCCTCCTACTCAATAAACTATAGTGGCTCCCTGTTAACTCCAGAATTACATATAAAATCATCTGTTCTAAATTCTCAATACTCATTTTCCTTAACCCCACTGCAGCATCTGACAGTGTCAACCACCCTGTCTTCTAGACCTTCTCCTCTCTGAGTTTTCAAGACATTTTTCTTCTTGATTCTCCTTCTACCGACAAGTTCTTCTCAGTCTCCTTTGCTGGATCATCTTCCATATCCAATACCCTGACTATACATAGACCTCACGGCTCTGTCCAGAAGCCTGATATTCCTCTGTATCATTTCATTTGATAACCTCATTAGCTCCATGGGTTCATTTATCATCTCAATGCAGATGACCAATCTATGCAATCCTAGTCTCTCTCCTGAATTTTTTTGCCTAATAACCAATCACCTCATGAATATATAGAACTGGGATGTCAAGATGGGTAAGGTAGTACACACCTGTAACTCCTATGTAGAGACTCAGGATGGTAAACTGCTTGAGCTTGTGAGTTCTAAGTTACAACAAGGCTAAAACTGATTAGATCTTATTGCCAGCAATCAGTTGATTAGTCCTGCACCCCAACAGTAGAGGGACCATCACCAGGATGTCTAATGAGCACTTTCAAGGTCAGAAAGGGAGTAGATCAAAACTTCTAATCTGCCTATCAAAAGTATCAGACCATGAGTGGCTACTGCACTTACAGCCTGATGAGACAGGAAGATCCAGTCTCAACAGACAGACAGACAAAAAAATAAAGTATTAGAACTTTTCCACAGGCATCTCAAACCCAACACATCCAAAACAGAACTCATTATCTTTTCCCTCAAATCTACCCCATTCCAACTTTCCCTACTTCTGTCTAGGGCAGAGATTTCAAATCCAGGGCCTGTGGTCCAACCAGATTACAATGTTATTGGGAAATGTTTAACAAAATACATAAAAATACAATATAACATAAATGATATTAATTTGTGATTTTCCAAGTCAATATGAGGCCCAGTTTGTATTTGAATTAGACTGATCTAGGACACAACTTCAGTGTCACCTTTGAATTCTGACTCCCACAAATTCCACATACCCAGTTAGTTGCCAAGTCTTGTTTCTACCTCTCCCAGAATCTCTTACATATATCGTCTTCTTTCCACTCACAGTCCTCAGCCTAAATTAAGACTTCTATCATCTCTGGCCTAGACTTTTGCAATAGTCTTTTAACTGGCTAGCCTGCCTTAAGTTTTTCCTCATTCTAATCCATCCTCCATAGAACCCCCAAAGGGATTTTCTTCTAAGTCTAAACACAACATCAAAACACAACATCAACTTATTCAATAAACTCCTCTAGAATAAAATATAAACTTCTTTGTTTGGTATTTAAAGCTTTTTACAACCTAGCCCAAACTTAATTTTCTAGACTTATTATATATTACTCCCCTCCAAATATATGGTAGTCCAGGAAAACCGGACTTTCTCTAACTGTTTTTCAATTCCATCTCCATGACTTTGTAGTGGCTGTTTCTCCAGGCCAGGAATGCACCTTCCTTCTCAACTCTGACTCTTGGAATCCTGGGTTCCTTCAAAATTCAGATCAATCCAGCATCTTCATGAAGGCTTTCCATGACCCCAGAAGTGATGGTGCCTTACCCCCAACTCCAAGGTTATCTTGCATTTATTTTGTATATATTTCTACATAAGTACATTTCTCTCACCACTAGACTGTAAGCTCCTCAAGGGTAGAGATTGTTTGTCTTTGTATCCCCGAGCTCAGCACCTTGAATAATGGGCACTTAATAAGTACTTACTGTTTGACTGATAAGTCCATTTGGGTGTCATACATTCCACCAAGAAAATTTTAAAAAACACCAAGTAGTAAATATTATTCCTACCTTGATACAGGCAGCACAGTTCTGATATTCAAATTCTTCAACTAAATTGCAGTCTTCTAGTACAACTTTGGTTATATGGTACTTGTCTATTTAGAGATAAAAAAAAAAACAACTTTGTAAAAAATCAAATAGAAAAAAGGATTGTAAAGATACAACAAAATTCCTTTCATTGTTAACAAAGGAGTCTAATTATACCTAAATCAAAATGGGAAAAAATAAGTCTGCATTTTAGTAATATTTTCAGTTTCAATTCACATGGTTAAGTTAAACAGTATGAATTCACTCTTCAAAATACAAAATAACAATATCATGATAAACTGAAAAAAGCCTTTATTGCCAGATTTCTCCAATGAAATGAAACTTTAAAAGCAGATATTAATAACAATTCTTGATCAACACTTAATAACATACAGAAATACCAGTTTGCTAAAATGGACTCGTTAACACCCCCCCAACCAAAAGCCTCAAGTCTTCAGTCTGTTTTCTTCATTCAGCACAACACCATCAAAAGTATAATGTACTTTTCTTTGTTCCCAGTGAAGACAGAAAATCACTGGTCACTGTTTATTCTAAAAACTAAAATCTTTACTCATGGTTCCACAGACTGAATATACAACAAAAACAAAGCTAACATTTGGAAGAGCTCTATCCACCCTGGAAAGTGCTTCATGATACAGACATAATTCCACCTAATATCATTAACTGGTTCTATAAAAACATAAAGTTACCCATAACTGTATAAAGAACAACCTACTAGTACTAATCTGGTTGGGACACCTGACAGTGAGCCCCATTTCACAGCTATAAATTCAAATGCCTGGCCTAAAAAAAAACCGGTAGGTCCCTGTCACAGAGGCGAATTTTTTCTTTGAAAAGGCAATGAAACCTTTCTCAATACTTAACTGGTCCAAGTGACTAAGGCTCAAACCAATTACATAGCTTTACAGTCATGTACAGCAAAAAAATCCAACTAATGTATATATGGGGCTCTTTGAGCTTGATGGTCTTCCCATGGCAATGTTAAAAACTCCCTTCTGACTGGGTGCTTCATCATTACAAATGGGAGAGGAACTGTTCCCAAATGAACCAATGCTGTACTTTTTTTTTTTTTTGGTGAGGCGATTGGGGTTAAGTGACTTTCCAGGGTCACACAACTAGTGAGTATCATGTATATGAGGCCGCAGTTGAACTCAGGTCCTCTTGACTCCAGGGCCGGTGCTCTATCCACTGAGCCACCTAGCTGTAGCTGCCCCATCAATGCAGTACTTGTATTGAATATCCTTTCCACGTTATTGTAAACCTCCTTTTGTTAAGTGTGATATGTAATATGTCTCATTTAGTTCTAATACTAAGCCTGAACCTCCAAACTGGCCTGAAGTAAAGCCCAGCCCAGAAAACTTAGTGCAGGACTGGTTTGGAATGACTTTGTGGCTGAAGCAGGAAAAGGGCAATAAAGGAGCCTTGGGTGACTGGGTGATGTGATTCAGAAACGAAGTATCCCACTGCCACATACAATGAGGTAGGAAGGGGCTTTGGGTTGATTGGGTCTTTAAGGAATTTGACAAGGAGAATAAAAGTACTGTATCATCAGGGTTAACATTCTCTGATTACTGCTAACAGATGTAGAAAAAGCTAGATTGCTACCTACCATAAGGAAAATGAAAATTAAATAGACATCCACTGAGGTCAGGAAAATACAGCATAAGGAAAGAGAACGTGAATAGGGGTGAGAATGAGAACTGGGAACCCATCTCAATGGTAAGCATGTCCTGGGCTTACTCTATTATTACCCTTGGGGTAATAATAACTGTCAGACAGTAGACCAACTTTCATTACCAATAAATATGGATGTTGTAGAAGTGTAAACAACAACCTGAGGAGTTACTAAAAAAATGGTTGGAAAGGGCATGGACTAACGGGGCCGACATAAAGCTCCTCTCAGTCACACATCACCTTGGCCACCTCAAACAACACTCACTTTCACAAAATCATTGAACTATAAATTAGGTATCTGATGAGGACTGCTCTTTCTCCCTTTTAGTTAATACTAATAATAATAGTTAGCATTTATACAGCATTTACTATGTGCCAGGCACGATACTAAATGTTTTTCAAATAGTATCTCATTTTATCCTCACAACAACCCTGAGGTAGATGCTATTATTCATCCTTATTTTGCCAATAAAGAAACTGAGGCAAACATAGGTTAAGTGACTTCCCAGGGTCATAGAGCTAGTAAGTATCAGTGTCTGAATTTGAACTCTGATCTTCCTGATTCCAGGCCCAGCACTCTATCCACTCTGTCACCTAGCTGCTTGAGGTAGCTAAGATGGAGAGCTGTGCATACTTGTGTGGCAAGTGAAAGATAAAACGACTGAGCAAACAAGAACATATTGATTTATTAAGCAATGCATGACAATTTCCTAACAAAGCAGGACCAGATCCCTTCCCAGACACACAGGGTTAGGTTCAAACAATACAGTAAGGTTTTCTCTCAATTCCCGTAATTGAATAAAGTTTTTTCACAAGACAGAAATTTTACTAGACCCATAATTGAACAGAAATGGAACTGAGAGCGTAGAATTGAGACACAATGATGGGAGTCAGTGTAGTTCACTCAATTCCCACAATTAACCACTTGCAATCCTAATCCCTTCAATTCCCTCACGTGCTTATAACAAAGCACAATGGGCTCTATTTCTACTATAGTCAGTTTCCCAGAAGAGGTGAGCAATGAGGGGGTAAGATTCCTAAAAAGACAGGTTTGGTGGACTGGCTCTACACCATCCAACTATGGCTCCTGACATCCTAACACCAAGCATCTCTCCATGCGAACAGATTCCATAGAGGGATTCTGCTACCTAGCTCAGAGGGCAGAGCATAACAATACCTTTAACTATGAAGAAGTTTGGCTGTGGCACCTGAAACATTGAGTAAAGGAAAAAATCAATGACCACACTATGGGAATGCTTGCAATACCATACTGTGACATTTGTTCCTAGGACAGTAAGGGACTTCCAGCCACACCCAGGCCTTAAATATCCTCCAAAGCCCCCATTTACATATAAGGAGCTGTTGGACAGAAGTGACCATGTTACTACCACATAAGAAGACACCCAACAGGGGGCAGCTAGGTGGCGCAGTGGATAGAGCACCAGCCCTGAACTCAAGAGGACCTGAGTTCAAATCTGGCCTCAGACCAATCACTTGACACACACTAGCTGTGTGACCCTGGGCAAGTCACTTAACCCCAACTGCATTAAAAAAAAAAAAGACAACCAACCAGTCCATCAGGACATAAGAGTTTCCATGGAAAGCAGAACAGTCAATCAGTCAAGAATTTATTAAGCACTAAACACTGTGTGGGGGTAAAGAGGAAAACATTTGGTCCCTGCCCTCAATGAGCTCACATTTTAATATAAGAGACAATACACACATAACTATGTAAATAAAATATCAATAGATAGATAGACAAGAGAGAAGGAGAGTAAATGGAAGGTAATAATATTAATAGCTGGCATGTATAAAGTGCTATGTGCCAGGCACTTTGCCAAGCATTTACAAATGTTATTGCAACTGATCCTCACAACAACCCTGTGAGGAAGTTGTTGTTATTATTCCCATTTTACAGTTGAGGAAACTGAGGTAGACAGTGGTTAAATGACTTGCCTAGGGTCACACAGCTAGTAAGTGTCTGAGGCTGGATTTAATCTCAAGTCTTCCTGACTCCAAGTCCAGCACTCTTACCCACTGGCCACCTACTACTTCTACTTCAGAGGGAATCTCAAAGGGAAGACACAAGCAGTGGCAGGGAAGGGAAAATGGAAGGAACACCATTCCAGGTATGGGGGACACCTACTGAAAAGGCATGGTGTGTATACCCTTTGACTGAGCAATCCACTATTAGGTCTATTTACCAAGGTGATCAAGGAAAAAGGAAAAGAACCTATTGTTCTAAAATATTTATAGCAGCTCTCTTTGTGGTGGTAAAGAACCAGAAAACGAGGGGATTCCTATAAAATGGGGAATGGCTGAATAAGTTGTGGTATATGATCATGATAGAATACTACTGTGCTGTAAGAAATGACAAGTGGGTTGATTTTAGAAATAATGAAATGCAAGAAATAATGAAGAGTGAAATGAGCAGAACCAATAGAACATTGTAAGCAGTAACAGCAATAACATTCGAATAATTGTGAACGACTAAGCTATTCTGAGTAATATGAATATTTAAATCAACTTCAAAAGACTTACGAAGGAAGATACTACCCACCTCCAGAGAAAGAAGTGATACATGGATGTATTGTACGGCTTCACATATATATCTGTGAAACATATGTGTTTCACATATATCTATATATATATATATCTGCCTTCTCTAGTGAGGGGTTGGGAGAGAGGGAGGGAGGGAGGAAAGGAGGCAGCTTGGAACTCAAAATGTGACAAAAAACAAAAATGTTTAAAAAGAAAGGCATGGGCATAGATTATGGAGTGCTAATTATAAGGAACATTACGCAGGCCAGCAGAGCTAGATCACAGAGTATGTGAAAGTAATTAAACTGTACAGACTAGAAAGTTATGATGGGGCCAGAGGTGAAGGCTTTAAATGCCTTAAAAGGTCTTTATATTTAATACTAGAGTTATAAGGACCTAATACATTTTATTGACCAGGGGAGGCAACATGATCAGACCTATATTTTAGGAAAATCCCTCTAACAGCTGTGTGGAGAATGGATTAAAATGAGAAAAGTCTTGTGGCAAAGAGATCAGTTAGATTGGTGCTGGGCACGGTGAAAGACAAGGGGATAAAGGATTTGAGTGTAAAGTTGAACTGATTCATCAAGGGATCAAGATAGGGAAGGGAAGAAAGCATATAACCAGTACAGGAAAGAAAAGAAGGGAGGTGGGGTTATGGTGAGGATAAAGAACAGGGTTAGGGTTATAAAAGACAGGAAAAGATGGAATAATAAAAGATTATGACAAGATAAAGGAATTTCAAAGTTCGTTAACAAGGAAGTGTAATACTTGTGGGTGATGGCAAGGTCAAACTTATGATTATCTCTGTGTGTAGCTGAAGTAGAATGTTATTAGAATTGAATAGATTGAGAACTTGGAAATTAGGGTATGTGAGGGAGTATCAATATATATGTTGAAGTCTCCTAGTATGAGGGCAAGACTTGCAGTGGACTTTGAGCCACTTCATCCTTCACTGATGAAGGAAGGAGAATGCACTGAGGGTATAAATAACAGCCACCAGATCTAAGTGGGGAGCCAAATTTAAATGGTGTGGACCTTGAAGGAGAAGGGATGGCTAAATAATATTCATAGAGGAAGATCTAAGGGTAGCAGTAGCAAGCAAGAAGAAATCTAAATCCCCCACCTCAACCAGTGAATCAAGGGGTACTAGAAAGGGAGGTGGCCAGGGATGCAGCGTCATCAGAAGGGAGCCCGGTCTCAGGTGAGTATCAGAAGATGGAGGGAATGGAAAAGAAAATGTTTAATATGAAAGCAAGTTTGTTAATTTAGCAAGCATTCCACAGAGCACAGTAGAGGACCAATTTAGAGGGGAACACTATTTGGGGGAGGTGAAAAAAGGAAGGGAGTGGACAGCTAGAAATGGGGAACGAAGTTTGTACACTGGTAGCCTGGGATTCAGAACTCTTGGTATGGGAGTAAACTAATCATTGAAGAATGAGTCCAGGAAAAATCTATGGAATACCTGAGGAACACAGGTAATTTACTGTTCAAGGAAGGGCCTCCCTCAAACTCTAGGCAAGTGGTGATGCTATGACCTATTGAAGTCTAAGAGGCCCATCTCACAGAGGGTAGAAGTAGATGAAGGTAGTTTGAAGAGAAGGCTTAGCGGCAGCAGTGGGAAGCAGGTCTTGTCTAGGGATATGTTATAAAGCAATGGAGAAGGTTCTGGGGTAAAGATTGGATCCCAGGCTGACACAAGGCTTGAAGGATTCCCTGGTAAGACCATGAACGGAAAACAGAATCAAGAGGGGAGTGACCAGATATCAGGCAACTGAAGGAAGCTATATGAATCTTATCCTACTGGGGACAGGTATTTACATAGCAGTTTATGACCACCTCAAGGCCAAATGGAAACCTTTTGGGTCCAGGGAGGGATGAAAGTCATTTATTTCCTAGTGTAGGAGATCAGAGTATTTTTCAACAAAAACTCTCTTTGCCCTAAGTGGTTGGTGAGGAAAGAGGATGGCATCTGACAGTTTACAGTAGAATACAGGGAGCTGAACAAAGTTGTTATTGCTTAAACTATGTTAAACCATGGCCATTCCTGTCCTCATCGATGTGGTGGACAGGCCCCAGATGAGTGATATAGGGCTAGTGACCTTGCTAATGCCTTTTTATACCATTCCTGTGGCTGAAACTAATCAGGAGCAGTACACCTTCACCTGGAAAAGAGTCCCATTTTCTATCACCACCTTTCCTCAGAGCTGCCTGAACTCTCTCCTTGCTACCGCCCCATTCTGATGAGGCTGTATTTATGGGCAATGAAGTTCACCAATACACTAACAACAGAATACTGAACACACTAAATGAGGCCAGAATCAAGAAGTCCTTGTTGGTATGAGCCACAATCTTTTCTTGTGCAAAATTCAGGGTCCAGTTCAAGCTGGAATTTTGGGGAATAAAGTAGATGAAAAGAACCTAGACAATTCTAGATGTAGTACAGGTTGTCTCACAGCCCTAATACCCAATAGCTCCCCCTCCCAGCCCTAATCCACAGAGATTTAACTCTTGAGGAGTGCTAATTTGTCTGGCTTCTTTGCCAGCTTTGTCCAATATAAAAAAAGGTACATGCAATTGGACCATAGCCATCATCAGTCCATTAAGAGAAAAATTTCTGAGAGATGGGTTCCTGGCAAATCTTCCCCATGAGTTGAGCTACAAGGTACATGACTAAGAAGATAAGATCATCTTCTACGCTGATTCCTGAGTAGTGTCCATGAAGGTGGTCTGGGGCCAGAAAGAACTGGATGATCAAAGGCTTTCCTCTTTGGAATCAGGACCAATGGAGGAATTCTGCTGATGTCTTCCCTTGCATGTCGCATACACCACAGACATAGATTCTTTGCTAACCTGACCAAGCAGACTGATACACTTGCTAGAATGTCAGAAGTTGAGGGATACCCCTACTTCCAATCAGGACAATGGGACAATGTTGTCATGGTGCAGTGGGCACAAGACTCCATCATCTCCCTAAAGATGAGGTAGTTAATTCTGCCCAACTCTCTTTGTACCAATCCAAGCTACTACGTCTAAAAGATCAGTATTGGATGATCCCATCTGATTCTTAACTTGCTTCCAACTGGCAAATTGCTTATATTGACCCTTTTCCTCCATCTCAGGGCAAGAGGTTTACCTTTATTGCAACTGATACCAACTTAGGATATGGTACTATGGTGCTAATCAAGTGTACCACCACAGCAACAGAATTCTCATGGAACATATCTTTCCTTCTAAGCCCTTTTCCACCATTGCAAGGTACCCATTTCACTGCAAAGGAGGTCTAAGTTTAGATCTGCTGCCATCATATCCAGTGGATTTTCCATTTCCTTTATCATTCTCAGGCAGCTTAAAGTGTTGAATCCTGGATTGGACTCTTGAGACAACAACTTCAGCAACAAGATTCCCAGGGATGGGTGTCTCAACTGAGAAGCTGTGTCCAAGGTGAACTGGTACCACCCTAGGAGGAAGGAGAGTTCTCCTGTCCAACAGTTTCTTCAATCCAGCCTTCAGGAAAACTTATCTGATGAGGACAGACTGCTTTTAGACATAGTGCTGGTGGACTCTCTCCAGCCCTTCTTTATTCCATTTCCTATTCATTCACTTGGATCTTCAAGGTCCCTACCTCCTCAGACAACTCTATATGGCTTAATCAAATGGCTTAGGTCCTTTCAATTGGCAGGTCTCCTTCTTCCAAGGAAAGTTCAGACACCTCCTTTACCTCCTTACTAGGGAAGTCATGGGAACCAAGAAGTAGAATTGTTGGAAGGAGACAACACGATGAGGATCAATGACTGTGCCACAAGCGTCATCATCTGCACTGTGGCCCTCATGTTCCAGATGCTGCTCCTAATCTTCATCTCTAATTTACATACGATGATCCCCTGTGAACTGCCTCTGACATCAACCTTACCATGGACCTAATTGTTAAGATCCAAGATAAAGTCCTTCTGAAGTAGGGGAACAAAGCCTGGGATTTCTGGTCTTGGTTCCTTAAGGAGCCATTTTTTCCCCTTCCCTAGTATTACCTATACCAGGCTTTTCTCCATCTTTGAAGATAGGACTGGCTTGCATTGGTTGATTAACAGGTTATTGAAGTGGTGTAAAGTCCCCTAGAAAATTTTTACAACCTTTCCACCCAGGGATAGAGTAGAAGCAGTGTCTACTACTAATCTGGTTAGCACCCAAGGCAACAGCTTCTATTGCTCAGCTAGAAATTCACTATTCATGGCCTAAGGTGTCTTCCACACAGGCTAGTTTTCCTTAAAAGGAATGAAACCATCTTCGAGAATAAATTGGTTCAAGAATCTACTAAATGCTTGAAGTATTGATGCGGCTTCTCAGTGGTCATTAGTAGGCATTCCTCAAGTTTGACAAATTTCCCACTGCCATGCCTGTTAACATGCCCTTCTGTTCACCATTATGACAAATACAGAGGCAAGGGGAGCTGTGCCCAACTAAACCAATGCTGTCTTTGCTAAATATCCTTTCCATGCTATTACTGAGGACACTTCTTTCTGTTAAATGTTATTTCACATTCAATCTCATTATGAAACATTCAGTCTCATTCAGTTCCAATCTGAAGCCTGAATCTCCAGACTGGAATGAGCCAGGCCTAGCCCAGGACAATGTTAGAGGGGCAGTTAATTCCATAGGAATAATGTTATAAAAGGGTAATTGAACAATGTTACCATGAGATTTTGCAACATTATAGTGTGGTTGAATTATATTCTATTAATAACATTACAAAACAATGGTAAAAGACACAATTTTATATAGGATATGCTCAGTGGTGTGCTAGTAAATATTTAACAACTAGCACTTTGGGGGGAGAGGGCAAAGGGTTTATGTTTTTTAAGTGTAATCAGCATTATTAACATTTTCTCCGTTATTTTCCTAAGTCTAGACAATCAACAAAACAATAAATCAAGATTTGTGGCATTTGCCAATTTCTAAGGTATGAATGCTCACTGAAAATTTAACAATTAACTGTGATAAGCCAGTTAAAACTGGCTCCACTACATTTCTAGATGAGTGATACATAAAACAGCTGCATCACATGTAAAAATTCTAGGTTCTTCATAGAAACCTTTTTTGGCTCATGAAAGTTACTCTGACTTGTTTTCTGTTGGCATTCCTTTGTTCCTGTGTACAAGAAGACTTAACTCCAGTTTCTGCTTTTTCGTCAGTTATCACATATAAAATAGTTTATGAAACTCATTTAGTAGAATTAAAAAAAATTGCACACTCAGAAAAGTTAAAGTAAGGAAATACAGAAAAAATAAACACAGAAAGATATCAACTAAAAACAAAAATTGCAGTCACATACCGTCACTCTCATAAACTGTGAGAAAAAATAAATCACCAAAAATTTAGAAGGTATCAATAATGAATAAGTACTGAAAAAGAACTAAAACACAGACATTCTCCCCCAAATACTACTTTAAAAAACTAAAAGCAACAGCTCGAAATACTCATACTTACATTCAGTAAAGAAAATACTTAGCATAGGCCAACAATTTTCAGCCCTCTCCAATTTACGCAGAACTCTGAATTCCCCTGTATATTTCACCCAGTTGAAAGCCTCCTCAATTGCCAAGATTTTCTGTTACAAACACAGGGAAAATTTTTTAAATAAATTTCTCCAACATCTGATGACTCAATTAATCTATTAATCATTAAGCATTTATTAAGTACTTACTAAGTACCAAGCACTGTGCTAACTGCTAGGGGAACAAAAAAATAAAAAATAAGAAAGGGAAAATTGTCTCAGCCTTCAAGGATGCTATAATCTAACAGGGGAGATAGCCACTACAGACAAGAATGAACCTGTACATTGGTATATGCAAAATATAAACAAAGCAGAAAGAAGATAACTTTAGAGGGAAAGCCAGTCACCAGTAACTAGGGTAACCAGGATGAAGAATGACATTTTAATGCTTTTCTGTGTAGCACTTTGCCATCCATTCAACCAATGTTTATTAAGTACCCAACCAATGAATGTGTGTTTTCATTTTAGGGTATTTGTTCTTTAACACAAAGGCCATAAAAATAAAAATTATTTAGCATGCCAGCATAGACACACATGACATCAGGAGCTGCCAAGCCCAGCTACGGGTACTGCATCAATAGACAGATCAGGGATCGTCATCAGTCGATGCTCTTAAAATTCAAGATGGCGCATTCCAAGAGAATGCCAGACTTGGTATTTCTGGTCTGGATTTTGTGGTATATCTGGATTGGCTTGGTGACTAGGCTACTATGTGGCTGGCCTGGTCATAGGAATCTTTGGGTTTCAAATTTTCTTACAATAACAAGAGGAAAATAGAAAATATTAATGGTGATGGGAGAGAGAATGGTCTAAATTCTCATGTGAACCACTACTTCCAGACTTAGGACCAACCCAGAATCTAGGTGCTTGAATGGACTATACTAGAAACATTATGTATTTTATAGTTCTATAAATACTGGTTATAGAACTCAGTTTCTTCTAGTCAGTGGAAAATGCCAGATCCAGAGAATAAGAAACAAGGAGAGAAATGGCTAGATAAACAAATTCAGTATGACTGACTTTGCTAAAGTTTACATAGTCTAGAGACAGAAATGACTATTACTTTGAGAAGCACTGTAATATAGTGGAAAGAATGCTGGATTTTGAGTCAGAATTGATTCAAATGCCAGCTGAACCCCTTATTACCTGTATGACTTGGCCACTGGGGTAATCAATTTTCCCATCAGTAAAATGAGGAGGGGGGGGGAAAGGTTGAAATAATTGACTTTAAGGTTCTTGCAACTTTAAAACTATGATCCTATGATAATAGAAATAACTCCAGGAGTGAAATTTTCAGGTTTTCTACATTTAAAAACAGGAAGGGAAGGGCAGTATAGGAACTATTAAAAATATTATAAATTAATATATAAATATGTACATTTTAGAATATTATATAAGAGAATATATGTTAGAGTTTATAATAGAATGAGCACTGGACTTGAAATAAGGAATATTTGGATTTAAATCCTGCCCCTTACTACCCTTGACACAATGAACAAGTCCTTTCACCTCTTTTAGTGAGACTTCCCTGTATAAGAGGGGCAATTATACTTATGGTAACTACCTCACAGGGTATGAGGCTCAAACAAGATAGTTAAAGATTTCTGCAAGCCTTAAAAGCTATATAAATGTTAGCTTTTCTTTTAAAAGCACTTTTCATCGTAAACACTGGAAAAGTGGGTGCCCATCATCAGAAAATGAACAAAGTATGATATGTGAATGCAATGTAATATTGCAATGCCTTATTATGTATATTATGACTTCAAAGAAATATGAGGCTTCCACGAACTGATGTAAAGAAAGCAAAATAAGGAAAACAACAGATACAATGACTACAATAATATAAACACAAATACTGAAGGATAGCTCAATTCAGCAATTCAATCAACATTGATTTCAGAGGAGAAATGATTAAATATACTTCTTTCCTTGAAGAAGAAGGAAGAGAAAGTAGAGAAGAAAAGGACATTATGGATGATAAATGTTGTATATTCTGACATATGAGGGTGCTGTGATGCTAATTTTTGCTTAGTTGTGTTTCTTTTTTATAAGTCCTCTCCAAGGGCTTTGGAGACGGAGACAAGTTATATTGGAAAATTATTGGAGTATAAAAGACAAAAGGCATCAGTTAAACTAAAAAGCCAATTGTTATTACCATGGCATTATGTTATAAAAATGAACTGTGATTTTTCTTTTGCTTTGGTCCTTACTCTCTGAATGAATGCAGACAGATCAAATGAACTGAGACTTTCAACAAAATACTTATCTCGTCAGTGGCAAGGTATTTTGAGTTATTCCTGATAGCCAATCTGGGAAAGTTCAGAGTTGGATATCAGGTAAGACTACAATAAATTCAAGTTGGGTAAACTAGGTGGAGGAACAGGGGAAGAAGGGGTGCAGTAACTTTCACCAATGTGGCAACACAATGATACTGTGGTTTTAAAATTGAAAAAGCACTTTACATCATTTGGACTTTACAGCAATCCTATCGGGTAAACATTATGGCCACTATCCCCATTTTACAGTGAAGAAACTAAAGCACCAAAAAGTTAAGGAAGCTGGCGACAGTGGTTCAGTATCAGGCCCTCTTGGCTTAGGGTCAAGCACTCTGTCCACTGCCCTCAATATACAAGAAGAAAGGAAATGAGTTCAAACACCAGCACTTCTAAGATGGGCCTGAATGTCTGAGGGCAAAAGAGTGCTGGGAAATGAGAAGATATAAACCAAAAGAAACTCTGATATTTTTCTATGCAATACGGGTGGGCCTTTCAAGTATCTGAAAGTATTATCAGTGAACGATGTAAGGATTTTTTCCAGGAAGGAACAAGCTAACTCCTGTAAGTATACTCAACAAACAATAAAGATTTTTGTTTCTTTGCCTTTTTATTTCATCATCTGCCATTATTAAAGATTTCTTAACTGTCTGTACATTCTATTACATGCTGACTTATTAACCATAAAAAAAACTGTAAATTGTCAGATTTTATGTCAAATAAAAACTACCAGCTGTACTATTTTTATCTGCTTAATGTTACTGAAAAAAACAAACCTTGCAAAATATGTATACTTTACTTGATGGAAAAAGGATTGTTGCAAACAGTATCATACTACTTAAGGTAAATGGGCCTATTCAAAGATTTGTTTTCCTCAAATTGCAACTTTTCTGAAATGGGGAGAGTGATCCTGTTAATAAACCACAATCCACGAGGAGAATAGTACTATCATACAGAGAGGATGGTAACTGATGTAATGTTTAACACTTACATTTTCTATCTTATAACCAATTCTCAATATACCACCGATAAAGAACTGATCATCCTGCAAAATAAAAAAAAAAATTAGAATCATAAGTGGAAGTTTTTCCATTTAACTAAATTTTATTTTTATTTTCAAACACAAAACAAAACAAAACAAAAACGCTTTAACATTCTGTATTAAGCTGGTAATCTCACAAAGCCTTCGAAAAACAGTATGATTATTAGTAAATCATGCAAAATACCTTCATGCCCAAGGAACCACAACATTACAATTCAGAATTTATCTTAAAGTGTTTTAATGACAAAATCAATCAGTTATAACAAAAAAAGTACTTTTTTTAACTCGTACTTTTCCTTAACCCCTCGCTAACATCACAAAAAATTATTTCCTGAAATTCACCATCTTCTGGACTTTTGTTAATAATACCCTGGCTTATCTAAAATATTGTAAAGGATTATCAGAAGAAGGTATTATGAGGAACTATACCATGGAGCCTTCCTAGATTTAACACAAAAACTGAAATTGTTTCTAAAACTTTTAACTGTTGTTCTGCACTTCCCTGGGGCTTTGGTTTAATCATGTCCAACTCTTCATGACCTCATGTGGGTTGGATTTTTTTTTTCTTTTTTGGCAAAGATACTGGTGTGGTTTGCTATTTCCTTCTCCAGCTCATTTGACAGATGAGGAAACTGGGGCAAACAGGGTTAAGTGATTTCCCCAAGGTCACAAAGCTAGTAAAGTGTCTGAGTTCAGATTTGAACTTGGGAACATGAGTCTTCCTGACTCCAGGTATGGCACTCTATCCAGTGCACCACCTAGCTGTGCGGGCTTTAATTATGTTAATCTATACTAGTGGTGTCAAACTCACCACTACTGACTTAGAATACCACAAATTAACATTAGATATCTTGTATTGTATTTTTTACTTTCTTAAACATTTCCTAATTACATTTTAATCTAGTTCAGGCCACAATCAGGAGTTTTGACACCTCTACATCAAGGATTTTTATAAACAAACTACTCTGAGGTAGAAAAAGAGATTTTTTTTTTCAGATACCACACTATAATTTTTGGAAACAGACCCAGAAACACCTCTATGTTGTGGATGTTTATGGAAAAGCCTATGGGCAATGCTACTTTATAAATTCTTTGGTTCTTAATACTCTAGTTTCTCTCCCAAACACCTCAAACAATAAATTTACAATCATGTGAGAGCACTAATTCTTAGGATGACAGAAATACAATTATATGTAAACTTTTATAATCCTGAAGGAAAGGGGCTAGACTTGATGACGTCTTGGAATGTCTTCTTGCTCTGTGATGCAACATTTGCTATTACTGAGAGGTCAACAGTCAGTAAATCATTAAACATATCCAAATATCCTTTTTTTGGTAAACTTTTTAAATTTTAAACTTAAATAACATTTTCATAACATTAGTATAATCACAGAATTTTGGAGCTGAAAGGGACCTTAAGCAAAACTTAATCCAACCTCTAATGTTATGAGATGAGGAGACAAAAGCCCCAGAGAAGTGACATATTGGACCTTCTCATGGGTACAAAGATAGTTAGTGGCAGGTCTACTCCAAATTACATCACAGATGGAAAAAGTATTAAATATGAAAGGAACAGGTAACTTAACGAGAAAAATTGCCAATTTATCCACCCAAGTATGACCAATCAGTAACTGTTAACTAAGCAGCTAGCTGGCACAACGGATAGAGTGAAATCAGGAAGACTCATCTTCATGAGTTGAAATCCAGTCTCAGACACTTACTAGCTGTGTGACCCTGGACATGTCACTTATCCCTGTTTGCCTCAGTTTCCTCATCTGTCAAATGAGCTGGAGAAAAAAATGGCAAACCACTCTAGTATCTTTGCCAAGAAAATCCCAAACAGGGTCACAAAGAGTCAGATCTAACCGTACAACAATAAAGTAAGTATCTACTATTTGTAAAACACTGTGTTATGTGCTAGCCTACAAAAGAGGGTCCTACCCTAAAATGAGGCTTATAATTTAGCCAGGAAAAAATGTATAAATACATGTATAAATAGAAAATACGTCATTTTGAGGAAAAGAAACAAGCAGCAGGAACTATCTTAAAAGGCCCCATGTTGAATGTAGCACTTAAGTCTTGAGACAGGAAGACTAAAAAGAAAGCTAAATGCAATAGTCCTGGCATGAAGTCATGAAGACCTGAACCAGGGTGGAAGCTCTGTCAGAGGAGAGAAGGGGGCATAGTCAAGAAATGTTGCAAAAGGAAAATCAACAGGACTTTGCAATAGATTGAGGGAGCAGGGGGGACAGGACGGGCGAAAGTAGCCATGGTAGGAGGTGAGGGATAGCCAAGGATAACACCTAGGTTGTAAGCCTGGGAGACTGGGATATAGGGAAGTATGGAACAAAGGAGGAAAGTTAAAGTTAAAGGAGTTAAGTTCAGGATTATTTATGTGACATCCAGTTTGAAATGTCTAAGTGACAGAGATGTGAGACTGGAGGTCAGCAGAGAGGTTATGGCTGGATAAATATATCTGAGAATCACCTACATAAAGATGATACTTGAACTCACAGGAATTGATGAGCAAGACAGTATAAAGGAGAAAACAGGGCCTAGATCAGAGCTCTGTGGGGCACTGATTATTAGGAGGCATAACCTGGTTAAAAATCCAGAAAAAGAGACTGATGTGACTGTCAGAGACATACAAGGTTGTAAAGACCTAGTTTTAACAAAGCCCATCAAGTTATGTATCTTTGCAATGGACCCCCAAAGTGCCACTTACCACAACTTTCTTTGCCAAATCCACGATATCTTCCAGCAATTCAATATGCTGCAGCCTCTTCAAACTTAATTCACAAGTGCTAGAGCTGCTTGAAGAAAAAAATTGTCTTAGAAATGGGTAAGATTTTATATTGCCTGATTCTGAACATTAGTATTAAAATTCAACTGTAAATAGGAATAGCTGACATTTATTTAACATTTTAAGGTTTAAAAAGTGATTCATAGACTTTATTTCATTTGATCCTCACAACTGAGCAA